AATGCCGCCACCACCACCACGCTGCCATAATGCCACGACGCTGCCTCCCTGCTCCCCCGCGCTCTCTGGCCACCACCACCACCACCCACACTACATGACAACAACACCGCCGCCGCCGCTGCTGCCATAACCACTACTACAACCATCAGTGAGGATGTAGATGTGCCGAAAGGAAGACGTAGCAAGCCCGTCAGTCGACGAGGCAATACAGCTACAACACTGACGTTGTATGTACCTTGTTAGATGTGAATATAATTGATTGTTCAGATTGTATAGTACGGAGAAAGTTCTTGAAAAAAGTGGGGCTTCTATTGCCCCACCTCCGAGGCGTCGTTTGTCTGCTCCGAAAGCGACTTCATCAGCTACTTCCCACTCTCGAGTTCGAGTTGAAGAGTCAGACGAGGGCGAGGGCGAGGGCAATGCAGGTGAGGGTGAGGGCGAGGAGGATGACGATGGCGAGGGTGAGGGTGAGGGTGAGGGTGAGGGCGAGGGCGAGGACAATGGTGAGGGCGAGGGCGAGGACAATGGTGAGGGTGAGGGTGAGGGTGAGGGTGAGGGTGAAGATGCAGGTGATGGTGAGGGTGAGGGTGAGGGTGAGGGTGAGGGTGAGGGTGAGGGTGAAGGTGAAGGCGAGGGTGAGGGTGAGGGTGAGGGTGAGGGTGAGGGTGAGGGTGAAGGCGAGAGTGAGGGTGAGGGTGAGGGTGAAGATGCAGGTGAGAGTGAGGCTATGATGGTAGATACGCCTATCACACCACCTAAGGTAGGCGTAAAGCGACCTATCACGTCCCCTAGTTCTCCCACCCGTGACGTCAAGGCATCTTGCCGCTCCATAGCGCAAGGAACTGCTCTTGCTACCGCTACTGACACTCCGCCTTCGCCATCATCACCTGAAGATCTTCAAGGGGCCTCTCGAATTGTTGGTGGATTTGCACGTGGTAAGGCCATTGGGAATGCACCAAATATGGCTGACCTTGGTATTTTTATTCATATGCTTCAATTCGGATTTACTAATTAACTTGAATTAGGTGATATTGGCATGGCAGCTTCTGTGGCTACAGTCCACAGAGGCAAACTTGTGGTTTTCACTTCGCGTGATGCTACCAAGCCTGCCTACTCAATTCGAGTCACCAAGGCAACCAATTTGGGTGCTGTACTCAATGAAGCCGCACTTCGCTTTGACGAATTGAAGTGTAAGCTTTTATATTATTTCAATGTCATCTGACTTACATATTTCAGATTGTCGAATTTCTGTATTGGAGAGTGAAATGTGGGACTTGAAGGGGACATTCAACTTGGCTGTTGAGTGTATTGATGAACTGGAGTGGGATGCTGACTCTTGTTTGACCATCCTTGCTGTAAGTTTTCCAGTTTCTTTGTCTTTATTGAATTTACATTGTTTTGCAGGAAGCCACTCGCTTTACCTCTGGCTCCCTTGCCAGCATGGTACCGGGCAGTGCTGCTGCCATTAGCAGGAGTGTTACTCCTGCTATCACCAGCGCTGTCCGCTCTGTTGCCTCAGACGAGGTCACAGAAACTCAAGGCTATGAGGCCTTCGCACCCAACTCAGCCCAGCGCTATATCGCTGAGCGTTTGAAGGTCCCTTACGCTCACACCCCCAGGGGTAGTGACAAAGGGGGCATTCATAATGCCTATCAGCGCTGGCGGGCGGTTGATGCTGCCCAAGCCAAGATTGATGCCCTTATTTCTGAGGGCAAGTGGGATGGTGCCAAGCCTAGCTCTGAGGCTATCAAGAAGGTTTTCTTTGGCAGAACCTCCCACCACGATTGGAACAAGGTCTTTGTCAAGGCAGTGGAGCACCCTCTACTCCTTGACTTCTTGGAACAACGTGGTGGTGTTGATAGCAAGCACAAGATGTGGCATGGACGGAAGCCAACTCAGATGGTCATCTCTGAGGTGGCTGATGAGCTTGCAGCATTAGCTGCAAAGGTTGAGAAGGGCAAGGGAAAGGGAAAGGCTCAGGTTGAGGCCAAGAGTGGCAAGGGTGGAGCCTCTAGCTCCAAGGCTGGGAAGGGTAAAGCCACTGCAAAGTAGGTATATACTTACATGTCTCTATGCTGCCATATTTTTTGGCTTTGTTTTTTTTTTGAAAAAATCTGATTGATTCTGAGTGTCTACAAGTATGCTGACATGAGGCTTAGTTTGTTATTTAATTTAGGACTCATCGTTCTCACCATTTGTTTTACATTTGGTTTGCTGCCTTGTGCAGCTGCTATGCCTATAGAAGATCAATTTCCCAGCATTCTGTTTTCAGACTTTGCTGAGTTTATTTCTGAGAACTATGGCTCAGAAGTCACACTCTCTACTGTGCTTCTCATCTTGTTCAGCTTGACAAGTAACCCAGATCTCTTAAATCTGCATGCCAAACAGCAGGTGGCAGGTGGATCAAGAAAATGGTCAGAGTCCATTACTGGATGGATGACTGCACTGGCTAGAGCTATTTCAGCCAGACTGGGTGATGAAGCTACATCTTCTTTATTTCTTCCAGAGATAGATGTACCAGGCAACAAGTCGAATTCAGAAAAAACTACAATTTTGGCAAAGAAATTCAACAAATTGTCTATTGTCTTAAAGCTAAGGCCTTACAACAAATCTGGAGTTTTGAAGCGTAAACTCAGGCCAATCTCAAATGCTTTGATCCAGCCGGCATTGGTCATATGCCCCAGTACCATGCAGTGTTCAACTGCAACTTGTAATGGTTGTGCACTTGGTCAAAATACTCGTGAACGGGATACTTCTGAAGTAACATTGCTTAAAGGAAGTGAATGTTTCTCCCATGTGCCAGTTCTGAGTGGGGTTTGCTCTCGGTGCCATTCTATATTCTATGCAGATCATGAGAGCTATAAAGAACCTGGATTTACTGGAAGAATGTCCTTTTACTTAAACAATGCTAAGTATTTGAAGGTTGGGCAAAAAGTCTGGGTTGATCGAGTTGTCTCCAATGCTATTGTCAATGCAACATATAGTTTTCATGCCTCTACTGCAGCAATCACAGAGTTTTGGAATGAAAGCTTCAACACTCAGCAATCAGTCTTTCAAATCACTAGACGGCATATTTGGAAAGCGTTTGTACTTGAGATGAGTAGGCAAATGGCCAAGCATTCTGGCACCAATCTGATTCTGGAGGATGGGATATCCATTGACACAGTTACTAGCAAGGCATTTGAGGAGCTGGGTCAAAGTGGTATCATTGATGCTGCAAGGACCCATTCTTGCTCAGAATGTACTCATGAATATAAAAATGTGGCAGATACTATTCCCAGACAGGCCACTGATCCTGCTGGTGTAGTTGGTGTTGATGAGAATAGTGCTGTTCCTGAGTACTCCGGTCCTGGCATTGAGCAATATCACCATGCTCAAGATGATGATGATGATGATGATGATGCTATGGATGTTGATTCAACATCTTCTAACTTGGGAAACTCTGATTCTGGTGAAGTAGAGTTGGTTAAAATGGTTGTAATGGATGGCATTGTGATGGGGCCAAGACACTGTGCTATTGATGGTTGCATAGAACCCCTTGCAAATGCTCACACAGGTGTCTTCTGTGTAGGTCATGAAGACAAAAGAATGGGGCAGTGTTGTGTAAAGGGTTGTGAGGCAAATCTTGTAGAAGGAACGAAAGCTTGTCAAATTCATCAGCAACAGTGGAACACCCATCGTGGAAGATATGGAAATCAATCCATGCTTGGAATGAGAAGAGCTCTAAGAAGAGCAGAGGCAGAGACTCAAGATTGGTTGCCTGCTCAAACACGAGCCAGATTGCAGCATGATGATGATGATGCTCAAGAAAATAGTGGCACTTCCTATAAAAACTATTTTTCTGCACCACGATTTTACTGTGTTGAGACACTGTGTGCACCATGTGGAGTGGTCATAGCATGGAAGAAATTTGCCAAGTCAGAATCTCCTACCAAAATTGTCAAATTTCTGGAGGAAGTCTATCCTACTCCAGAGAGTAAACCAAGCTATGTCTGCATTGACAAAGCATGTGTTGTACTTAGACATATTGTCAAGCAAGGAGACTGGCCAAAGTGGGAAGACACTACAAGATTTATTGTTGACTCCTACCATTACATCAACCATCGGACCACTGACTATATCTGTCGTACTTGGTGTAATCCAGCGCCTCTGAATGGCTCTGCTCCCAATCTTGTAACTGTTGAGCAAGACAACAGTGGTAACTTCTATTACAAAAGAGCTTTCAATACTCAAGTAAGTGCTTACTGAATTGACTCTGTATTAGCTAGCTAAATAATGATTATTCAGGCTTGTGAGCAACTAAATGCTTGGCTGGGTGGCTTTCAGACAGTCTTGAACAAGATGTCTGTTAGCAACTTTGACTTTACCATCCATGCTTTATTGTTTTTGCATACTCAACGGGTAATTGCAAAGCAACAGAAGAAGAAGCAAAGGAATGTAGAAGAGAGCAGTGATGATAGTGATGATGAGGCAGGGGTTGATATTGAAAGAGATGATGAGGTATAAAGCTTTGTACTTTAGATATTACTCAGATGTTGTTTATGTGTAGTTCAGATGATATTCAGGTGAAGTCCAGATAAAGTTCAGGTGACGTTCGGCCAATGTTCAGCAAATGTTCGACTAAAGTTCAGGTGACATTCGGCCAATGTTCAGATGCTGTTCGGGTGATGTTCACCTGATGTTCAGATGTCGTTCAGGTAGTGTTCAGGTGGCATTCGGAAGATGTTCAGATGACATTCATCTGGCATTCGGATAAAGTTTGGGTGATCTTTGTTCACCTGAACATCACCCGAACATCATCTGAACATTATCTGAACCTGAACAAAGGCTACAAACAGAACCTGAACATTACCTGAACATTCGGTGAAATTCACCTGAACAATATCTGAACAATACCCGAATACCCGAACGTCACCTGAACATCAGGTGAACATGTGGTGGACTGCAACATACACCTGGTGATGGTCTTGCGGCCAGATTGAGGGGCTTGGCTCCCAAGAATGCGGCTAAGACCATATATTCTGAAGACGGTGACAATCAATGAACTGGTTCTCCCTTGATTGCTAAATCATGGCCTTTTGAGCAGATGAACCACCTGTGGAATTCAAGTCTAAGAAGCCTGAGGAGGACGAGGACGAGGACGAGGACGAGGAGGACGTGGACGTGGACGAGCCATCCGACAAGACCAGTGGCTCAGGCAGTAGCAGTTCCATGGAGGACGAGGAGTCAGATCTTGATGTCAAATCCAAGAGGCGTAAGTCGAAGAAGAGCCAAGTTGAGGAGGACTACGACATAGAGGTTGTTTCACTGCTTTGCGTGCTAACCAAGCTAATGACTCTTCAACCAGATGTTCCCGTTGAAGAAGAAACCTCACAAGAGAAGCGCCCAGGTCACTTCTCTTTCTCTTTCACTAGAGATGAAGCTAACCAACATTTGGCAGACTGTAGCAGAGGATGGCGACGATGAGCTAGTTGGTCGCAGACGGGTTCTAAAGAGGAAGCGTGGTACAGGCCGTCGGAAGGGACGTCGTGGTCCTAAAATCAACATTGAAGACTTCAAACCTTATCCTGAAGCACGACACATTGCAATCAAGGCTAGGGAAGCCATGCGATGTCACATCTGTCTTCAAGAAGCCTTCCCACGCAACATCAATAACTTCATCTGGGACCTAGTACGTAGTACATGTGATTCTCCCAATGAGATCAAGTACCTCGACGGTCTGGAAGAGGCTGAGCTGGATGACGGCGATGATGATGAAGATATCAAAGCCATGTTGATTACCTATGTAAGTTCAATGTCGTCTCTCTCCCTTCAGAAACCTTCCAGCTTATCTTTCCCTCTTCACCGTCCCTCTGATGCTTAGATCAGCTACGTGGGACCATTGATGAGGAATGCCGTGAAGGATCGTGCCACCTTGTTGGCGCCTGGGAACTATCGGTTTCTTGGCCCAGGTTCAGACGCATCCAGCATTAAATCAAAGGTAGCCTTTCTGTTGGAAAAGGGTCACCTTCATTACGCTGAAGTGAACGCTCTGGTGAGTTTGTTTCTTATTCTCACTTGGATATGAGAATCACAACTTTCATTTAGAAGCGAAGCTTTGACGCTCAAGCTCCTTTTGGCAACAGTGCCATAGCTGATGTTATTCGAAGGGTATTCTTTGACGGCTCAGGCAGTCTGACAACCCAGATGGCCTTTGGCAAAATGCTGCAGCTTAAGGCCATACCGAAGGCCCTGCTCGCCTTGGTAATCGCAGCTGTGAGTTCCCTTCCCGACCTCGTCTCTTTAGTACTACGTATACTGATTATTTTTTGTTCAAGCTTCATCATGCAGTTAACGAATATCGTGATGGATACCGTACGGAGGTCAAATTCAAGACAAACATTGTCAGGCCTATGTGAGTAATATAGTACTCTGGTTATCTGTTCTGATTTGACTGAGGGTGATTGCAGTTACGAGCATTATATGGCCAGGCTTAATTATGTCGAGCAGAAGTCGCCAAACTGGTTCAAGAAGTTTCAAGAGTCTTTATGGCGTGATATAATGTTTGTCCATCTTTCGTCCATCCCTTCATTTCAAATGACCTTTGCATATCAGGAATATTTCCAAGCCAGGATTCTTGCATGCTCATGACTACGGTGAAGATCCAGCGGACGATTTTGATGAGGTGGATTTTGACGCCCTAGAGGCAGGCCCTGGCCGGTCAACCTCCAAGTCTAGTACTGCATCATGTACTTCATCTGTGCCTGCCTCTGCCGCTACCTCGTCTACACCTGCCCCTGTCTCTGCTTCTGGACTAGCTTCACAAACACTCTCCAGAAGTCCAACTCCAGTCCCTAGTGCATCGTAGATATCACTTCATTTCTGTTCCTTCCAGCATACATACATACTATACCTACCTTACTATACAAAGTCATCTAATACCCATTCTGCCCTGCTCCAGTATGCAAATGCCAACACCAATTTGGTGGTGATTTTATGAAATCAATGTGAATTATTTCTGTATTGCTCTAATACTACTCTTTGGTATACTTCCAAGCTTCAACATCTTCAACCTCTTGCATACAGGATATGATCTCTGGTGACTAAAGGCAGATTTTGATTTGGACTAAGTTCTTCACATGTCTTGCAATGGATTTCTATGTTGAATGATGGCTATGAAATCTTTTGATAGGTTGGACAGGTTTGATTGCTTTGAGGGCTTCGGTGGCTTTCAAGGATTTGAAAGGTTTTGGGTCTTTCCAATCTTTCAAGGATTTGAGAGGTTTTGGGTCTTTCCAATCTTTGGGTCTTTCGTAGGTGACAAACGACGTCAAACAAACCATACATTAGGATTAGCTCAGGGAAAGAGTCAACATTTATGTTCTGATTGCTTTAACATTTCGATATCCAGTTGAACCTTTGTTTGAAATCTTAGTTGGCTTGCAGAGGTTTAATGGCTCCTGTCAGCTTATTTATGCTCTGGGCAGCTTCTGTCGGGCTTCAAAGCCCAGGGGGTTTTTCCTGATGGATGCAGTGGCAAAGGCGGCGGAGGAGCTGAAGAAGACCCAGGGCAGTCGCAAGACAGTCCGGAGCGCGGAATGGTCTCAATCGGACGGACTCCTGATGTTCCAGGGTAAGATCTACGTTCCGGACTCACCGGACTTGCGTCGGACCATTGTAGCCCAGCACCATGACACTAAGGTCGCAGGACACGCTGGCAGATGGAAGACCCTAGAGCTCGTTTCACGCAGCTACTGGTGGCCCAACATGTCCCAGTACGTCGGATCCTACACCCACCATTGCGACCTCTGTCTCCGGACAAAGGCCCAAAGGCATCCGCCCATGGGTGAACTCCATCCGCTTCCCATTCCGGATGAACACTGGGATTGCCTGAGTGTTGACTTCATCGTCGAGCTTCCGGAGTCCGATGGATTTGACGCTGTCATGAATGTGGTCGACTCTGTAAGCAAATGTGCCCACTTCATTCCGACTCACATCACAGTGTCTGCCCTCGGATCCGCAAACTTGTACCTGCAGAACGTCTGGAAGCTGCACGGACTCCCTTGGTCCGTTGTGTCTGACCGGGGTCCGCAATTCGTCGCAGAGTTCACCCGAGAAGTCTACCGGATGCTCGGAATCAAGCTGGCTGCCTCCACTGCGTACCACCCTCAGTCCGACGGACAGACGGAACGGACCAACCAGGAACTCGAGTCCTATCTCCGGATCTTTGTCGGAGAGCGTCAGGACGACTGGGCTCGCCTCCTACCTATGGCGGAGTTTGCGTACAACAACCGGGTCCATGCGTCCACTCAGCAGTCACCCTTCCTCCTGGATACCGGCCGTCATCCTCGTCTCGGGTTCGAACCTCATCAGCCACCGTCTCGGATGGAGTCCGCAAACGAGTTCGTAGACCGGATGAAATCCGCAGTTGACGAGGCTCAGTCCGCATTGGTCAAGGCTCAGGACGACATGAAGCGCTACTACGATCAGCGTCGGACTCCCACTCCGGAGTACCAACCGGGTGACAAGGTCTGGTTGGACTCGTCGGACATCAACCTTGCCCGACCCTCCCGGAAACTCGGACATGCACGACTTGGTCCTTACAAGGTCGTCCGGAAGGTTGGCAAGGCAGCGTACCGGCTCCAGCTCCCTCCGGGCTTATCCCGTCTCCATCCTGTCTTCCCCGTGGTCAAACTCTCTCCCTTTGTGCCGGACCCCATCCCGGGTAGACGCCCTGTCGCTCCGCCACCTCCGCAGCTCGTTGACGGAGAAGAGGAGCATGAGGTAGAAGAGGTCCGAAATAGCAGACAGTTCGGTCGGGTCCTGAAGTATCTGGTGTGCTGGCGAGGCTATGGTATCGAGCACGACTCCTGGGAGCCCGCGAGCAACCTCCAGCATGCCGCCCGGAAGGTCAAGGACTTCCATGATCATCACCCGGACGCAGTACGCGTACTCCGGACGAGTCCGGTGAATCCGACGACTGCTCTACCTCTCCGGATGACTCCTGCAGCACTGGACCAGTCCTGGGAGCGTTGGCGCAGTCGGAAGGCTCCGGGCTCCGCGCAGTCGTACTTCGACATCTTCTCACAGCAATCCAGAGTTTCGGGGTTGGTGAATTCATGGCGCGGCAGGCAGGAATCTTCGTGTCGGGTCGCCGCAACCTTGAAGGGGGGGTGATGTAAGGGGACACTCCTATTTTCTCCTATTCCCCTGTCCCTCTCCCTTCCTCCTTCGTTTCCTTTCTCCCTTCCTTCATCCCATGGACTATTATCTACATTCCCTTCATTCCCTTTCCTTCCCTCTCGCCCCCTTACCTTTCTGCTTCGTGTACATGACACTGACCCACGGGTCTGAGCTGAGTCTAGGTTGAGTCTGACTCAACTCTGACTGAACTCTGAGAGTCTAAGTAGAGTCTGTATGAGTCTGACTGGACTCTGACTGGACTCTGGGACTCTGACTACACTCCAAGCAGAGTCTATCTGAGTTGAGTGAGAGTCCACTCAGACTACGGTTGGACTCCACTCATCCAGAGTCAGTTTAGACTCTATCTAGATTGAACCCAAAACTCTATCAAGAATTCAGATAGATTACACTTGTCCTGAATGTGTAAGGGCAACCTCAAGATGGCCGACAGTGCAGGCCTAGCAGAGGGAGAATCCAAAGAGAATAGGATAAGGATTCTCCATGGGGAAAGGAAAGGGAGCAAAGGGGAGCTGTGACGACGGTGTACCTACCTTACATAGAAGTAGTCATCATGGTAGTTATCACTAGATATTAAAAACCCGACAATGTAACACTTTACTCTTACTCCTACGTTACCCCGCACGTGAACTGACCTTGCCCATCCCCCGAGTGGGTCATCCTCCCCATAGCCTGGGTCACAGGCGATCCCCTTTCCCGAGGCCACGGGACCCTCTCGCTAGGGATACAAGCTCCCCCACTTGAGCGGCTTGACATCTTCTACACGGTCGTTACAGGAACGAAAGGGAATGAAAGGGATGTAAGTAAGAGTCCGTGGGATGAAGGAAGGGAGAAAGGAATGAGGAGGAAGGGAGAGGGACAGGGGAATAGGAGAAAATAGAGGTGTCCCCTTACAGAATGACTCTGTGTGTTAATTCACAATCAAATAGTTCAATAAGTCATGTATGAAGTGGTGATTTGAAGTTCTGGTAAATTATTAAACAATTTAAATGCTACTCAGAGTAGTACACTAAATAGACTCAGATTGGATTAGTCACATGGGAGTAAGTTATATAAACTCTTAATCTTATAATCTGATAATATTATGCACCCATTCCAAAGAACACTGAGACTCAGATAGACTCAGATAAGAGTCATTACAAATGCAATTGAACTTGTGATTTGAACAATAGGAATCTACTAATGTACACATGCTTCAGAAGAGAGTCAACAGTTGTGTAATAACCTCTAACTTACTCCATAGAAAAAAAAAATAACAATATCTGTGATTGATTTGATATTAGAAGGCTCCATTGCCGAGTAATATGAGAATCAAAATCAGTATAAATTCAACCCAGACTCTTAGCCCAACTTGCCAAGATTGCCACATTTTATATGGCTGAACTCTGACCTGGCTCTCACTAGACTATGGTTAAACTCCAGCTCCACTCCAGCTCCACTCTGAGTAACTCTGGTAGCCAGAGTGAACCTGGATTTGGATGGAGTCCAACTTGAGTGCAGTCTGAGTCTGGATCAACTCTGAAACTCCAGGTAGAGTCTATATAGAGTCAATTCCACTCCAGATGGTTTTGGCCTGTGAAACATGTCAACTCTGACCTGACTCTGACCTGACTCTGACTTGACTCTCATCTGAGTCCAGAACTCTGACTTGACTCTCATCTGAGTCCAGAACTCTGACTGGACTCCAACTAGAGTCCATCCTTAACCCGTGGGTCAGTGTCATGTTCTCTCTGCTTCCCTTCCGTTCACTCCCTTCGCATCCGAGCCCCGTCCGGTGACTCCGAAGTCTTCCCGCGCTTCGGACTCGCCTCGGACTCGCTCGGACTCGTAGATACACTTCGGGGCTCGTCCGGGCTACCTCTATCCTCCTTTCCCACTTCATTACTCCTTGTCCCCACTTCCCCAGGTCGCTGGCACGACTCCTGTACATTCCCCTTCCACTTCATTATCACATGCCCCCTCGTACCTTGTGATATTCGTTCGTACCTGTGGCTGGTGTACTGTACAGTTACCCTTCATTCCTCCCACGCTACTACAGTATATACTTCGCTTCCTAGCATGGAGAATCCTTATCCTGTTCTCTTTGGATTCTCCCTCTGCTAGGTGAGCAGCTCTCTCATGTATTGCAGTTAGTCTTATTCATCTCTTTGGATTCTCCCTCTGCTAGGCTTGCACTGTGCGGCTATCTTGAGGTTGCCCTTACAGCGATGGTCCGGTTCATTGTATTAGACGATGCCCTCATCGTGTCCTGTAAGGGTTGAACCCTTTCGTTCCGTGCAGTCCGACTTCCCCTATCCCCTATTGACCCCTCTCCGACTCCTCGGACGCACTCACACATGACTCGGATGTCACGAACCCGTACCGGACACACGTGATAACGGATCAGACATTTCGGATCAATGTTTCATATCTCTTTTGTTCTCGGACTCTAATACTTGATTATACTAGCCCCATTATTCGTTCCTGGTGCCTTTTCGTTTCGGTCCTTTCTGATATTTTCTTAGCTACAAAAACCTTCTGTACTCATAGTTAGAAGAATTAGACTTGTTTCCCCCCCACATTGAGTCAGAACTCAAGTCGTCCGAAGCTTTCGCCTCATCCGCTGTCAGAGTCTGCCGTTGTCCGAGTCTGAGTCTGATCTGAAGCTACTTTCTCCTGCTGTCCTTATCATTCTCCTGCCGTCCTCATCGTACCATCCGAAGCCGAGTTGTCTGTTCCGCATCCAAGCGTGTCCGAAGCCATCCAAAGCATCCAAAGTTTCTTATATGTTCCTTCTCACTCTCGGACTCATCGTTATCACACTTAGTTCACTCAGGTGTTGCACGGACTTGTCCTGCCGGAGGCGGACCCTCGTATTTTCATTAAACTATCTACTGTACTAGTCTACGTGTATATTCACTACTACAATATATATTATGTGTAAGGCCTCAGCCACAGAAAGAGGTCTTCAGAATGGGTTGCAACTACGAAATAATCTGGTCCTGGAGGCCCCTACATGTACTGTAGTAGTGAATATACACGTAGACTAGTAGATAGTCTAATGAAAATGCGAGGGTCCGCCTCCGGCAGGACAAGTCTGTGCGACACCCGAGTGAGCTAAGTGTGATAAACGATGAGTCCAAGAGTGAGAAAGAACGTATAAGAAACTTTGGATGCTTTGGATGCTTCAGACGCCTCGGATGGCTTCAGACGCACTCGAACGCGGAACAAACAACTCGGCTTCGGATAGTACGATGAGGACGGCAGGAGAATGATAAAGGACGACAGGAGACAGTAGCTTTGGATCGGACTCGGACTCAGACAATGGCGAACTGTTAAGAGCCACACTCACAGGGGGGCTCGGGATATGCGGACCCGCGGGTGCGCGGTTCCATGTAGACGCACGGGGGAAACGAGGGGAGCGAGGACGTACGGGCTTGGCTTCAGCTACTGGCTGCGCCTCCCACACTCTTGCGTGCCCTGTATTTCCAAGAGGAGTCCTACACGGGTACCAAGGGTACGGGCGGAGGCGAAGGGATGCAATGGAGGGAAACCTCAATAGAGAGGCGAGGGTGCGAGTGAGGAAAGGAACTAATATTTGAACCAAGGTAACTGTATGTACAGTACAGGAATATATACTGGGGAACATGCGGCGTCCGCGCGTTCACAAACAGCAATGAGTCTGGTTGTAATAACTACAGTGTGCTCGAATATGTACTTAGTCCGTAATCCAAGAAGTCCGCGTGGCCGCATGTATGCACGGCCCAAGCCCATAGCCGGGAACACACGTGGATGCGCCCCTAGTAGCCCCTAAAGGGTTCCTTGGATGCGCCTATAACACGAACTCTGACAACGGATTGAGGAGAAAGCTTCGGACGGCTTAGGATCTGACTCGATGCAGGGGGGAAACAAGCTTAGTTTTTCTAACTATGAGTACAGGAGGTTTTTGTAGCTAAGAAAATATCAGATGAAGGAAAAGTCCGAAACGAAAAGGCACCAGGAACAAATAATGGTGCTAGTATAGTCAAAGTATTAGAGTCTGAAAACAAAAGAGATACAAAACTTCGGTCCGAGATGTCTGATCCATTATCACGTGTGTCCGGTACGGGTTCGTGACATCCGAGTCATGTGCGAGTGCGTCCGAAGAGTCGGAGAGGGGGCGATAGGGGATAGGGGAAGTCGGACTGCACGGAACGAAAGGGTTCAACCCTTACAGTACTGCCCTAGATGCAAATCAGATTGCGGTACAATCCTGATCAGGCAATAAATTCATACAACAATCATCCATTGGTCTTGGTCGCCCATACAGTTCCCATTTCAGCATCAGTTTCTATGCTATGTGCAACTGTAGCTGTGGTAGACTTGCTTCCTTGGCTGCCTTTATATCTTTCCTTCAAGTGAGAAAGTGGGATATCAACTGTTGTCTCTCGGCCGGAGCCATCCAAATGTGGGATCGAGCCACCAGTGGCGGACGCGAAGGCAATTGGCGCGGATGTGTTTCCTCCTTTAGCTAACAGTGTGTCGCTCGTCCATGCTCGTCCCTGAGCAACACGGTATATGATCAAATAGTTGGCAACCATCTAAAGGCCAATTATATAAGATGGACTGACTTCACGCAACAGAATGACTGACCTGAACCGAGGGACTCACACCAAGGAATATCTGGTTGATAGGATGTCCGATTGAATAGGTGGCGAGCAGCAAGATAGAGACAATAGTATACATAGCTGCTGACTCGACGAAGACGGTGGAGATAGAGGTGTAATGTTGACCAAAGCTCTTGCCAAAGACCGAGCGGCCTTGACGTTGGTACCCCCAGATGCGTACAACAATCATGAGTGTGAGGACAATATTGAGGGACAGAGAGATCGCCAAGAAGACTGTGCCAAAATTGACGGTTGATTTGCTGAAAAACCCAATTGTGGGCGACGCGGTGTCGACAGTGTATATTATTGCCATCACTGTGGCCAAATATTGATTTAGGCATTAGCACGTTGACAATGGTTTCAAACTGGTGGCATACACATACCGATGGATGCCACAAGCATTAGGGTTGGAAAGATCATGACAAAATCGATCTTCTTCCCTAAAGACGCGGTCCATATAATCCGGCAACGCCATAGCTGCAGTCATGATCAGTGACTAGATATTTTGGCACACAACTTGAAAACCCACTCACCAATAAGGTATCAGCCAAAATGTTCCCTATGATGTATGATGCCAACGCCAGGACATTGACTGGAAGGGAGAACTCTACAAGCAGAAATCCAAGGGGCCCGCCTGGATAATTACGATTCTCGATGAAGGTGAGCTGAAGACCGTAGGCTGAAGTGCCAGTCCATATGGTGTTCATCGCGCACAGGACAGTGATATATCCAATAAGGAAGTATATGAAAGGAGCCCGCTTCTTCCGTTGCAGGAGAATTCGAACGCAGGCGCCATACAGAGTGAGTTGAACACCTGTGAAGGTGACGAAGAGAAATCAGTACTGGTCAATTCGACATTCCGAGTATGCGATGTCCTACCGAAGCCTAAGCCTGTGAGATATCCGCTAGCCAAGAAGGTCTTCTCTAGGAATATTTCATCGTTAGTCTCTCCAACGGGTCTAAAGTAGGTGGAATTGGACGGGTCAGACATGTGGATGCAAGTGGATATCGTGTCAAAGAGATGATAGCACAGTGAAAAGACACCCGAGCTATTTTGCCAAAGTGTACCGTATTGCTGGGCAGCATCACTTATCATTGTACAGCACCCCGAATCTACACGTGTCACGATATTGTTCCTGTAGAGCCACGAAAATCATCATATTCTGATCTTAAATTGATATTTGTTGGATACTTGAGATCGGGAAGCAAACGAGAAGCAAATGGAAGCCGAATCAAGGAAGATAACGCGCAGTGAACGAGATTGGTGGGTGAACTCATGTATTCTCGGTGACGGCAAGAACATCTTCGGAGCTAAAAATAGCGACATTTATTGGTTGTAAGATGCCGAACAAAGATGATGCACAGGCCATTGGGTCATCAAACTGTCCTTCACACGATTGATGCGCGCTGGGCCATCGTCACCACTGAGGCCGAGTGATTCAGTCCGAGAACCTGGGTTCGAAGAGATAAGGGGCGTACCTGGATTTGGACGATTGTGGCCTTGCGACCACTGGATGTGTACATCTTCACTTCCAGCAGCAAACTCGAACACATGGAGTGAATCGCGTGAGCAGAAGAAGCTGTGAGTGTAGTTTGTACCAGGTGTGATGGTAATGGAGCCGATCTTGGAGACACGGGTGGGCCTGGTATCCCATGTCAAAGATTTGGGGTCTATCGGCCAAGATGGAGTGTTCGTGACAACGTGCCAGATATCAACCAGGTTCTGACTAGTCCCCAGTTCGATCGCGGCGCCTGGGTCGACGGGAACGGTCACGATCAGCTGGCAATTCTCCATCTTATAGCCAACTGACCGAAACTCGATGATCGTGGAGACCTGGAAATGGGATATGAGTCGAAGTCCCCATGTTCGAATGGTGGACTCGCCTGGGAAGTGACCTTGAATTGCTTGTCCTCCGGCGGGACCATCTTTCCCCAAGCCGCAAACCTCTTTGGGTCATCCGAGTAGGCGCGCTTTGGCTCCAACTTGTTGACTCGAGCGAGCAGGTTGGGGGAGATTTTGTATGGGTCGGGAGCGACGACCGGTAGGCGAACCCGCTCGAGGCCAACGAATTGGTTGGGACGCTTCATACCGCCGAGATCTATGAATCTCGTAGGGGGCTGTGGTCCTTCTACCGTCAAGAATATGTGGACGTTGATACCGGTGCAAAGAATAGCGAGGACGACGGCGAACGCCGTGAACTTGCTGTAGCCTAGACACTTGTTCGTAAGTACAGAGACGGCAGTATGATTAGGAGGAGAACAGGCCTGCGTCTCTCCCAGAACGTTGCATGGAATACAACGCTCGTCCACGAGAAATGTGGTATTCAGAAGACATGTCAGTGCGGCGCAAACTCTTCGCCTGTCCCGAGGTTGATCTCGTTGTTTCACCTTGCGGTGTAAACAAGTTGTGAGCGTGTGCATGGTTGAGCATGCGATCCCAGAGCGATCCGGTCACAGCGCATGGAAGTTCAACGAGTTCAAGGAAGTAAGACGCACCACTTTGTCTCACGCCCACCATCACAGCGACCCCAAGGACCTCCGACTCTGGAAATCCTTCTTGATGATGATTTTAAGTACGCAGCAGCGTCGAACACTCCGATGAGACCACCTCACCATGAGTCGAAACCGCCTTGCTGCTTACGGGACCTGGGTGTCGCCCATCAGCGCTGAATCCGTGGCCGCCCAGGTAAGGGATGGTTGGCTCGTGGTCGACGCCGCGCGCTGACATCTACGACGCGACGTCTAGAGTCTCTCTGCTGGTACCGAAGACATTTTCCTTGATCGCGTCACGTCCAAGGTGTACTTTGCCCAGAAGCGCCCAGAGGAGAGTGAGAGGACTTGTCACTTGTTCGACAATTCCTGGGATGCGCGTACCCAAGTGCACGAATACGGGGGCGCCGCTGCCATCGTCTTCGACGGTGTTCTTTATTTCTCCCATTTCACCGACGGACGGGTGTATCGCTGCGAGAGGGGTTCCGTTCCCGAGCCGGTCACGCCAGGTAAGGTGACAGTTGCTTCGCCTAGATGGTCACCCTGACCAGGAGTTGTAGTGAATCCTGCTCAACGCTTCGCCGATTTCGCTGTACACCCCAAACATCCGAATCTCATTGTATGCACCGCCGAGGACCATACAAACCCACATCCAGCCAAGGTCGTTACCAAGCTTTGTACCATCGACGCTGGAAAGGGCACTGTCGCCGATCTCGTGCAAGGCGCCGACTTTTATGCATGCGCAAGGTTCAGTCCGGACGGAAAACACTTGGTGTGGCAACAATGGTCTGTGTCAACATCCTCCCACTTTTCACCCATCCTGACCGCGCATTCTTAGGCATCATCCTGAACTTCCCTGGCAGAGTGCGGGGGTCGTAGCACCTTGCTCTGTGTCCGAAGATACCCAGCAACTCTCCCTCGGTCCCACCACCCATGTCGCAGGGGAGCACGGATCCGTTTCCGCTCAGGACCCAGGTTGGGCTTCTGACAACACTCTGTTCTTCTGCGACAGCAGTGGCTATCAAAACCCGTGGAAGTTCACCTTCAATCCCATCAATTTGGCGGCCACTGGCAAGGCTTCTCCCATCCTTCCGACACCAATCGAGGAAGAGTTCGGCGCTCCGCAATGGTGGCTCAGCCGCCACGGTTCAGGTGCTCTGAATACCACCACGGTAGCATTCCTTTCGTTCCGGCAAGCTCGATCAACACTTTATGTGTGCGACATCGTCAAGGGCTCGCTCGTTGAGGTCCCTACCGACTTTGCGCATATCCAGTACATGCATGGAGACGGAAAGGGAAAGGTAGTGATGCTCGGGCAGCCTTCTGACTCTGGCGAGGTACTCAGCGAGCTGGTTCTGAGTACCGACGGGAAACCAATTGTCCGCCCAGTTACTACCCACGAAGCCACTCCATCACCGGGAGGCTTGCCGCCTCACGCCTCGATATCCACACCTCAATATTACGCCTTGAAGCTTGCTCCCGACAATCGAGTTTGTCATGTCACGTACTACGGCCCGAAGAATACGGAGTACGATGGAGGTCTTCCCGGTGAACGACCGCCAGTAGTCGTCTTGATTCATGGCGGACCTTTCTACATGGAACCTTCGGCGCTAGATTGGTCAAAGCAGTTCTTCACGTCGCGGGGATGGGCATAGTATGTTTCCGGCATCTACGCCTTTACTTATTGCACTGACTTCATGCACTGCCTCTAGTCTTGATGTCAACTACGGCGGATCCACTGGCTTCGGTCGCGCATACCGGTTCGTAGTCACGTCTGCCTTTTACCTATGCTTTCTCACGTCCTCGTGCATATAGAGAAAGTCTTCACGGTAAATGGGGCATCCTGGACATCCAGGATGCCTATCATAGCGTGCTCCAGCTAGATGAGATGGGTTTGTTGGACAAGAGCCGTGCGGTTGTTCACGGTGGCTCCGCCGGTGGCTACTCCGTCCTTCAAATTGCTACTACTCTTCCGACCGAGTTCGCCGCCGGAGCCCCTCAGTATGGCATCTCGGACATGAGGAAGCTCGACGAGATATTGCACAAGTTTGAGTACTACTTGTGTGATCGTCTGATGGGCGGAACGTACGAAGAGATCACTGAAGTCTGGCATGAACGTTCGCCGATTTATCACGTCGACAAAATCAAGATGCCTCTCTTGGTTAGAGTCACAGTTGTTTTCAGTCGACTTACGTTGCTGACACTTTCTTGTAGGTCCTTCAGGGTGCGAAAGACACCGTAGTCCCTGCCGAACAGATGATCAACATGGTTAAGACCATCCAAGCTGCGGGAGGGAAAGCGGAACTCGTGTTGTTCCCCGACGAAGGCCACGGATGGAGGCAGGCAAAATCAATTCAAACCACTCTTGAACGAGAGCTTTCGTTCTTCAGCGAGGTTCTTGGTCTCGAAAATGGCGCTTGAACAGTCTATGAACGTACAACTACGACATGCTTGTTTGTCCCTTACAAACTATGTTTGCTACCTTTCTGTGTTATTGAATCGTATTCCATGCTTGCGTACGCGAGACCTGGTCTAACGAGGCTCTCAACATTATCTTGAGCTACGCGTCTTGCTTTCGTTGGCGACGCTTGTGTGAATCGGTAGAGATTGGCTCCATCATTTCTGCGCGGCAAGGTACGCAGAGAGCGGGTCCTACACAGCCGAGAATATGCCTCTTCCCTCAGACTAGTGCACGTCCTTAACATCGACCACACTTACCGCCCATGTTTCGTATCTGACTATCTTCCCCTTCACAATCTCGAATCGACTGACGAACGTTTCCTCCCACTTCTTACCCGTCTCCTTGTATTCGAACTCGCCGGCGCCCTTCACATACACAACGTCGGCATCGCCAGCATTGCTCGCTGACAACTCAGTGTATTCAAATTTGTGTATCTTCAGCGATTGAGATAGGGCCTCGAGATACTTCTCCATACCCGAGTACCCATGGAATTCGATGCCGAGGAATGGTAGTTCTGGCGCTTTGGACCCATGCTCTACGACGAGAACATCTGGAGCGAGACAGGATATTATCGCTTCGGTGTTGGTGCTGTCCATTCCCACCTTGAAGGAGTCAACAATTGACTTGGACATCATCGCGAAGATGTATCCTGTACGTAGACGATAGAGCAGGTTTGAAGCAAGTTGATCCCGATCGACAATGATCGCTACCCGCAATATAGGGGTTCTTCAAGATTGTACGACTAAACGTAAGTATATTAGACATAAAATGTGTACGACCGTATGGGAGCGTTGAATCATAAGGCGGCACTGGGCCTGATTCCCTTGCACGTTATCGTACTGTTGCCCAGCAAACCCATAGTGGGTCGTATGCAAATTGAGAATCTGTGGAACGGATACGGCCACAAGGACTTGCGTAAAGCACTAGTCATGGGATGGAATCTTATGTTGGATCAGCGGCTATTGTGAGTTATCGACTGAACGAGGAAAATATCAGCAACAATTCGCATGATGAAAAGCAAATATTGCAATTATATGTAAGTCGTCGTCATATACGCGTACATCGAGCAAAGTATTGCATTTGAACCGCGCCTGAGAGCGGCGGCAGTCCTGCCGCACGTAGTCTTGAAACTTTCTTGATCGACCTCAGCCAGTGATCAAAACACCGAGGGCGCACCAGCGCACCCGCGCGCAGCAGACCCGACATCTGCAAAATGCCTGGCATCCACCTCCACCTGCTGCGCATCAGTCTTCCAGTTCCCAAGCCACTCATTATGCAACCCGCATGTCCACTTCACGAAGATCGGGGGCGGCTCGTGGAAGACGTTACCGCGGAACACGCGGCAGAAAATGCCCCTGGACTCATCGAAGAGGTATTCGAAGGCGAGGAGGGAGTCTAGGGGGCCGAAGATGCGGAGCGAAGGGAAGGATGTTTGCGGGACAAGGGGACCACAGAGGCGGATAAATTCGATGTTAGGCGAGGCGATTGAGATCACGGCGATCAAACGGTAGACCCTTTCTAGGTTGAGGATCTAATAGGAAGGAAGAGAGAGTTAATGTGAGCGTTGGGAAGGGGGAGCAAGAGATTGACGCACGTGAGGAGCAACTACTGTGAGAGTCTTCAGGTTCCTGAAGTGGGAGATAAACTCGTAGAAAACATCAATAGAATACTGGTCCAGGCCAACAGATAGAACTTGGACCGAGTCCGTATCATCACATGAAGGGAACAAAGCAGTGTCGCTGTTCGCAAGCAAGGACATTGAAACCTGCAGATGCGAGATAGGGCGGCCAGGCAAGAGCAGAGTGCTGAAACACGATGTACAGTGCAAGACTTGGAGGTTCGGGAGAGCACCTGGGTGAAAGGTAATGTCCGCGGAGGGTGGGTAGAGACTGTTGAATTCCAGACGGGTTATCTCTGGTTGAGTATGCAGGAACCGAACGAACGAATCCATCATGCGAATCGAGCTCTTCCAAATTAGTTCCTTGAGCGAGGCCCGTCGGCAATGAGCGTTGTGGTCGGACATGATAGGCTCGGGAAGTTTTCCGTGAAAGAATGTCAAGTAATCGTCTGCAAACGAGCGTGTTGAGTCCCGAAATTGGACGGATTCGAGGTTCGGAAGGTTGTTGAGGAGCCAGTCAAGGTAAGGCGAATGGTTAATTGGTGCGTCGCAGCCGTCGAAGGAGATAGCCAGCCGTCTGACAAGATATAAGCGCTCCATGGGTTCGTTCCTTAGGACGACGGCGAGGACATAAGGTGTGGAACACCAAAATTCGGCCTGCAGAACAAAGGATTGGTAGAGAACATCCGCTGGCAGAAATTTCCATTGCCTGGGATCTGGCTCGAGGCGAAAGAGAGACTGGGCATCCAGAAAATCGAAGATTTTGTTGTATTCTTCAATTCGCACAGCGTTGGGATACATCGAGGTCGAGGTGGAAAGGTGATGCGGAATAAGGATGCTGGGCTGCTCACTTAAATACTCGCCAGGCCCATGCATGTGGTTATGTGGTCATACTTCAGCCTGTGGCCACGCAAGTCATTGTGGCTAAATGTTCTTTGCCTGTTCAGGCTAATGTGAAGGGGAATCACGGAGAAAGCAAGACTCACGGTCCAAGTCAGCACGTTGTTCTCGTGAAGCACTCCTCCATCGGTACACGCCTGGCCTGTTGTTCGCGACGTCGAAAAAGCGCAGCACCTAATCTATAATCCTTGCCTCACGGAAAGCGCGCAACGGGCACAAATGGGGGAAATAGAAGGTTATACTGCTCCGAAGTATTCGTTCGGTCGGGCTCGGTGACTGTAGAAGAGGAATCAGAGCGAAGAGTTGAGGTTGAGGTTGAAGGATACCAGTCGACCCCCCCTGAGCTTTAGACGCCCGCGCGTGTGAACCTTTCAGCCACGGCGACTGCACTCCCTTGACGATCGCAACGAATCCTCAAACCTCCTCCTCAAGACCTCACCGCCGGCCTGACCTCGAAACTTGAAAATGGTGAGCATCAACGTCCGCAACGCCCATCCCAGGAGCCATAGCAGTTGTTCTCCATCCTCTACATCAATTCCAAAGGATGGATGGTAAGCCTTCACTTCAGATGCACTTGACGGCCCAGTTCGTTGACTTTTTCCGTTAGAACCATTTCAGCATCGCAAAATATCTTGTATAACGCTCACTGAGAGCCTCTTATCGGGTAGCGATATCAATGCTGGGCTTGCCGTAAAACGCTTGCGCTAGAGCTCCGGGGGACGCTTGCTTGCATTTTCAGAATGCTCGTAGCTAACCTCGTCTCAATGACCAGCCCCCCAAAGCCAAAGCAGGATCCGGCAAGAAGCCCGCTGCCGCCCCATTCGGCGCCAGCAAATCCAAGAAGGCAGCGAAGAACCCTCTCTTCGAGTCCACCCCAAAGAACTTTGGCATTGGTATGTTGCGCTGCGATGGATCTATTACTGGGTCTATAACATCGTGATGTGAATAGGTCAGGACATCCGCCCCACCACCGACCTCACCCGCTTCGTCAAGTGGCCTGAATACGTCCGTCTTCAGCGCCAGAAGGTCATCCTCCACCAACGCTTGAAGGTTCCCCCCGCCATCGCGCAGTTCTCCCACACCCTCGACAAGAACACCGCCACTCAGCTCTTCAAGCTCCTCAACAAGTACCGTCCTGAGTCCAAGGTCGAGAAGAAGACCCGTCTTGAGGCTGCTGCTGCCGCAGCTGCTGACGGAAAAGACACCAAAGACGTAAGTTCACGTAGTTACGGAGATCACAGTGTATTGAATGTATCCATGATACAGGAGAAGAAGCCCCTCTTCGTCAAGTACGGATTGAACCACATTGTCGCCCTCGTTGAGGCCAAGAAGGCTTCTCTCGTTGTCATTGCCCACGATGTTGACCCCATCGAGCTTGTTGTCTTCCTCCCCGCCCTCTGCCGCAAGATGGGTGTCCCCTACGTCATCGTCAAGGGCAAGGCCCGCCTCGGCACAGTCGTCCACAAGAAGACCGCTGCCGTCGTTGCGCTCCAGGACGTGAAGAGCGAAGACCAGCGCGAGCTTGCTACTTTGGTCAGCGCCGCCAAGTCCAACTTGTACGTATCCCTCCACATTCGGTGTGCGTTTTGGTTTATCAATTTCTTTGTCTATGTAGCTCTGACAAGTACGAGGAGCAACGCCGCCAATGGGGCGGAGGTCTCCGCGGCAACAAGTCAACCCAGATGATGCGCAAGCGTGCCAAGGCTGCCGGACAGAGCGTCGCCGCTGCTTCCCTCGGCAAGCTCTAAGCTTCGTTCATTACCGTATGATATATTCGACAAACAGTATGAAGTATGCACGTTTACCTACGTCCTCATGTTGTATGCTCCAGTCACATCAAAATCCTTCGCGCGGTTGCTCACCTTCTGGTACCTGTTATCATGACCATAGAGTGCAGTCCTACTCCTCACATAGGCTTTATGAAGCGGTAGCTGTAACCCAGATGAATAAGCCACATCTCACGCACCATGTATTCTGTACTAGTCGTGTCCCAGTAGAATAGAACGGGATGCCTGTCGAGGGTGTAGGTTGGACTACCTTAAAACGCTTTTGTTGAGCGGCACGAGGGTACCGTCGTCGCATGGAGGCTGGCAGAAACAGCGAGCCGCTGAGAGTCCTCAACTTCTGTCCTGACCCACAGAGGCTACGTAGTAGCAACAAGATTATATCATTATCTACATTTTTATGGGTTATCCACAAGATTCTCAGAACATTTCTAGCTTCATGTTATTTAACTCGTTGACCATGCTTCCAAAGCCCTGCACAGTTGAGGGATCTCCGCCTTCCTTACACTTGTTCCGTCACTTTCCCCTCTCCTTCATAGATAAACGTCACCTTCGACGTCGAGTCGAGAGACTGCAAATACGCAGAGAGCGATTCAGTATCAAAGAGGTTTGTAGGTATGTTCGGGGGGAGGGGACGTACCATATTGGACGACCCGGATTGCTTCTCTTCATCAGCGATAGTAGACATGATCTCCATCTCCAGCGCATCCGTAATATCGTCCATCTGCTGGCTTTGGGTGGAAGGCTCGACGTCGGTGGCGAACTCTTTCGTGGTATCGATCATGATGGAGATGTTCGTCTGGGTCGGGCGCTGTTGATTGGGTTTTGGTTTGAGTACGGAAGTCGTGGAAAGAGGGGGGAAATGGAGGGGGAAGGAGGGGGACGTAACGTGCCTTGTTTAAGCGAGCGATGCTCTTCAACGACTTGGTCGCAGGTATCTCGCGGAAGGATATATTGTTGTGCTCGCTTGTGCTTTGGATACCTCCAGAGGCAGCACGGATCATCTTGCGAGCGTTCAGCGTCGCGAGGAGAGAATTTGAGTACACTGCCAATGGAACGCCGTTAGTCTCTGACGTGCGCGCCTCGACATCGGACGTACGTCTTCCAAGACAGAAAAAGAAGGCGATGTATAAGAAGGTACCCGGCGCGACTGCGATCTATTCCACAATTCTGAAGATGAGCATACGATTCCGGATGGGCACGACGAGGCGAGACTTGCCGAGATGAGAGACGCGATGGCGCACAGACTCGTCAGAACGCCGGTGTTGACAGCGAAGATAATCTAGGAAATTTGTGTGTCAGAGGAGCAGCAAAGGCGGAAGCCGCACGTACCAGCTTATTGATCATGGAATCCGAACGTTGAAAGCCTGTACGCGAGCGATGGAGGAGCACACAAAGGGCGAAGGCAATCACGACATCGCCAGCAGCTCCCAGAGCGTTGACAGTAATTGAGAGTTCCTGGTAGTTCGATACTTAGATAACTCGGACATATCGCAGCAGCTAGATCAACGGGCAAACCTTAAGCGTAGCGAGTTGTTCGTAAGTTGTAAAGCGTAACCTATATATAATGGATATTAGTGATAAGTAGAGGGGGGAAGGAGAGATGTGGAGTGCGTACGAAAGGGCGGCAAATGCTATTGGTATCAGCTCGTCAGGATCGTTCGCTGGTCATGAGTGGGGAATACTCACCGAGCACACAACCTTCATTGACCTTAGAAGTCAGCAACCAATCTGCGCCACACAGGAATACATACCGAATTCACTCAGCACGAGAAAAGCCTGAGTCATATTAGCCACAGTCCAGAAGATCGAAACCATCGCGCGACTTACCACTAGGCCCGTTAACCAGACGTTCCTGCCGCTCACTAGAAGGTGAGACAAGTGTCATCAACAGTTCTAAAATGATACCCCTAGACATAACCTACGCTGCCAAACCCGCCGTGCTAAGAAACTGAGGATGGACAAAGAGTCAGCAAGTTCCCGGTTTGAGCTGAGTGGGAACCGACCTTTGAACCAAGAACGCAGTAAATCCCTGCTACGAAGTCAGCTTTTGGAAGTTGAAGGTAAGAGAGAAGATACGGACATTGAAGAGAACTTCCACCTAGTACCGTTTCAGGTCAGAATGAGACGAAGCCTAAGCATAAGGAGAAACGTACAAGAACACTCCTACCGTTCAGGCAAAATGTCAGCTCTGACGGCTCAAGAACGTGAAGACGGTAAAAGTACGAACCAAACGAGGTATTTAAGTTGTTCTTGGTTGTTGTAATTGGAAACGAGGTATGTATACACTACAGAGGATGTAAATTGCTGCAGGATATGCCTATGTGAGGCGACAAACCAGTGTGTGATATCAAAATTTGATGAATGGTGTCGAATAACATGACGAACGATACCTTCAAAGACGAAAGTCCTTACGTGAGTCTAAAGAGGCATTAATTGATGCACGTACAAGCGTCTTAACGAGCCACTTGTCGTTTTGATGCGTGAAATAGTACCAGGCTTGAGCACACGATACTATGTCGACATGTCAGTTTTGGAATACAGCCCCCTCGCAATGAACAACTCACCACCATGCAGCCTAGCACGACGAAGAGTGAGCTCAAATATGCAATAAACAAATCATAAACAGTTGCTAACACAGCTGCGACGATCACGCCCACAAACGCAGCGCCGAACCTATTTCAAACTGAATGTCAGTAATAAACCGAACAAGAACCCGTTGCACATACGTATCGTCAATATGGATGCGGGGAGACGACATTTAAATAATATAACTTAGTCCTCGTCGTGTAAAGGAGTGAAGCGGAGCAGCGAAAGCGAGGGGGCGGGAAGGCAGGAATCGGGATTGTAGCAGCATGCGCAGGATATAAAAGCAATGGACGGCCCACCTTCTCTTCCCTCTTTTTCATCGTGCCTTCATCAAATTTCTGCGTGGAACTTACGATTGGAAAGTCCAGTTCGGAGACTAACGCTTCCGCTGGGGCCCGTCCACGAGGTTGGAGTCACTTGTCTGGCAGGATCAGGCTACGGGACTGCTTTATTGGATATCCCGAGGTGCATGTGCGCTTAAGCGCGGTAAGAGGAGACGCCGAAGCAACCAGGGAAGGGATCCGCGCTATTGATGACAGCGGCAAGCACAGAGCGATGTTATATGGAAGTGCTGTCTGTCCGACAGCAGTTGTGAAGGGATCAATCAGGTACATTGATGTGTCAAGTGTTGACCGCGACATGAGACCACTCCGCGCGCTGGAGGAGGAGAGGGAATGCGGTCGACGCCCAAGTGCTCGTTGAATCAAGAACAAAGGCAGCCGTGGTCAGGTAAAAATTGCGTTTTGAGCGGGCCCGAGATAGACGAGTTGCCGCATGTAAGGCACAGAAGCACAGAAGTCGAGCCTCAAGGTATGCTCGAGCCTTAAGCTTTTTCATAGAGTATAAGGAGCAGGACCACCTACGGTGATGTGAGGGACGAAAACAAAGCAGAGAAACTGGAGGTGGAAGTGGCCACATAAGCGGTGATGTCGCAACAGCGTCCTATGTGCTCTGCTTGTCGTGTAGTGGTCCCTTCAACGGCTTGAGCTGGAGCCTTCGACGGGATGATTAGCTACAATAAAGCGGATGGCGCCAGTGGAGCATTTCAATTTTCAAAAGAGAAGCTTTCCCCGTCAGACAGTCAATCTCGAAGCTCGGCGGAATGCGTGTTCCATGGAACGTCGTCACCGACTCAATGGAGCGGGATAGCTGATCAGCGAGAGAAGCTGGAAGGTCAGCGATGCGGACCGGCTGCAGCATATGCAGCCAGCATGGATTCTGGAACGTCGGACGCGCAATATTATTCTCTCATAAACCTATGTATGTATTTATCCGCGAAATGTGTTCAGTACTCCGCAAAGACGGCAAAGCAGGACATTTGGACGTACTCGGGAAACAGGCGACAGTAATTCTGGAGCAAGCAACCTTCGCGGCTTCGTTACCTTCAATGATGCACCGTCGGGCTAGGCGCCACTTGCGCCGAGCATTCGGACCATGTAGTTCGTGATCTAATGGACACCATCGGTGGCGACAAAGTCAATCTACGCCGCTGGGCTGCGAAGCTGCACTAGGGTCGCGCTGCGAAAAGTATTAAGCCACTCAGCGCGCCCGCGGGCATCCCGAAGTCCATACTGGCTGCATTTGTGACGTAGACACGTCCGAGGCGCGACTATCACCTGTATGGTCGGCCATCAAGGAGTGTTTGCGCCTCGGTGGACCTAGACTTCAGAAGTATAACGAGCAAGAGACAAGACACCCATCAAATGAATCAATTACGAGACACTTGAACAATACGCCCGCACTGCATGGCTAGCTCCGCCGCTGTCTCAGCAGTAACATACACAAGGACTTGCGGGTGAGCTGGGGGAATATGTGGTCAATGACACTCCCAATCAACGATGTGTGCACTGGACGAGCAAACGGGTGGACTCAACGATAATGGAAGCCTCCACGACGCGTATCTCCTTCATCGCCAGTGATATTGGATCCTGTCATGGTCTTCAGCAGTCGTGGTCTTCAGCGGACCTTCTCGCGTAAACCATACCATCTGCCGAGGCAGGACTCAGGAGTTAGCATAGCCGGGGCAGAGGCCTTCTAACTCACTTGTCGAAGAGGAGCCTCCCATAATGTGCCCCCTACGATAGAGGAAAGACTTGCCCCCGAGAACAGCCTGGGGTGTCGTCGTGAAGTTCCAGGAAAGCCAGGCAGGCATAGATAACTTCGGAATAAAAAATGCACTTCGGTATCTAGCGCGCCTTCACCACTGCCCGCTGCACGCTCGGTATCTGGTTGGGATGCACTGTCACAAGCATGCGGTACGCGCAATCCACCAGATTCAATGACTAGAACCCGAATTTCGGGGTCCTCTGTCCGCCTGTTTGGAATGGCATTGCCCGTCCGCCGTCCCGCCTGGCACAATCATTGAATGAAATCGCATGCAAGAAAAGGGAACAGTCTGCTCACCGCCCACAACGACGAAGCTATAGCACGGCGACATCTCGATGCCGACATAAGAACCTTTCCAAGGGATAATCGGATGACTCCAGAACCGATCCAGGCCAGCATCTCTCCGCAAGTACTAGGGGGTGGGTGGTAACTTTGCGAGGGACTTTGAAGTTCTCTGGGTTTATCTACGCGCCAAAGCGTTGTTGTCCATGATAAGTTGATAAGAAGTACAGCGCAAATCGGGTATCGTCGTCGACTTCAATAGTAGGAAGCACAGTTGAGCACAGTACAGATTGGCTCCTAATCTTGATTTCATTGGTGAATGCGCATGTCGAGGCGGAATATAGGATATCCTAGGCAAGTCGTCTTCGGTGGCCGCAACGAAAGCAACAGATGCATTGAGACGCGCCGCAGCGCCCGACATGACAGTGTAAAGCTTCGAAGCGCCCGTTGTTCGACCGCCGGCATCTCCCGCTAGTAGTATTCCCACTCGGGCTCGTAAGTTTTTGTAACTCACGACTCGACTCTCAACGACTTAGCCAGGAAATCTTTGGCTATTGAGGGCTCGCGAGAAGGCAGTTATTCTGGAATAGCGTTGGAATTTACGCTTAATCTCCACTGGCATACATCAATCATGGAGCACGCCAGCAGTGGCGGCTGTCGGCGCGCTCGTCTGTTGAAACCGTTTCCATTTCCTCAGCTCCAGACGTTGGAAGATGGGCGCAATGTTCAGAGGTAATTATCATGCTTCGCTTCTGGTTGGCTGGGCCGCGTTCGTGACCTGTTGTTGGCGTCGTCCCTAGCTACGCTGACTTCGAATTTTACTTCCCAGCTTGATTGCAAGGTAGCCACCGTGTATATCAAGTATCGACTGGGGCCGTTTGATGGTCGCTGGTAAGACGGTGTCCTCTTGCCAAATACTGATGATTACCCCGGGAGCGTGGCCTTCTCGTGGCGGCCATCTGATGTCTTGAACCTTGTTACACGCAACAGTCTCTTTGAGCACCACCCCGCATCAACGACACCACGCACCATCTCTATGTCAAATTCCTGAGACACATGAACTTGTGGAGTCAAGCGATGCCTTGGCCATTGGATCGTCTCAGGCTCATTGCCTTCGTTGCGGGCGCATCGGATTCTGAGTGGTATATAAGCCGTCTGAGCTCTTCGAGTATTCCCCAGAGCAGGTCTCTTCAGTGCTGGTCGGTGAGCATCTACATCCTCTTCCACTCCTCACCCCGGCTCACATTCCCCAATCTCTAGCTGAAATCCACATCACTTCACCCATAAATTAACGAAGTCAGTCCGTTGTCGGGTTTGACAGTCCACGGAGGCTAACGTCTTGTTCTCCAGACCAACATGATCACTTCCACCTTCGTCTTCCTCGGCCTCGTGGCGAGCACCGTTCTGGCGCACCCCGTCCAACGGAACATCGCGGATTTCGACGACTTGGTCGTTCGCGACGCAGGGGCCGACACGAGCGTATACGACATCATCAAAACCCGTGAGTTGGACGACCTCACCACTCGCGACGTCGGGGCCGACACCAGCGTTTACTCCCTAATCCACGCCCGGGAGTCTGATCTCGACGAACGGGACGAGAACAACTTCGAGGAGAGGGACTACGACGAGCTCGCAGAGAGGGCGGACGAAGATTTTGAGGAGCGGGACTTCGACGAACTAGAGGACAGAGACTTCGACGATCTTGAGGAGAGGGATGTCGCGTAAGTCCGTGCCCACCTGGCTTTTTCAAATTTACCGATGTTATTGTGGACAGGGATGACTTCCTCCGCTATGTTCGATTAGAAGCACGCAAGGGTCGTGGAGGCGGAGGCGGAGGCGGAGGCGGCTCCGCCCCCAAACCTGCGCCTAAGCCCTCCACCCCGAAGCCACCTGCCCCAAAGCCCGCCCCTCCAAAACCGAAGCCACCTGCCCCAAAGCCCGCCCCACCAAAGCCCAAGCCTGACACTCCCAAACCAAAGCCCAACGCTCCCAAGCCTGCGCCCCCGAAACCAGCTGCGCCCAAGCCCGATGCCCCAAAGCCCGCCCCGCCAAAGCCAAAACCTGACGCTCCCAAGCCAAAGCCTAACGCGCCAAAACCAAAGCCTGACGCTCCCAAACCAAAGCCCAATGCTCCCAAGCCTGCGCCTCCGAAACCAGCTGCGCCAAAGCCTAACGCGCCAAAGCCAAAGCCTGATGCTCCCAAACCAAAGCCTAACGCGCCAAAGCCCAACGCACCAAAGCCCAACGCGCCGAAACCGAAGCCCAATGCGCCGAAACCGAAGCCCAATGCGCCGAAGCCAAAGCCCAATGCGCCGAAGCCAAAGCCTAACACACCAAAGCCTCCCGCCCCCGCTCCTAAGCCCAACAGGCCGCCTCTCGATCCTAACACCGTAGTCGAGAACATCCCCGGCATCCTCGATCCCGTCATGCAACTTTGGATGCAGCAACAAGAGTACGTCGCGCCACGCACCGTGTGAGGAACCCGAGATTCTGACTGACGGCGTGTCGTGTAGGCAACAGTTCCAGCAGCAGCAGATGGAGCAGCAGATGCAGATGCAGAACCAGCCGTAAGCGCCGCCGTGATTCACCGTGAAATGAATACTCAAGCGTGGTTTCTTTGGGTGTAGAGTTCCGCCGACGGACCCGGTGGCGTAGTTATGAGCGGTGTGTATTAGTACAGAGTCTTGACGCGTGTCCGATGGTGTGGGGATGTAGACGTAGAGTGATATCACTTGTTGTATTATGCCCTGTACTTTGGCGTCGAATTATGTGTCATTGATGTGAAGTATCCCTTGTGTACGCCGGAGGCACCGACATCTGCAGGATGTATGGCACAGCACAAGACTGGGGAAGGTACTAACCGCTTAAGTGTGTTTCCGAAGCGAACTCCGTGGCGGGCGATAAAGAGCTAGAAACTAGAAACTGAGGCCCATGACTGGCATTCGTCCTGCGCGTTAATCCCACCCAGTCTGAAGCAGGTCATAGAAACTAATGTGGTCAAGGCCTACTCGTATTTCTCCTACGCGTACATGAGTGACATATACGACTGTATGCACGCACCCGTGTATAGCCAAAAGCTACAACATGAACATCCGTCGTCCAAAACGCGCTCGGAAAGTGAGCAGGAACCTACATGCGCGGCCTGGGCGTCCAAAGCACAACGGGCGACGTACGAGATGACCACCGAGGAACCAATCACTCAACGTCTCTAGGCACTTCGAAAAGCCCGTCGACGAGCTTCTGAAAGCCCTCGTCCTCAATTCCTTTCAGCGCCTCTTTGATCTGACCAAGAAGCCCGTCGGACAGCCCTTGCTGGGATCTCGAGTAGATGTCCAGGCCGGCAGGAGTGGGCAGCGTCTTTGCAAAGTAGGTTACAGCCCATTGTTCTTCTTCCCCCTCGGTAACTGTCCCGTATCCCAGCACCTCCCAGCGCGACGACGCGATCATCAACCACCCTTTCCCTCGCCAATGCCACGCCCAACCATCCGCGCCCCCGCCAATGACCGCAGTATCGATGCCACGTACTGACTGGACTTTATCCGAGCCGATAGATTGGTATGTCACCAAATCGTCTATGCGTTGAGGGCCGCCGTCGCTGCTGGGGCCAGAAAGTGGGGTGTATGTGATTCGGACGTTTCGCTTCGAGCGCCACATTGGAAGAGTCGAGTGTACAACATTCCATGTACCTTCGAGAAACGCTACATTAGGAGGTACGGATGTTTCCGTAGTTTTCCCTGCTGCAGGTAGAGTTGAGGGTACTCGGATTTGAGGCGTCATGATGGTTACGAGACCGGAATGGAATGGAGGCTCGTTAGTATGAAGTGCTCTGAAACTTTGGGACAGGGTCCAACGAGGAGCTAGGAACAGCGATCTCATTGGTTCGGCCTGGATTTCTCAGCCCGCTATTGGCTGTCTGGATGTTTGACTTTATTTGCTCGAAAAAACGCTCTTTCTCTTCTGATTGGCTGGAGTGAGCGCCTATCGCCAGACTTTTTGCGACATTAGGGCGCTACGAGTCAGTGGTCATGTGACGACGCCTCTTGGCTTATCTCTCCCACCATCTAGTTTAGCGCTCAACACCGCAACATACCGCCCTCCCAAGCAAACCCTCTCCCACCCAACACCGGGGCTCTCATAGCCCAGCCAAGCGGCAGAACACGACATGCAGAGCCCTGGGCCCAACCGCCTCCGCAAACCCCGCCGCCTCGGTCTCCAAGCGTATACGGATCGGAGTTCGGTGATCCTGCCTCTGTCCCAAACCTGGATGAATTCTACGTTCCTCTATCTGGCCAGCTGGACGCGACCCCGACAAGAAAGCGAGCCAGAGTTGAATCAAATAATGTGCAACCCCCTGCTAGCCCGCGTTGCCTCCCCTCGTCTGCGATTAGACAAGGTGGTGGTTCTCTGCACATGTCCTTCTCGGAATGGAGCCGAACGTGCACAGAAATGCTGGAAGACATCACTGAAGGCGCCAAAAAAACTTTGGGATGGACCGTTGATGCTGAAGCCATGACGGCAGTCCTCGGTGTCATAAAGACGATGAAAGCTACACTCAACGAACTTGACGGCCTGGTGTCAATTGACGACGACATTTTTATGTCCCAACCTACCGTGCCTAATCCACCACTAGACAATGGCCTCGATTCCTTCAAATCGGAAGTCAAGGACTTGTTTCGCACCCTCGAGGCTAATCTCTCCACCAGGCTTTCGAACGTTGAAAGACGGCTTGGCTCAGGATCAAATTCCTCGCCTATCTCTACCACCACCCCCAGTGGCCCCGCCCCACGACAACAACCCAATCCCTCTCAATCGTATGCCTCCGTAGCTAAATTGGCTCCTCCAACGCAACCCAAGGCACCTCAGCAATCCAAGACAACAACTGCCCCCTCGGTATCCAAACCTAACACGAAATTTGTAGTCCGCTTCCAAGGTCACCCCCCTTCTGAAGCCGACCGTAAATCATCTCAACTCCTTTTCCATTCTCTCAATCTTGCCTTCAGCAATAATGCTGCTGCCCGTAACGACGGCCTAGAGATACTTGGCGCAGAGTGGAACCGAAGCGGTAACATAGTCCTAACTTTCCCATCCCACGTTAACCCGTCTGTCGTTTACAACCATACTGACCTAATTCACTCAATTGTAGATCACAACCTTAATGATGTTATAATATCTCATGACACGAAGTGGTCCAAGGCGGTGTGCTCCAGGGTCCCTTCCATGGGATTCGACGGCCACTACTGGGACTCCAAAGCCCTCGATGTTCTCCTTCGCCGCAACCCAATCATCAAGAATCTCAAGATAACACAGGAACCCCGATTTGTCTCTAACCCTGCAGAGGGACTTCCGCCGGTGGCACCTGTAGTGTTCGCTTTTGAAGACCCAGACGGATCGAAACTCAAAGAACTGCTCAAAACTCCCATCTTTATGGACGGCCGACACACTCCGGTACGCCCGTGGAGAGAGAAACCGAAGCTAACTCAGTGCGACAGGTGCCAAGGACTAGGCCATACCGCCAAATTGTGCAACAAGCCGAGCGTCTGCGCCAAGTGCGCCCAAAGGCACCCTACGACAGAACATCACATTTACTGCCCATCAGTCCTCAAGGACGGATCCAGCACATGTGAATGCACACCCCGATGCGCAAACTGCGATGGAGACCACTGGGCTACAGACCCCAATTGCCCGGAAAAGCGCAAATACGTTCCGAGGCCACTTCCTCAAACAGCCCAGACTCGACAGCCACAGCACCAAACGGCGGCACGGCCTGCTCTACCCCCACCCATGCAAATTGATACATGAACCTGCCGCCCCCTTTAAAGATTGTGCAACTTAACGTGGCGCGCTCATCGATGCGCACCCACATAATGCTTAATCACCTTGTAACTAACGTACATATTGTTCTGTTGCAGGAGCCTTGGTTCGGGCGGATAGGGCTTGACAAGGCGGATACAACTCCTGAGGGACGCCCTATTAATGGTCTTCCTGCCTCGCCAGCTTGGGAGTCTTTTGCCCCACTAGCCCCTGGACATCCAAAGGTTGCTACATACGTGCGACGCAACATCCTTGGGCTCACCGCAACCCCTCGGCCTGACATCGCTAAGCACCCTAATATTTTACCTGTAGAATTCACTTACGGAAACTTTTCTTTTCTCACAGTTAATGTATATAACAAAGGCAACGGGGCCAAGGCAGAGGCGATCACCATGTTGTCCCTTCTCCCTCTTAACCCCCTAATACCCACTTTAGTTGCTGGAGACTTTAATCTGCACCACAACATGTGGTCACTAACCTCCGTCGCTAACCAACTGTCAGCCGAAGACCTGCTAGAATGGGCAGCTGACAACCTATTCATGCTAGCTAATCCTAGGGGGGCTCGCACGAGAGTCGGCATCAGCGGGCAGCGAGACTCAGTCATAGACCTTGCCTTTTTTAACCGAGCCGCCATCAACTCTGCCACTTTCTCCCCTCCAGTCGTTGACGAAGACTTATCCTTTGGCTCAGACCACAACGCTTTGGTTTACAATGCCAACCTCCCGGCCCTCGAAGAAGAAGAAGACATTTCTGGTGACCTAGGCAAGCGCCTCGACCCGGGGAAGCAGGAAGAGTGGACGGCCAAATTCTCTACATGCTGTCAAGTCGTGGCTGACAGCTTCGCCGAACCCACCTCCGACCAAGAGCTAGACCATATTGTTCAAGGGCTGATGGACTGCTTCACTCAGGCCACCAACGATTGCATGCCAGATCGCAAGCCGCCCTCCACCAAGGCCGCACGATGGTGGAATGAGGAATGCCGGAATGCTGTGGAGGAAATGAGAAGAGCATCCCGCGAAGAAAAACCCAAGCTACTCCATCGCATGCACCGCATTGCCAAGAAAGCTAAGCAGGACTGGGCCAACACTATTCTAGAGTCGACTACCCCCAACAATGTCTGGCGAATTGCAGACTGGTCGGCAGGAAAGTGTAAGTCCCGAATCCCACCCCTCGTCACTGACAATGGAGTGGCAGCATCCTCAATCGAGCTCGGCGAAACACTCAAAGCTGCCTTCTTCCCATTGGACCCTCCACAAGTCATGGTACAGCAGCCCAACGACCCCCCACCCAGAGAAACTCGAACGTTCGTGCCCATTACGCTGGACGAGGTGAGTGAAGCACTAAGCGGCACATCTAACATATCTGCCCCAGGACCATCTGAAATCAGCTACCGTCTGATCAAGTGGGGATTTACAGCATGTGGCCCACTCCTCACCCGCATCTTTAATGCCTGCCTTCGTTTGGGCCATCATCCCAAGCCATGGAGAGTTGCCACAGTGGCCATTGTCCCGAAACCTGGTAAGACAGATATGTCTAACCCACGATCATACCGGCCCATATCCTTGCTGGAATGCCTCTCGAAACTGATGGAGAAAGTCATCACCCGGAGAATCCTGTTTGACGTAGGCAAACATCAGCTGGTCCCCACTAACCAATTTGGATGTAGGGACAAATCATCAACCACGGATGCCGGTATCACTCTTGTACACGATGTTCAATCTGGATGGAAGAAAGGACTAACTGCCACCACGCTCGCCTTTGATATCAAAGGATTCTTTGACCATGTCCACCATGGACGTCTGATAGAAGTGCTCCGCCTCGCTGGCTTTCCTTGGGAAATTCAGGCCTGGATCCGCAGCTTTGTTTCTAGCCGGCAAATATCGGTACGAGTCAACGGTACGAATACTCACCCATCAACCTGCACAATCGGAATCCCTCAGGGCTCCCCACTCTCGCCGATCCTTGCGGCACTCTATACTGGGCCAGTAATCGACATTGCGATAAGCAAAAGCCAGTCCACGCTGTACTTTTACGTTGACGACGGCATGCTTGCAACGTTTGCGAAGTCAATCCCGGACAACATCCAACGTCTCCAGGAGGACTTCAGAACCATCAACTCAGCCCTACAGGCCATAGGGCTTTCGGTAGACCGTACAAAGTTTGAAATTATGCACTTCACCAGAGCTAAGTCCCCAGAGCTGCTTCCAATCCGAATCACCCTAAGCCCAAACGACTCGCTGACTGTCTTCCCCAACCCCGTAATGAGGTGGCTGGGTTTTTTCTTAGATCGCAAGCTGGAGTTTAAAGAGCACATTCGCATAATGTGCAACCGCGCTATGTCCAAGATCCAAGCGCTGACAGTGCTGGGTAACTCGGTCCGTGGAATGAACCATGCCAACCGCCGTCTCGCCTACAAAACCATTGTCCTCCCAGTTCTAACCTACGGGGTGGCACTTTGGTATACAGGTGTTCGCCAGAAATCCCTGATGAAGCAAATGACCAAGGTCCAGAACGCAGGGCTTCGACTTATCCTTGGAACCTTCCGTACATCACCAGCCGCCGCACTCCACCACATTGGGTCAATCCTCCCCATCCCTCTTTTGCTCGAGCGCACTCTCGATAACGCAGCCATCCGGTTGCGAACACTACCACGGCATGCACAACCCATCGTTCGCCGAGCCCTGGAACCTTGGCCCCATCCAAGGCCCCACACACTCAAAGAGCAAAACGAGAAAGCGTACCAACCTCCAACAACTCGCAGCCCGAGCCCATTTCACATGTTTCTTAGACGAGCGCATTAATCCATATGCCACCCCTCCATGGCAACTTGCGAACAGATGGGAGCATAGGCTGACCTTTTCAAGCTATGTCCCCAGTGATAGAGATGCACACAAGCAGCTTGTCCGCAACATCTGCAAATGCGAAAATGATGCAAGAGTGGACCCAACAATAATCAATATATTTACGGATGGCTCTAGACACTTGGTGGGTGACGAGTTTAAAACCGGAGCCGCCTTTACTGCTTTCTACTTAGGTATAGAAGTTAGCAAAGGCCTGCTCGGCCTCGGTGCTCACTCAGACAACTTCGACGGCGAGATGTTCGCACTTGCGCATGCATCAAAAAGCCTCCGCCAAATCCTACAAGACCGACCACAGGTACAACGTGTCCGCCTTTTTGCTGACAACACCTCAGCCATCATAGCGGCCTACGACACCAGCCCCCACCCATCACAAGATGCCTCAATAATTTTCCGCAAAAATATTGATGAACTGCTATTGACCCGGCGGGACATAACCATCAATATTGCATGGTCGCCCGGCCACTCAGGTATCCGAGGCAACGAAAGAGCTGATCAATTAGCAAAACAAGCAGCGGCGCAAACACCGTTCATCGGAACTACAATCTCCTGGGCAAAGGCACGCGCCAAAGCAGCTGCGATTGAACGTTGGATTGGGGAATGGAAAGAGCTGCCGAAAAACTCTGCTTCATCCCTATCCCTCACACGACCACCATCTACTCGACTTGACAAGTTCCACCGCATGTTTGCTGGGAACCGGCGCACCTACTCACATACCATTCAAGCCCTTTTAGGTCATGCCTTCACGGGAGAATACTTTTCTAGGTTTGTCCCTCGACTGCGCACAGCCTGTCCATGCGACGACACCCTGCTTCAAACCCGAACACATGTTCTACTGGACTGCCCATTACACGAACATGCAAGAGACTCTCTGCGCAAAGCGTCGTCAAACCTATCAGTAGACTTTTTGCTGGGGACTCAAAAAGGAATAGCAGCGGTTGCCAAGTTCATTAGTCGGTCCACCGCCTTTCGCCCACCCGTTCCAAACAACAGCTAAGCACAACACTCTTATATCCTATGCCCTATTCCTTATGATCTTATAATCCTATGGCTCGTGGTAGCATAACATCTATCTGACTCACCTACCCCACAGACGAACTGCTCCGACTGCCCCCGGGTACTACTCCTAATCCGGCCCCACGCCCAAATTGGCCCCAAACCTCGTCACAAACGGGTACGGCAGGTAGCTTTTTCCCAGCGGCTTTTCTCCCACCGGGTTTTTGCCAATGGGTTTTTTAACGCACCCTCGCCGCCAACGCCTGGTTTGGGCCCCGGCCCCCAGGTAGGGATAGTAGCTACATGTGCGTACCCCCCCCCCCCACCGCGTCTTAGTAGTATAGCATACTTGTAGCGGTATACAAATGCAGAGATAAAAAAAAAAAAAAATCAGTGGTCATGTGAGCCCCCTTGATAGCCCCTGATAGCGAAGGGCATAAAGAGGGCACCCAAAACTAACCAGGGGCCGAATGAGGCCAACCGTAGGTTGGGCGATGAGGCCCAATTTGCAATGCAGCACTTAGAACAGCTTGAGAGAGAGTAATTAGTGTGGGGATGGCCTACAATAGTTGCCAACATCCCTTATGCAGTGCAAGATGCCACAAAACAAGGTATGAAGCACCAAAGTTCAGATAGTTGCAATTGGGAATTCTGCCAAATACATGTGGCCCAAGTGTTGAGTATGCCCCAGTCTTCAACGGTCTCGTACATGCCGTGCTCCTAGCATCGGCCCTCAAGCCCAAGTATGCTAGTAAGTTTCTGTCAGCAGGCGCTTAAGTGTATACAACCTCTCTTTCCCACGATTCACGAGCGCCATTGAAGTACCATGCCAAATATATAACGCAGGCCATCTCAAACTACCGACACCACAAAATCAGGGGTTACTATCATAGCGAGCACAGAGTCTTGCAGATGGCCCTCGCTGAATCTGATACGAAGCCCAGGCTCCCTATTGAGTTAATCGGCCTTATTATCGCATCCCTCGCAAATCTCAGTCAGGCAGAAGACAACCGATTGTGCCATCTCCAAGCCTGCTCCCTCGTATCGTGGGCATGGAACGACCTCTGCCGGCCCTATATCTTCTACACTCTCACAATTCATCGGCTGGACAATACCATTCGGAGGCTCTCGTTCCTCCATTTCAAGGCGCCCCATCTCAGCAAATACATCCACGAACTCTCCATCTTTCCGGGCAGCAATGTTCCCAAGCTCCCCAAGTGGATCCCGAAATGCTTCCGCCGCCTAACAAATCTGCACACGATGGATGTCGTCGGTGGCGACCTTGATACCTCGCCCACCCCCTCTCCTATGGCAACCACAGCCCTGCTCATCAAATTCGTCCCCTATCTTCGCAAGTTGTCATTAAACAGCATCACATTCATAGACGCTTCGCATCTCATTGACTTTCTTCCCTCCCGCACACTCGAAGAGCTGAGGATCGTGTATACCGAGGACGACTTCACCGACGGCTACCCCCAGACCAATGGTGCGCAATCAGTTGTGCGCTTTGACGCGCTCCGAACGCTTGCCGTCGAAACGGCTTTCCCTGTGCTCAGATATGCGACTCCTATGGCGTGCCCTAACCTCCGCTCCTTCGCCGTGCAATGGAATGGCCGGAGGCGCTGGAAGCTCCCGCTATGGATTCCCGACAGCTTGTCAGAACTGACTGTACAAGGTACGTCCCCATCTCTCCGATGCCCCACGCCTCGCCCTCACCGCGCATAGTGAACCTGGCGCATCGCATCCGTGGTGCGCCTAAACTCGGCACCACGATCCGGCCCTCTGTGCTCCGGATTGTCGCTGTGCGATGCAATAAATACTTGAATGCCTTCCGTCTGATCAAGGCGTGCGTCGGCAGCCTCCCCTTTCCTGGCCTCGTCCGCGAACTCCCAATGAGCATCGCAATCCACGACCCCAAGGAAAACCGCGCGATTTTCCCACAAGCATGGGACTATGAGGTCTTATCCCTCTGTCTACAACAGCTCTACGCCCACGGAACACTCGGAAGGGCCGTCCTGGAAATCAATGTGAGAGGCATGATCCCCAAAGGCTTCTCGCTGGATGAGATCATGGCACGGGAGTTGGCAAAGGTAAACGAGGGGTTCGCGGGGTTGCTGGCAACGAATGTGCTATATGTTGACTTTGACCTGACGTGTTGGAATGATAGCGGGGACAAAGTGTCTGTGCATTTTAGTTTACCCTGATGCTAGGGGTCGGTGGGATTGTGTCTCATAGTTGTGTATGCGGGGCCTAGTCTCTCGACATTATCTAGTGTACTGTCAAGGTCCTTGCTCTCATAGTTGATTCGATTTCGCGCCTCACATTAATATATTTGACATTGTGCACGCATAGGATTGTTCATAATTCATATTACATGTTGGTAATATTATGCATGTGTACATGGCAGCTTATAAGTACTAGTACAGCAGTCCTGTCCCTACAGACGCGAGTGCCCGCACAGCGCTCCAAGAGCTCGTCCCCCTGATGTCCGACACAGAAACACTGCTTTAGTCGGGCGCGATGGATCGACGTTGCTTGCTCTGCGCCCAGAAGGGGTGAATCATAGAGGATTCGATAAGAATAATAATCATACATGTAGTTGATTTGTCGCCAGCGAATCACCTCGGTCCTTGTATTGTTCTGTGAGTTTACATTCCCGTCTTTCCGACCAGCCTACCCCGACCATGCCCTCGCAGGGCTGAAGCCTTGGTATGATAGATGCTGTGACTGACTCTGGAGTGGTCTCTGATATTGTAATGTTGGTAGGCCCTGCAGCGTACAAGATAGCTCGCAGCTATTCACTCCTCTTTTGAAGTGCTGCTATTGGGCAACGTCATAAGCGGGGCGGGGGGGCCGCGATGGTATTTGTGTTTAAGATGCATCGGGTATTTGGTTGGTTTTTGGCATGGTACTTCAACGGCAGTCGTGATGGTGCGGAAAGAGAGAGAAGATGTGGGGTGGTATGCATGCAAGGGGGACTTCAAAGTACTACAGTCGTGCGGATGGTGTCTCAGTAGTAGGAGTGAGCACGAAGGTGACCGTTGCACTGCCACATTCACTTAAGCGCCGGCGAGCTCGCACCGTACCTTCAGCGGCGGCTGCATACAGCGTCGGCGGTTCGCTTCCCAAGTCAACGATGGCGAGCCCAGGGAATCGTTTGACAAGGTTGCGGGCATATCGCTGACATACCTTACAAAACCCCCACTTCTCGCTGGGCAGCTTCGTTCTCACCGCCAGTGCATGGACTACCATGCGCTCGCGAGATGAGGGGAGACTATCCAGTACTACCTCAGTGAGAGTGGTGAACTCCGCACAGCTCCCTGGAGCCCAGTGCTCCCCCAAAGGCGACTTCGCAGGGAACAGATTCCTCAACAGCTCTGGGTTGATGCTGGAAAGACGGTACTTCACCATTGTTCTCCCCAATCGCTTCGCATTCGGGCCTCTAGGTTTGGAGAAGCCATAATGCTGATTAGATAGGGTATTCCAGGCGACAGCGGTCATGGTGGGTACAGTATCTATGCTGCGATCGTTACATACTCTCGAGGATAGCGCCTGCACTCCCTCGTGTGGTGAAATGCGATGTTTGGAAGCGTATATAGAGTACGCTTGAGCCCCGCGACTATCAGGAACCGCACCAGGCGGTAGCCAGTAGTAATCAGCAAGGGCGTCGAGTTCTGCAATGGCGGGTGATTTCAGACGGTCGTCGTCGTTTATATCTTGTTGGTGGATCATGAAAGGAGGGATAATCTGGCAGTGACTGTTGGGCTGCTTTTATGGAAGAAGAAGTTCCCACGAAGAGGTTAGATTTCCCACGTTGGTCGTAGTTGTATCAGTTCTCGTCTCACAGAATAATTCCAAATTTTTCTTACACGAGTCACGACGGTGGCCACCAACACTATGCATCTCTGGCACATATCCCGACGGCATCGTTTGCACTCCTTTGAGGCTGAGCAACAATCATGCCTACCCCGCCGGCGATGCGAACATGGAGGCGAACTCCGAAATCAGAGATGTCGCGAGTAGCAAGGGAACTGCACAGGCAAGGGGACTGGACGTTTGAAGGGATGGAAGCAGCTCCATCGATTCATTGTACTGACACAACAACAGATGGCGTACCAAATCCCCAATGCGTGAATATCCACGTTGCGAACTGAAACATTCTAGGCGCTGCGCCTCCTGGCACGGACCCCGAACGCAGATTGAAGCTTCGTTCTCGAGTAGGGCCAAAGTCCATACGTCCATGCACGTCCAAGGCTTCCTCATCTTTATTCTCAGCTTTAGCGTTCCTTCAGGCAGCAGTGGGCTGTTTTCTATAGATCGTGGCTCGCTAAGCACGACGGGCGCTAAATGGTGTTACAAAGTGCAAGCATGCGCCAAGCTCAGGCCAAGCTCTTCAAGGCATTCGTTGCTGTACTTTGCCCAAAGTGCACATGTATACCAGTTTCACTACGCGTTTCATCCCGCCTATCGTCCTTCTTACACGGATGCCATCCATAACTATCAGCTTGGTACTTTACACTCGTTGGATCTCGACTCATCGGTATGGATGTGGTAGTATAAATATCGACCTGAGTGGGTTTTGCTTCTCTATCGTGCTGGTCCACGGTCACATATCCCTTTGCATTGTACCGACCTGGTGTCTACTACATCTACGGAACTTCATCCATCATCACACATTAGTCCTCAATTCACGATGCTCGCACGAATTACCTCCCTCGCCGCCTTGGCGCTACTCTTGCTTTCATCCGCATCTTCGACGATGGCTGCCGTGGTTTCTCGCCGCCATGATACGGGAACCGGGGTAAACACCTTCAATTCGACGGAATTGTACCCCAGATACGACAACGGAACACATATGGAAACACTTGAAGACCGCTCGCCAGCCCTCATCGCCTCTATCGCGCTCGAAGGAGTCAACATGATCATATCCGGCATCCAAGGTGCTATCAATGCTGACAAGGATGTATGTGATCTCCCCCCGAATAGTCTGCCATGCCCGCCTCTGACGCCAAGGTTTACTTAGGCTCGCGGGAAGTTTACATCAAGCCTCGTCTCGGAGATGCGGAAGAAATACCCAAAGTTCAACTGGATCATCTGCCATACGAAACACGAGACCAAGTTCGAAGGCAAGAAGGGCAAGGAATGGGACCACAGACATCAAGAGTTCGACATCAAACTTGGTGGCACCATCGGGTAAGTCGTCCTTCTGCCTTAAATACCAATCAAAGCCTGCCTTCTAATCGCGCCATTTTACTCCTCCCCTCTCGCAGATACGAGATCTACAATCTAGGGGCCGGCGAGTTCATTCGCAAGGGCGACGGGGGATTCCTCAACGTAAGTAACCCGCGTCAGTTCTCCTAACTTGAGCTCACGTCGATGTTGCTGTAGTGGGCCTACATTGGTAACGTTGCCAGCAAGAGCGGTGATGGGAAGAAGATTAAGTTTAACAGGCCTTGATCTGTCCCATAATGTTGGATGTTAAGCGCGTAGTAGTAGACGGAATTCACCACTTACAGTGTTTGATCAGAGGGACAGCTCACCATTGTGAAGATGGGCTGAAGCTGACATGTTGACACTGAAAGAACTGCTCCGAACGCTGCACCACCGTGATGGAACTCCATATAATACGGGGTCTCGTGATGCTACCGACTTTCAGTACTTCGACTACGAATGCCGCATGATGAACTTCGCTGGGGCCGAATGGCAGGACAGGGACTTGGGTGGCGGCACTCCACTAATTGCGAACACACTATCTGGGAAGTAGTCAAGACCACGTTGGACAGACGAACGCCACTAAACAGCTTCAAGCAGCCTCAAGTACGCAACAAAGGTAGGCGACCTAGACCTCTATTGATAATCAACTGATAATCGCCAAAACAAGGCCAGGGATGGTCTGGGTACCTTGCACGGCGAATTCTACTGCATTCTTCCGACGCGTCATGACACTAAGTGGCGTGTGGTGAGCAATGGCTAGGTGCCCCTTAACGATCACCTACTCGTTAGGTACTACGTTGCGTGTTGACGGCCGTCATCAGATGCGTGCTCGAGTGTAAATACCGCTCGACCTGTCAGCCCATCATCGTTCCGCTCGCAATATTCGCCATGAGCACGGAAGAACAAAAGGCTGAGACCCAACGAGATGAAACCACCAATGAGGCTCGCGTTACCACTTCGCAGGCCAGTGTGGACAACGAGCTGATCCTACCTCCCGGGACCATGTAATACTCGCGGTAAGCCACCCATCCATCTGCGCGTACCATATCCCTTACATTGCACCTCCATAGCCAGACCATCACTTTTTTCGACAACTGCACGTTCTGCTTCGTTCCTGGGATGAACTTGGGGCACGATATCTTGGAGTGCAGACGTCTACACGTTTGGCACAGGAGGTGTGCCCCCCACGGACGACAACTTTGCCAGTGAGGGCGGGTTGATTTACATCGTCATGGTCCACCGTGTCACGGTCTCGGTCCTCAGCGCGCTCAGCCCGGGCTCCTGGAATAGCATGAAGTTTGCACTCAGATGGAGTGACTCGAACCTCACGCCCGTGTACCAGCTGCCATCTACCGGCTCGGAAGAAGTGACAGGTAATAACTACAACTGTTCGTCCACCTCTCCCGGATCCCCAGCCATTCGCCCACCTGATCATCGCTTTTAAATACGAGATCGACTTCGTGCAGGGGATGCAGATGTTGCAGAATTTAGGAAACCAGGCAATGACCTTCGATGCGAAATACGGCCAGACCTTCAGCCTCGCACAAGCCACGCAGACAGGTGTGGCTTGCATTTGAGTTCGTCCCTCAGTTCCCGTGTTGAAAATGCCTGCCACGAAGTTGATTACCACCTCGATTGAGACTTGAGATACCCGCAGGAGTCGATCAGTCGAGAAGCTATCTAGACCGTAGTGCGACGGGCAGTGCATCGTCAATGTGCATCTGGCGACACTTTGAGAGATTCCAAGCAGAGTCATAGGTCTCGGGAGACCACAACTCTCCTTAATGGTATCAATACGAAGAGGAACGGGTAGGTTGAATGGGATGGTAAAGACGAGGGGACTCGGTAAGAACGTTGACGAAACTGAGGCAAAGGTGAAATGTAAATAAAGAGGGTCTTGATGGAGCAAATTGGTCGTTCACTCCCCTAGGGCGAGTGTGTCGGATTTCACCGGCTTACATCATCCGGGGTAATGACTTCGGATTGACGCTCGGCCACCTCTTTCCTCAGTTTGCATCTTGTCGCATACTGAGGTAAAGTGACCGTTCTATATCATTCGTACCGTAACTAATGTTCCTCATAGAACCTTGCGTTAGGTACGAACAATAATACTAGTTTGCATCTTGTCGCATACTGAGAACCTTGCGTTAGGTTTTTAATAGAGTGAGATCTATCTCATGTACGAAGTGTCTTCCTTGGCCACCGAGGAGTAGACATTTTATCTGGTGCAATGCCGTAAGATGGTGGTGCCTCCGCCTCAGGAACTCGAAGTTCAGGGTTGTAGGTATAGGGGGTGCATTGATGTGCACCGGATAGTCGGCGGGAACGGTGATACAGAAGGAAGGCAAGGCCACTGAGGATTGCGGCACAAATGCTTCCTAAAACAATTGCGACGGCGGTACTAACTCGAAGTGGTGACTTCTGGGGTGATGGTGATCCTGTATTTGATATGGTCGGGGGTGATGAAGGTTCTGGTTCGGGCTCTCCATTATCGTGGCTTTGTGGACGTGTGATGAGCGACAATCTCAGGTTATACAGAGGTTTGAGGTACACTCACGTATATATTATTACATCGAGGAGCATCAAGGACGGTGGGCCGCCGACACGTCCATTCTGGATGGTGATACTGTGCTCCATCGGAAGGAGATTCGCGATGGCAAAGACAGTGACGTTGTACTCATACCCGGTAGTCCCTTGAGCTTCCCGAGAGAATGCCCCTACTGGGTTATTGTCGATGAAGAAGTACATGTCAGCTGAAGTGCTATATCCCATCGATAGGTCGAGCGCACACAGAACATATACCGCCGTGCCTAGCACATGTATCAGGTGCAGAGTCAACAGATAGCTACATTGCTGCCGCTAGATATTTTCGAACCGCACCATTGAATATCGCAGACGCCGTCGGTACGATACTAGGCGCTTTGCCTCCATGGAATGTGGAATCCATCCAAGTACGCTGCAGGCCAAGTTAGTTCCATTGTGCGGAAACATTTCCAGAGAGGAACTTGCGTTGAACAACATATCTTTGTCTGGGCGTGCCCAACACTTCTCACAATTTGTGCCGTCGTTCCAGATTCCAACTGGTGAATACGATATGACATGGTCGGTGGTGGCGTCTCCAAACTTATCGTCTATCGTCTTGTTGACGAGAACCGCATCTCCATGCCCGCAGAAAACGAGTAGAAAATGCCAAATGAATAAAGCGTAATCGGGTTTCATAGAAATAAGGGATTGGCTTGCTCGCACATCTTTTTCGAGCTAGATATAAGGATAAGATTACAACCCTGATAGCAAGGAGTCGGTAAGATACGACTCAGTTCCCCGAAATGACCAAAGCATGATTAGGAATAGACGGGAGTTGAACATTGGGGTCCTTGGTTACGCCTCAGTGCAGTGCTAGGCGAGGATGATACAAAATGTGAGTGGCGGGGGTTGGCCTCTGCCCAGGAGCTACCGTAGCGTCCTTAGTGGTGATTACACCTCCGTCGAGTTGGTATTCGTGGTTGGGCGCCATGTCGATGTGTTTGCGTCGTTTGTGGTGGCTAATTTTGACTTTTGATCCAAGTGCCCACGAGACCGAGACACTACACTGGTTTGAAAATTCTGAACGCTGCCGCTGGCTTCCCCAAGTACGCAGAGGGATACCGCAGATGAAGGTGTAAAAAATCTTGATTCCCCCTGCACTAACAGCTAAACCTGCATCGAACGACAACGACATAATCGATTTCATTGATGAGAGACCAGGCTGAGTACGCTAGTATTCGACGGGAGAGAGTTAGACCACTCCAGGTCGAGAGTTGCATTGCGAGGGGAACATCTTGCCTGTGGATGCGTGCCAAGGGAGGGGGTGATAGGTTGGCGGGGGGTTCCGCTTCAACGGTCCCTCTGCTTTCTTACAATATCGCGGGTCAACAGGGATGTCCAAGAAAGTCGAGAAAGTCAGAGTTTACTTACTCTCTTCTTGACAATACTGTTTGGACCTCGGGATACTGAAAAGCGAGAGCGATGTCTAGCTCACTGCAAACGCTAGAGGAATCTCAGTAGATGCTCTGTGCATTGGGGAATCCATCGGTTTAAGGACGAGGCGGCCTGCTTCAGTATCCAAAAGGATGTCGGAGTCGTTGGCAAATTTAGGAACGTATTTGAGTAGGATGCGCTGCATCGCTTCATGAAGGTGGAAGTCGTCTGGAGGGGTTGGAAGATGACTATATTCAGGCCTTACTTGCGCAATGAGCTCCTTCATCATGGGAGCGAGGTCTTCAAGTCTTTGGTGAAGATTCTGTTTCCAACCTTTGGGATCTAGGAGCATCGCCCGAAGGTCGACAGAGAAGTTGCCTGGGTCGGATTTAATTTCGTGTGATGCGATGCACTCCCACGCCGGAGTTAAGAACCGCCCGTTCATGTCTTCTTTGGGGCGTTGGCCAAGGGGTAGAGCGCGGAGGAGGAACACTACGATCACCCAGAATACCGACTCTGCATCGTGCCGAGGGAGATGCTGGAATACTTGGATGTCGTCGTCGTCGTCGTCATCGTCGTATTCGCCGCTATTCTGGGGAACCCCGTGTGTTGTGCCATGACAATCCTCGAAATGGCGCAGAAGGTCTACGTCCGCAGGGAGGTGTGCAGTCTTGTACAGTTCGAGGAGATCTGGTGGCAATGATGGCATGCGCTTGAAACCATTCCAGGTCCGTCCAAGAGTACATCCCGCGGCAACTGCACGAGCCATATAGCGCGGAGTGCCCTTGTGCAGGAAGGTCATTCAGTGTTCAGCTACAAGTAGAAGAAAGCGCCCACTTACCATTCTATGGCGAAGGTGTTCATGATCGGGACTACGCTCCAGAGACTCTTTGAATGCCGGCGGCTGCGCAAGCTTTCGGTCGGTTTCAGCCCCGTTGTCGAAATCATACAGACGCGCCACCGGCGGCGCATGTTCTGCCCTACGTCAAGCATTCCTCGTCAGTTCCAAGGGGAAAACAAATATGGTTTGAATGACGGACTTGGTAAGGACCTCGTTGATAAATATGGGTCGACCACTCTCATTCAGGTGTGCGTTCGACTTGTCCTTGGGGTTGATTATGATATTACCTATGCTTATATCACGATGAATGCCGTTTCTCTTTCTGACTGCCCAACGATGAGCTATGGAGAGTTCTCAGTCAAATCAAAGCAAATAGACTGAGGCACTCACCTTCCAGGATATCGTACATAGCCATGAGAAAATGCTGAATACTTGGGGTCTTGGCCAATGGGTCGCCCGACGTCCCCATGACAAGCCTGGTCTTTACTCGATATACATGGGGTTCGATATTGATAGAGGTAATAGGACCCTCCTCATAGAAGACGTCTCCGTGTGTTATCACCCGCACGAAGCCTGGTGCCGGTTTGCCGTCCTGTAGAACATCATACAATTCCCCTTCTCTGAATGTCCGGCCATACGCCCAGTAGGAATCCTTGATGACGGTGGGGTAATCACCCGCTGTTTGGGCCACCCACGTCATGCGTCCCCACGGTCCACCGACGAATTTGACTTCGCATGCAGGATATGTTTCGCCTTTGAACGTGACATCCCAGGTCGGTTTACCTGCTATGCGAGTGAGCGAGCGAATGATGGTGGGGTCGCAATGAGGGCGTCCTGGAAGCGGAAAATAGAGCGTATACACATAGGACGCCAAGGGAACGAGGTGTTCCCAATCGGAGAACGGCGATGTAGTCAGACCGCCAGCATCGCTATATTGTATCTGGTACCCACTCGGCGATGTGATCAAGCCGTATATCCCAACTTTGTCTGGTCGAGCTTGATTTGCTAGTCCAAGGTATGCGGCCAGTTGCGTTATGCCATCCAAGTATTCGTGCTCGTTCTTGACTTCGACTACGGTCTCCAGATCGGACCACTCGGCGCATTTGCAAGGGGAAGTGGACGGGTAGGTCAAGAATCTAGACTTCAACATGGCAGGAATATCCGGAGAGCAGTCAAAGTATCCGTTGGGATGATGTTTGAGATATGCTGTGTGATGCTCCACGAAGACGATGGGCTCGTTATCCCCTGTGCATTTTAGACGCGAATAGTTAGTGAGAGTTTGTATACGTCGGGGAAAAGATTCACCACAGAATTTCTCGCTGAGATGATTCAGGACTTTGCAAAGTGCCAAATATTGGGGCTTTCCTACAGCGGAAACGTATGATTCGGTTAGGGCTACTAGCGTTTTGTCGGCTTCCAGGAGTATCTCAAAATTCGAGCCCGGAGGCGCGTTCAAGCGGTCTCGGGAGAAGTTTCTATACGGCTTTGTGTACTCTTCTCTAACCTCGAGCGCCGCCATCTCCTTGTGACAGCCTGCGGCATTCTTGGTATCCTTGAGAGAGCTGGTGGCTTGGCTAGTGGTGAACGCGAAGTGATCAGCCATGGTAGTGTGGATGAGTGAAGGAAGGTAAGGACAGAGATCATGTTTATACTCGCCGCCTGTGAACACAAATTGCCACTGGAACGAAGAGGTAGTGTTAAGAAAGTTGCCACTGCGTGTCGCTTGGAGTCCCGTGATCGATCCTGTTACATAAGCATAGAGGCGCTGGGCGGCCCCGCCCCGCCTTTCTCCCGCCCTGTACATAGGAGCGACAAGCAACGATGGGCCATCCCGGCGGTCTTCCCCCCGAATTACTTCATCAAATTTTCTCGTACATTGTTCCGTGCTACTGACATTCCGCGCCTTCCACACCGTCGCTGAACCGATTCTCTATGAAAGCCTTGCTTTTCACATCGCAGGACCAAAACACACCTCACCTTTCTACCAATTTTTGGATCGTATACACGACCATCGGGCCGCGTTGGTGAAGCACTTAGCCATTGATATCGTAGACAGTCATGAATTCAGTGGTGGTTCAGAAGTGATATATCCCGCTAATGTCGAGTGTCTCCTTCGCAAGCTCGCCCCAAACCTCTCCCTTCGCACTAACCGACACGAGACCCAACGATGACCTCCAGCTCTGGCTTCTTGATCTTCATCGTTCCCCACTTCCCCCTACCTTCGTCAAACTACAAACAATGACACGATCGTACCCCGATGAAACTGGATTCTTGCTTTTCTTGTCATGCAATGGAAACTCCCTCGAACATCTAGAAATGCTTGCGCCGCGAAGTCAGCGTTCGAAAAGTCTCATCTAATATCAGCCTCGGAGCGCATCGATGCCCTCTGTGAAATAAAAAACCAACTCGAGAGTCGATGAAAGATGCTGTCCTGGCGGCCAACGCAGAAGATCTTTGGGTAAGCATAGAGCGACTCATACGCCAGTGGTACATCCGAGACTTTCACTATACTAAGTTAACAGGACCACCATCAATCTTGGCCCGGACAAGAGCAAACGGCTTCACCCTCTTATCTGTCCCATTCTGAAACCCTGGGCTGAGCCAAAGCTGGTTTAAGGTCGCATAAATGTACCCATCATCGGCCACACTGTTATAAAAAGGTATCAATTAGCTTTACCTGTGGTTTCAAGCGGCAATCCCATTTACCTCAAGGTATCTGGCCAAGCAATGATCGGAGAACGTACAAACGGTGATATAAGGCCCGTTTGTGGGTCATAAGTATTGATAGAATTGTGTTCCGGACTTGAAATGTATACTTTCCCGGTCGAGTCGCTTTCGAGGCCATCCGCTTGGCCACCGACCTACAACAGGGAATAAAGTGAGTGTTATTCATATTGACGTTATAGGAAGTACTTACTTGGCCGAGGTACTGGACGCTATTCGCTGCGCGGATGAAAGCAAGGTTATCGTCGGCTGGGTTTACGCGAAGGGCGGAGGTTTCAACTCGGTAGAAATCGTGGCTTGAGAGAGGCGTAAAGTAGATGAACTCGCCATCTGCGCTGATAGCTAAACCTACAATCGGGCATGCTATTGTCACCTTCAAATCTCGCGATGAGATTGCTTGGAGGACGTACCATCGCACCCGCCTCCGCCACCGGCAGTTTCGAAGTGGAAACTCGGACTCATTGGTGTAGATGAATATGTAGGGATACCCTGTAGTGTTGGTAGAAACCGCGATCTTGCCGATACCTCGTACAAACGATCAAGGTGGCGCCATGATTTACCTGTCCCAAGATCTACAACGATGATACCGAACCCACCTGTAGTCAATTTCAGCATGAGTAGATGGACTATAAAGGTGCGAGACCCACCACTATCAGCGATATACGCAACACCCTTGCCTGATGTCGTCACATTAGACCTCAGATCGAACCGCACATCGTTGAGGTATCCAGTAGCGGGGAGCACACTCTCCGGGAATGTTATTGTCTGAAACGGCTTAGTTGTGTTGTTACTGAGATCAAACCCGACCAGTTTCGGTCCACCTGGTGCAGCGGGCAGGTTATCACTATTAACAACTGGGCGTCCATTATCCAAGGCCCACAATCGATCTTTGGCGTCTATCACTGCAGCTTGCACGTTGATAAAGTGTAATGAGTCGCTAGATCCCAACGGACGTCCCGAGGATGTGTTGACGAGTCCGCCGGGAGGAATGTTGAAGTCGCCGCTTGGGAAGGGGACTTCGGCCGTCGCGTTGACTATCTCCCCTAATGTGATGGGATTCGAAGACAAATCACCGCTGAGCCATAGTCACATTAATACGTTTGAAGGGATACTTTTAGCATGAATCCATTCTTACCGATTAAATGTTATAAACGCTCTTCCTGATTTGCTTACAGTGATACCGATAGGGGGTTCGCCGTTGAAGAGATGAACCACTTCCAATGCGGGGCCAAATGTTCCATTGTCTACAAGGCCGGGCTTCTCAGACAGCGGCGTAAACTTGACGGCGCACACTGACGAACAGAATGAGAATGCGCCGAGTAGAAGGGTATTGAATGACGGATGCATATTCACTGGATGGACTACGAATCAATTGCAAGGCATTTATACCTTGGGCCATTAATACACTTCAGCGGGTCGTACCACACGATCCATCTCTCACAACCGTCAGCTTACTACGTCAGATGGCTCGCAATGAGTCATCCTGCACTTCTTGTCGCGGAAATATGCACGATGCATTCATCGGAAGACGGAATGTGTGGAAAGAAGTATGAGCGGCTGAAGGTTCTTCCAAATAGTAAAAAAGGAGTTGCGTGGACCCCTCAATGCTGACCTACCGGCCATGGTTGGTATCTATCGAGGGAAATAAACATTCAGTACATTCCGCCGGCATGGAAGGAAAGATCACGCTGCATAGCCTTTGTTGAGTTATCTCGCCGCTAACAAATTATGCCACGCACATCAACATCGGAACAACCTCCCCCAAGGCGTGCGCCAATCACACACGGAAATCAAGCCAGATCTGAATTGACCTTACACTGCACATCGATCATATGTATGTAGTCAAAGTCACCGGATTCGGGCACTCCGTCGCATGATAATCAGTGTCCATTGTCATGCTTCTTGGACTTGGACTGGTGGCGTTTCAAGTCTGAGCTAGTTGTGAAGGCCGAGCCGCAATAGCAAGGGAACGGACGTTCACCGTAATGAGCTCTGAGATGACCTTAATAAGGCAGCACGAAGTCAGCGAACATCTCGACGACCAACCTTATGAAACGTACGTTTGTAATTGTGCGTGGCCGTGAAGCCTCTGTCACAGTGGTGGCAGAAGAACCTGTGCGGGTTGGTACGTCGCCTTTCGGCAGCATCTATAACGGCGACCGTGGCCACCCTCCTAATGACCTGGGAGGTTGCGGAACGCTCGGGGTCCATGGCTCCGCTTTCTGTAAAAGGAGTCGGCAATTGAGTGTGGGAGATAAGAGAGAGAAGCTACCACGTTCGTTCAGTTGTCCACCAGGAACCCATGGATTATTATCAACGTCAGAGACGTGGAACTGCTGAACGCCTCGATGGCCGACATCGTGAGCCCTAGCTTCATCTACAAAGTGTTTAGTACGTATGTATGGGACGGAAGCAGAGGAGGAGGCCGCATACTGCTGCTGGCTGCGCTGTAAATTTGGTCCTCGGGCAGTAGGCTCTGTGGTACTATACGAAACTGGTCTTGAGACGACGGTCTGTGACAATACTCCCATGTGCCAGCGTCGAAGGGTTGTAAAGGGAATTGCGGCATTTGGCCCTCGGCATTCTCGTTCTCATTGGGGTAAACGTGCCTCATATCGGATGCAGTATACTGAACACCTGGGTGCCCAGTAGAGTAGTCTGTAATTTTGTGTCAAGATTTGTGAATCCTGAAAACATGGGGACATACGCGACATGGTGGCGTTTCCGTTGAGGTTGTGGTTCCCTCCGTAGAGATTCCGCTGCGGGTACATTGGACACAGATTAAACGGAATGGGAGGCATGTTAGCCCTGGAAAGCATCCCTCTTATAAACTGGAGGAATCTCCAGCCCTATGTATCAGTTAATAGCGCTGGTGATGGAATGGACAAGGGAACGTGGACTGGTATATCTCCATAGTCCCTCCTGTTTCGTCGAGAGATTGCAACAACATCACGAACCCCCCAGTGTTGGTTCCTCTTTCATTGAGAATTGAGGAAACGGGAACATACCATAAATCACAGGATTGATTGACTTGACGCTGTACCCCAGTGGCTGTCCGGGTATCAATTCAGTATTCACCTGCGATAGAATACTCAGCAAGAACAAGAACACCGACGGCGGAAGAATATCCGGGAATGCGTCCCAATTTTTTGCAGTTGGCCCGAAGCTGGTTTCATATAATAATAAATGCACTTCGCCGTTGCGCGGCATTGGCGTTATTGGGACGATCCTTTCGGGATGTCATATCACTGGAACGTCGTTGAAGTCTTCGACACGACTGAGGAACGAAAGCCTGATTAACTCTCCCGTGAGTTCGTTGGCCAATTGAGATACAATTGAATGTTGGTTGTAAGTACACCTGTCCTATTCAATCGGATGTAAGTGAACTGCGCCATATACAAGAATAGCCACGCACGGAAGGTCAGCTACAGTACTAATCCGGAGGCTTGAGTGACAAGACATGCCGATTCCAGGGCGGAAGAAGGTGTTGCGAGCTGCGAGCATACTCAAGCGATACCGATAGATACCAATGGTCATGGAATGGACGGCGTCTACGGTCTCCGGTAAGCGCCCGCCTATTTTACACCTATCCCGACGCAACTCCTACTCTCCTTGAGGCTTGTCGAAAGAGTAGTCCTCAGTTAAGATTGTATGGCTGAGACCATGGCTGAGACCTCACACTGGAAGACATACCGATGAGGATCTCAGGCTATCAGAGAGAGCGAAGACGCACTTCATTTGTGGTGATAGACTTATGCCAGGCTTTCCGAGCGACACCTTTTTCGGCAGCCAGATTATACTCCTTCAAGCGTCGGATGTCGTTCTGCCCCGATAACGGAGTAGGGCCAAATATCAGTATACAGCTGACCAAATTGCTGTCGTCGAAGTAGGCATCGCCAACGTGGCTTGGAGGACAGCTTGTCCCTAGTCCAGGATGCTCAGTTGAACCTTGAAGGCTGACCCATATCGCCGAATGTAGAACAGGATTTTCTCGTCCCAGACGGGGTTGAGAGAGTGCCAGATAAAGCGCATACGACAAACTCTCTTGGGAAAGGGGGTATATCCCATCAGATATGTGTCACTGAGTCAAGGTGACCTACAAATAAATAAGACAAGCGAGCTTTACTTACTTTATTACTTCAACGTGGGTGCGACGAGCGCCACTTGAGCAGATATCGAGCGACGCCTCCATGGGCTTTGATGGTCCTATTTTGCTGCGTTCGAGATTTACTACGATTGCAATATTCCCCGCGGTAAGTCGGACTTGCTGTAGTCGGAAATAATGGAGATGGCGAAGCACCGTAGCCTTAACGTAACAGACAAAGGATCTAATCTCCAAGTGACAACAGCTGCCGGCGGTTTCTTCTCAGCGCGTAGATCGTCTGTCCCATGTATCTCTAGCATCACGATCCAGACGATGTCGTTGGAGGCGCCGAAATAGTATTCCACGAGGACCTTTACCGCTTCTTTTTCCCGACAACGGTGTTTGACGACGGGCAACTTCGTAACTTCTCTTCCGAAAGTTTGCGAACCCGGAAATGTCGATGGCTAATTGGGCGTCATACCCGAAATTTTATCATTCGGTCCTCGTTTGATACACGGAAACCCCGGAAGTCTTGAAAAACATGCTCAGCACCAACCGACATTGTGACGAGAAGGCCACGCACCTTGATCGCCTTCCATCTGACTCTTTGCGCCCTAGAATAGCGTCGTGATCAAGATCGTTTGAAGGGAGCCCAAGCGCCGGAGTCGCCTCGTGGAACAGACATATACATAGACCTGCATTTTCTCTGCCCGATCATCCAATTCTGCACAATGGTAGTTCTACAACCGTCAGTCAGCAGGATACACATCACCAGCGAACCAGAAGCAATACTTACCATTCTGTTCATCTCGCGGTTAATCTTCACAAAATTACCGACGACAATCATATCCGCCCTTCCCTATCTTTTCCTCAATTCTAGCTCCCGGATATCCATCTCCGCCTTGCATTCAACATTCAGATTTAAGACGTGGCCGATAGTATAGCGCGGGGAACGTTGGCTCTGGTGCTGTTCGCAATAGAAGCAGCCACTGTGCTGGCGGCTGCTTCCTGGAGCGCTGGGACTCGGAGCAAATACTCTCGCGTCCGATGTGACCGTCACGGTCACAATCTTTGACTTAGAGCTTCAAGCGCGTCGACCGCGACATCGTGCAAATGAGCTAGTAAGTAATCTATCGAAGCAAACCTCATTTGTATGGTGACTCCTGACACACGTCGCTCCCGAATATGATATGACCCGCAGACGGCATCTTGGATCTTGGATGCCAGCGACATCAAATAGCAGGGAACGACGGCCTCAATACAAGTAGAAAACTTGGCCGCGTGGACGGCTATGGACGGACACACTCTCCCTCATGGGACAAATGACGGTCCGCGCAATCCCAGGAAATCCGACATTGACGGGCCGGAGCCGCGCTGAGAATAAATACAACGATATATCGTGTTCAGCAACGTCCAGTTCAAACTTACAGGAAAAGTCTTATTCTGTTCTAGATTATGGTGTACATCAACATAGACCCGGCACGCATCATTGATGTTGTCGATCCTCGAATTTATTCTGGCTTCACAGAACATATGGGCCGATGCATCTACGGAGGTTTGTACGACCCAGACAATCAGCATGGCCTGTCGGATCCACAAACTGGATTTCGTTTGGACGTGCTTGATACACTCAAGGAATTGAAGATTCCTATTGTCAGATATCCTGGAGGGTAAGCCAAGTCCATATTCTGCACAATGCCAGACTCACGTCGATACAGTAATTTCGTGAGCAGTTATCGGTGGCAAGGTTGTCATTCTGTTCTCACTTGCCGGAAGTTACTTACGTTGTGTAGACGGCATTGGTCCTAGAGAGAACCGACCGCGTCGACCCGAGCTCGCCTGGCTCAGCGAAGAAAGCAATCAATTCGGAACAGGTGATCATCTCGCTGAACATCACTTTCTTGTATCTCACTCCCGCTCAGACGAATTCATCGAATGGTGTCGCACTCTCGGAACTGAACCATACATATGCCTCAATATGGGCACAGGGACATTGGAAGAGGCACTCGGGTGGCTGGAGTACTGCAACGGCTCTGGGAACACTTACTACGCCAATCTCAGGCGAAAGAACGGACACGATGTGCCATACGGTGTGAAATACTGGTCCCTTGGAAATGAAGTCTGGGGACCGTGGCAGGTTGGGCAAATGGAGGCTCAAGATTACGCGAAGAAAGCTTTCCAATGGGCCAAGGCCTTACGCCTTCTGGACCCCTCGATCAAGCTTATCTCGTGCGGTGGTACGTGATCTTTAGGCGCTATCATGGTCTCTTTGTTCAACTTTCAACGCAGAAACTGGTTACGCGGACTGGGATCGTGTAATTCTACGCAAGCTTGCACCAGTGGTCGACTATCACTCTATTCACAGTAAGTGTTCCAAATTATTCACTTTTGTATGCCTATAATAATTTCGTCCTACGAGTAGATTATACCGTTAGCCAGGGAAAGCATGTAGTGAATGCCATGGGTCGTATGTGCCACTCCGTCGCCAATTTCGCGTGTCCTCAATTCCCATAGCTGCTGCTGCCGAAAAGGGCATCGAAATCACTCGATCCCTGATTGATCTAGCGAAGGTCGAGGGAGCGCTGGACAAGAGCATCACTATGTTAGGACTATGTTTGCTCGTATATGGTCTGACAGTACTCACCTCGCGTTCAGCTGTTATGACGAATGGAATGTATGGTGCGTGCTGTAATACCAATGTGCTTCAATTACTGTCTCATTCCTTGTCTGTTAGGGATCCTGTGCGAGGTCAGTCTATTCATTGTACCAATTTCTTCGCTCGTTTACCACCCAAAATGTAGCACCTGGTGAAAAGGGAGCTGAGGAACACTATGACTTGTCCGACGCAATTGGTAAGCAGACATTTCGCAAATCTAAATACCCAAGGTTTATTAACGTTTCTCCTTCGTAGCGGTGGCATCATGGTTGAACGTTTTCGTACGAAAAGCAGACATAGTCAAAATTGCCTGCATTGCACAGTTCGTCGTTGCACGATTACAGCTCGTCTGCGTATAATGACCTACGATCTTCTTCCAGATCTGTGAATGTCATCTCCCCCGTGAGTTGCATCTCTTCTCAGACTGCTTCTTTCCATTGACACTTGTATCTAGATCATAACCTCGCCTACGGGGCTATATAAGCAGGTTCGTACTCGAGATTCATCTTACAAAAGCGGCCTTTGACCTTTGTTTGTTTTAAGACGACCTACTACCCGCTCCATCTGTTCACAAACTTGATGCGCGGAGCGTCTCTCGACGTCTACGTCGGTGCTGGAGCGGCTGATCCTCAAAGTTTATCGTACGACGGGCCTACGTTCCCGCCGTTTATTCAACATCTTACTTCTCACACACCCGAGTCTATGAAGCTCACCAAGTTCATTGACGTTAGCGCCGTGCTCGTGACGCCCACCGATGAACCAGGCTTGAAATCAACCGAAGTCAGAGTCGCTATTGTCAACCGTCACGACGTCGACGACTACGAAGTTCCCATTCGCTTCGGACCCAACACGAGCGTTGATTCTTCCTTCACGGTTCATGAACTTTGGAGCGATAGTCTCAAGGATTCGAATTCATTCGAGGAGGAAAAGGTAAAGACAGTGAGAAAAGAGGTCAATTTTGGCGAGACCTTCATTGTGAAGAAGCATTCTTTCCAAGGTACGCAAAGTTCCGCGACATCGGGAGAGCACGTACTGATCGAGACCCTAGTGTTGGTCTTTCGGTTGAAGTAGTAAATAGATCCCTTTCCCTATGATAAACGCATTTCAATCTCCACAATCGTATCTCGAAGCCCCACACTAGCTTCCAACATTACGCTATGTCATGGAATCGCTGCGTCTTGTGATCATTGTATATCTCCTTTGACACCCGCTTCACCCATGCCCGCGGCCCGCCGCATCCGTCAGAGAGACGACCCTTGGGCACTGACCGTCTATATATGTCGACAGGTGGGTAAACAGGAACCAAGAAGCGTCTGCTTTCTTCGACTATATTCTGCTATTGCATCATGGTGCTGCCGCCCAAAGTGTATACGTGGTTGTGTGGTCTATTTGCAAGTATGTTGTTTGTTGGCTGGCTTGTTCTTCGTGACCCACATAACTAACACTGGATAGGCTTGGGTAGTATTATATTCGGATATGATTTGGGTGTCATAGCAGGAGTACTTCCAGCGCCCGATTTCATTGTGAGTGCCCTCCTTGCTCAGCTTTTACGCGCCGAGTTCGAACGGGGGCGTCAAGGCCACAATGGGGCCACGCTATCACGATCCCAATTTGCAAGGATTAATAGCGAGTATATTCGGTATGCCCATACGTTTGTCGCGTAATGATACAATCTAACCACTACGTTAGTTTTGGGATGGTAAACCACTCTGCTTTTCCGCTCACCCTCGTACTGACGTAGGGTTGACGACCAGCTTCTTTGGCATGTTCCCTGTGGCCTACTTTGCGGACAAATTTGGTCGTCGAATCACGATTCAAATCGGGGCTGCAGTCTACATGTAAGCCCCTCATTCACTAGGTATTCATGCTCCCTTACACACGTGCGAAGATTGGGAGGCGCTTTGCAGACTGGTGCTACAAATATTGATTTCATGTATGCTGGCCGCTTTTTCGCAGGTGCGTATTTTTTCTCTCTTCTGCAGTGATGCTTTTTACACATTCACCCCTAGGTTTTGGAGTTGGTATCATGTCCGACCTTGCCCCGTTATACCAGGTAGACAACATGCTTTGCGTCGACCACAGGCACTTGAATTTGACTCCATCCTGTCCAGGCAGAAATTGCTCACCCAAGTATTCGTGGCCGCCTTACTACACTCCAACAAGTAAGTGGATCTGCGTTATCCTTCATTTTGCTGACTATCCATCTTCGGGTCAGTTCATGTTGGGAATAGGTGGTATGTCAGTATGTGATCGGTGTTCGCGACGAAGCTAATGCAATGCGAATACTCTTGCCAGCATTCATAGCGTCCTGGGTTGTACGTATGATTGAGTGTTCTATCCCAATGTGCTGATATTCGTATATCAGACGTACGGCACTTCTGCTGGCCTGAAAGGCACGCAGGCGGAGTGGAGGATCCCATTGGGATTGCAAGTTCGTAACACGGTTCCACTTCAGAAAGGCTTCTAAACCATCAGTCAGATTATACCAGCATTGCCGTTGATCGCCTTCATCCTTTTGCTACCTGAATCGTAAGTTAACAACATTTCTTTGCTCGAAGGCTTCGTCACTCCTTTGTGAACAGTCCTCGATGGTTGGCAGACAAAGGCAGAATCGACGAAGGTACTTATTCAATTACCACACCTGTTGTTATTTCTTATCGTTTGCTCTACTTAGCTCGCGCAACACTGGCCCGCCTTCACGCTCATGGCGATATCAATGATCCTTTTGTTATGTCTCAAATGGAAGACATGAAGGCTGAACTCCAAAGAGCTCGCGATATCGGTGACTCTAGGTTAGTTCCTTTTTAGCGATGCGCCCAGTTGCCCATACTAACGATGACCCAAAAGCTGGAAGGAACTGTTCGTTATTCCAAGCAACTTCCGTCGCCTGAGTCTAGGGTGTGTGACTTCCTCGTCGCGTTGATGCAGCGCAATTCTTATAGACATCCTCCTCTAGATACATCCTTCAGTTTTCGGTGCAGATGACTGGTACGTCTGCCCACCCACAAGTTAATGACGGGCAAACCTCTCTTCAGGTGTCAGCGCAATTCAATACTACTCCACTACCGTAAGCCCCAAGTTTAGATTTCCAATACATTATTGATCTTGGCTCCTCTAGATTTTTGCAACGGTACATTTATCTCCCATGAATGAAACTTGTAATTTACTGTAGCGTCAAGATGGGGTTCAGTTCCACGCGCATCCTCCTCTTCCAGTCCATCAATAGTATCATTGCCCTCATAGGAGAGGTATGTGCTCTATAGGCAAGGATCGGGTGCCGTTTACTGACGTCTACTTTGCAGGCCTGCTGTGTTCTTTGGATCGACCATACCGGCAGACGGAGGCCGTTGATCATTGGCAATATTGCCTCCGGGCTTTCATTCGTCGTTGGGTCGATCCTAATGGCTCGGTGGCCTGGTACCGTAGATAAGTGAGTATACACCCCAAGTCTCTGCTATAGTAGCCTTGCCCTAATTTTCGTATATACAGTGACGCAGTAGGGATGCACTCCTAGCCAAAGTAAAACACTCACCTAATGATGTTCTTTTCAAAGGCCCATTACGTATGTTCACGTTCAGGACTCTCCCGATTCCATTGCTAACAAAAAGCGCTGTCAAAAAGATATTCATCAGTGAGTATTATGACCTTGTTCATGTCATGAAACTGATCGACACCTTGTACATAGTCACGTTGGTCAACTTCTGTTGCCCGCCGCGTAGCCCGCTAACATTTGCACAGAACTTGGGTATTTAACTTCTTTTTCAGCGCGTGTATAGGTCCGCTGTCTTGGGCGTACCCCGCTGAGATATTCTCAACGAGGACGAGGGCGAAGAGTACGGCGATTACAAGTTCATCGTCGTGGCTATCAAACTTGTGAGTTTCTTACGCGATAAATTTTTTGTGTTGCTCACGCGTGGGCGAAGCTTCATCGCACAAGTCACTCCCAAGGCCTTCGGTGCCATAGGCTGGAAGTAAGGGTTCTCCTCTTACTCAACATCATATTTACCTAACTGCATGTTGCAAGATACTGTTAGTACCGCTTGATCAATCCGCTAGGATTTTCTTGATGTCTCGGCCAGATCTAGTATTTGCCATCTGCGGACACACCAAGTAGGTTTAGCTCTGCCATTCCATTGAACCTATGACTAAACAGAGGTCCATTCAGCGCCTTATTCATTTGGGCGTTTTACCCAGTAGGAAATATCTTTCCTTCTTAATGAAGACATTCTGAAAGATCGATCTGATAGGAAACTACTGGACGCCGTCTCGAGGGTACGAAGAGTCTTCCTTCTCTGCCCCACTGCAGCTGCCAATCCTCATAGCGATATAGAAATGGACGCTCTGTTTGAGCAAGCCCCGTTGTTTGTGCCGAGGACATCGTACGCGAAGGTTATCGACCACGCGGCGGCAGAGCGAGAGCTACGCGACGGTACGTTGAATTGAGTTTCAAGTACATCATCAGGATATTCATGCATCCCTTCAGGTAATTTTGTTCCTGGAGACCTCACCGAGAAGGTGGAGAAAGGGAGTGATATCGAAGACAATAAAGGATTCCAGTCGCAGATTGAAATTACGGAAAAGAATTGAAGGGATATCTTCCAGGACAACTAATGCTTGATTTTGAAAGCGAATGTGTATGCGAACGACATTCCATTTGTTCTAAAGTAGCATGATGGAATAACTCTTGGAACTACAAGCCGTGCCTCCTGTCAGAACAGGGATGTGTAAAAGGGACCTTCATAGGGAAATCACGTGCTTGTCGAAATTTCCCCTCCTCGTCCTCGTCATCCTTCAACTTGTCCTCGAACTTCATGCGCCTCTACATCCCCGTCGAACCGCCGCCCACTCCCGCGCCATCACCGAGACCAGAGCAGGATAATCCAGCCAGGTTACAGTACCTTGCCTCGATTTTACACACTTGCACCCCATCAGAACTTCGTTTCATATCACTTTCAATCGCACCCCTCCTCAAACGAGATTTTCTGCGAGACTTGCCCATCGAACTCGGGCTGCACATTTTAAGCTATATTCATGACCCTAACTCCCTCGCATATCTCAGCCAGGTCTCCAAGTCATGGCGGCAAGTCGTACGTGACGAGAGCGTGTGGCGAAGAATGTGTGATCTCTACCATTTCCCGACCGGCACCCGCCCAAGTAGTGGCAGGAACGAACCGCTGAAGGAACTCGAAGAATTTGCTGACAAACCCATGGATCCCGCCCTCGAATGGCTGGCCTCAAGGCCGTCTGAAATAAGAGATTCTCCACTGTCGTCTTCATCTTTCCATAGATTCAAATATCACTATATGACATGTAGGCCACCCTCTTTCTACTGTCTGCTATCTAATGGACAACATAGTGCAAAACTGGCGACATGGAGGGCACCTGCTACGAGAATTCTCCGTTCCAATGGGTTCGAACGAACGGGAGGGCGGGGTGATCACGTCGGTTGCACTAGATTCGGAGTGGGTTGTCGTGGGCAGTGCGAACTCGAAGATCCATGTATTCAGTGCGAGGACGGGGGTACTGCATCGAGTATTAGTAGGTCATACCTCGGGAGTATGGAGTGTGGGGTTAGTGAGCCGGGGTGGAAGACCACTGAGGCGGCGCGCAGCAGATGGGGATGGGGAGGCCTGGGTGAGTTTTTTGCCAGCTTCACACAGGGAAGCACTTGGGCTCGATCTGGACGATGAAGGGGCCTCTGATGGCGAGGAGACGACGAGTGAGCCTGGTGGGGCGTCAGAAGGGTGGGGACAGCCAAATGCAATCGTCGTCAGCGCTGGTTGCGACCAAGTTATCAAAGTATGGGAGGTGGAACATGGGTATGTACTCTCGTCCGTTCCTTCTCTCGCATAGTCTCAACGACACGCAGCAATTGCATCCACACGCTGACAGGGCACACGGCGACTATTCGATCGCTGAAGCTCCTCCATCGCTCGCCTACGGCTGTAACAGGAGCGAGGGACAGGACTGTGAGAGTGTGGGACATACAGAAGGGGCGGATGTTGAGGGTCTTGGAAGGGCACGAAGATAGGGTACGGTGTGTAGAGGTCTGCGGAAGGAGAGCCGTCAGCGGCAGTTATGACGGGACATGTAGGGTAAGTCGCCGGGAGGTTGGACATCTGGCGACTAACTTTGTGCCTACGACAGATGTGGGACATCGACACGGGCAAATGTATACACGTTTTGACTGGTCACCGCAATCAGGTGTACTGCGTCGCGTTTAACGGAGTCTACATTGCATCTGGGGGACTTGACACCGTCGTTCGAGTCTGGAGCGCAGAGACTGGGTGAGTGCTGGGGAATATCGATCGCCATCGCTTTTTTGACGCGTAATGAATTGAAGAGCCTGTCTGTCTATCTTAGCGGGGCACACCGCGCTTGTCTCCCAGCTTCAACTGTCGCCTGCGTCACGCGAAGAGATGGCGAGGGCGAGGAATAGGTCGTCAGTCCATATTGGTTCAGGTTCATCTTGGGATGTGACCGACGCTCACTTTCCCTCGTATACATATACATCGCCAACTAGTACTTCACCACCAAACCCAACATCAAATTCAAACTCTCTTTCACAATCGCATTCAAGTCCAAATCCTGCCCTCAACCTCCCCTCCACGCGCCCGATTCTCGCCACTGGTGGCTCCGATGGGCGGGTTATTACCTATGACATTGAATCCAGGCAGGTAGTCCACCGGATCGCGGCGCACGATGCGGCTGTCATGGCATTGCAGTTTGATGAGTATTTTATTGTGACGGCAGGGTCTGACGGTCGGGTAAGGGTTTTTGAGACAGGGAGCGGGAGGTTGGTGAGGGATTGGTATGGGAATGTGGGCAGTAGTGGATATGGGTATGATGTGTTAAGTGACGTGGACCCAGCGACGGGGATGACGAATATACCTACGCCGAGATATGAGAACGTGTGGAAGGTCGTCTTTGGGGGGTCGTTGTGGGGTGCTTCAGCCACGGGGATTGGAACGACGACGATGGACCTTGACAAGGGCACTATTGGCGATGTTCCGGATGGTGGCGGTGACGGGCTTCGTAAGAGGGAGAGAGGGCGTGGACGCGATATATGTGCGGTTATGTGCCGAAAGCCGGGAGGAAGGACGGTGGTGGAAATTTGGCGGATGAGCCCCGACATGGATGTGGCGCCAGCGTCAGCGCAACAGTGGAGTGGTGAAGCCAAAGATGAAGAAGACGCGGCGGCCGGTTAGGCCCAAGGACCCTTCTTCAAGTCACCAACCTTTGCCTGCACGATGGTTAGTGGACTCTACTCTTCTCATTATTCCCTGTCAACAGACGTTGGACACGGTGAACTACTTTCAACGTCCCCTCCGCTCAGTGATTCCTACCTATTCTTTCCGCACTCTCTAACACTCTAACTGTATCACCTGTATCTAGCACTGAGATTGTATTGACACTAGCCGTATACCAGTGAGGCTCTAAATTGTACGTAGTAGGTTTTGCCCAGCGTGTGGGCGATAGGCGTGTCTTTTCAACCAGCAAGGCCGGAAATCGTGACTCAGACAGACTACTATGTCAGCGGCTAGGTGCTCCACAAACTCTGCTCGATGATCATGTAGGTGATCCGGAAGATGGTAAAGCAAAGCAGAAGACAAGCTTTGTAAGTTGTGTAGAGAATCTCTGTGGGCCCTACGAGCCTTCGTCGCTGGGTTCGAAGCTGAGTGGCCCCACATTGGGCGCGGGATGTCAATAGCACGGAACAGAGGGTCGAGTCAGATGCAATGTACGAGAAAATTTGATGAAGTAATTCGGGGGATGGCGCATCGTTGCTTGCCGCTCCTAGGTACAGGGCGGGAGAAAGGCGGGGCGGGGCGGCCCAGCGCCTCTATGCTTATGTAACAGGATCGATCACGGGACTCCAAGCGACACGCAGTGGCAACTTTCTTAACACTACCTCTTCGTTCCAGTGGCAATTTGTGTTCACAGGCGGCGAGTATAAATATGATCTCTGTCCTTACCTTCCTTCACTCATCCACAATACCATGGCTGATCACTTCGCGTTCACCACTAGCCAAGCCACTAGCTCTCTCAAGGATACCAAGAATGTCGCAGGCAATCGCAAGGAGATGGCGGCTCTCGAGGTTAGAGAAGAGTACACAAAGCCGTATAGAAACTTTTCCCGAGACCACTTGAACGCGCCTCCGGGCTCGAATTTTGAGATACTCCTGGAAGCCGATAAAACGCTAGTAGCCCTCACCGAATCATACGTTTCCGCTGTAGGAAAGCCCCAATATTCGGCACTTTGCAAAGTCCTGAATCATCTCAGCGAGAAATTCTGTGGTAAATCCTTTCCCCGACGTATACAAACTCTCACTAACTATTCACGTCCAAAACGCACAGGGGATAACGAACCCATCGTCTTCGTGGACCATCACACAGCATATCTCAAACATCATCCCAACGGATACTTTGACTGCTCTCCGGATATTCCTGCCATGTTGAAGTCTAGATTCTTGACCTACCCGTCCACTTCCCCTTGCAAATGCGCCGAGTGGTCCGATCTAGAGACCGTAGTCGAAGTCAAGAACGAGCACGAATACTTGGATGGCATAACGCAACTGGCCGCGTACCTTGGACTAGCGAATCAAGCTCGACCAGACAAAGTTGGGATATACGGCTTGATCACATCGCCACACGGATATCAGATACAATATAGCGATGCTGGCGGTCTGACTACATCGCCGTTCTCCGATTGGGAACACCTCGTTCCCTTGGCGTCCTATGTGTATACGCTCTATTTTCCTCTTCCAGGACGCCCGCGCTGCGACCCGACCATCACTCGCTCATCCACTCGCATAGAAGATAAACCCTCCTGGGATGTCACGTTCAAAGGCGAAACATATCCTGCGTGCCAAGTCAAATTCGTCGGACAACCGTGGAAGCGCATGGCGTGGGTCGCCCAAACAGCGGGTAAATATCCCACCGTCATCAAGGATTCCTACTGGGCGCATGGCCGGACGTTCAAAGAAGGGGAATTGTATGATGTTCTACAGGACGGCAAACCGGCTCCAGGCTTCGTGAGGGTGATAACACACGGAGACGTCTTCTATGAGGAGGGTCCTATTACCTCTATCAATATCGAACCCCATGTATATCGAGTAAAGACCAGACTCGTCATGGGCACCTCGGGTGACCCATTAATCGACATCCCAAGCATCAAGCATTTTCTCATGGCGATGTACGATGTTCTCGAAGGTGAGTGCCGCATCTAAGTCGCTATCATTTGACTAAGAACTCCCTAGCTCATCGATGGGCAGTCAAAGAGAGAAACATTATCCATCGCGATATCAGTCAGGCTAATATCATCATCAACCCCAAGGACAGATGTAAAAAGTACCTGAGAGAGCACACTCGGCCTATCTTTATCACAGAAATCCTCTTCAAGTTAGTAACCTAACCTACTCGCTACCCCACTTTACGACTTACAAGACATAGGAAGGAATATGCTCCGCCGGTGGCCCGCCTATTTGATTTCGACAACTCGGCTGAAAACGATCGCTTGCGGGCGAAGACTCCCACCTTTAAGGAGTCTCTAGAACGAAGCCCTGATCACGAACACCTTCGTCATAGGACGGTGAGTAGATCATTTCTACTCTGTTGACGAGAGTGCTAAGTTTCCTCTCTTGAACAAGGGCACGCCGCGGTTCATGGCACGCGCGGTCGCCGCTGGTCATACTCTTGGACGAACTTGGAATGTGTTCGTGTCCATGCCTTCATTGCCGCCAAATCTTCTTGCCCGGTACAAAAAGGTCCATTCTGCGGGAGAGAACCATCTACGACTTTTTGAGGATCGCAATGGCACAATACACGGTGGTCGCGTCGGTAGAAGAGAATCGGACAATGATCCTCTCGACGAACCAGGCTGCGAACCCAGCGAGGACGAATCTAGCGAGGACGCACCTAGCAAAGACGAATCTAACAGCGAGGACGAATCTGACCCCGACGAATCTGAGAACAGCGAATCCGACAACGACGAATCTGACCACGCCGAGTCCGACGATGGCACAATTGGTTCTCTCAAATTTGAATCTGACGACAATAAACTTACTGAAGACAAATCTGAGGGTCAAACTCAAATATTTCGGCATCTCCCTCGACATGACGCCGAGTCGGTGTTCTGGGTGATCGTAGTATTCCTCCTTCGTGCTCTACCCCTTGGCCACCGTCCCGCTGATGACACGAACGTGGAGTTCCTGAGGTCAGCCTGGGGGTACATTGCGGGTCACGAAATCAAGTCCGCACCGGGACAGTCTCCTATGGACTCCCGGGCGAGCCTTCTATTTCACCCCGACGCCTGGGAGCAAATTCTGCATCAGAAATTTGCTCGCCTGGCGCCCATGATGGAGGAGTTTATTGCGCAGGTAACGCCTGAATATAGCCATCTCACGGAACCACCTCCAGACGACTTCCATCTCCATGAGGCAATGCAACGTATTCTACTCAAATACGCCGTAAAATTTTTGGGGGACTCTGACATCCTTCTGAATACTAAAAAACGACGTGTGATTCTCCAAGAGACGGACCCCCAGTGCACAGGGCTGTGGTCATCTACTGATATTTCTCTGGACGGTCAGCACTTGCAGCAAGTTGGACATAGCTCTCGCTTTTCGGTATCCCGAGGTCCAGACGGTATTGTCAAGGACAAAGTAGGTAAACTCTGACTTTCTTGGACATCCCTGTAGACCCGCAGTATTGTGTACCGTGTAGCGATTTATGAGTAGAAGCCAGGTATGAATGATATCGAGCCGATGTATGTGCAATTATGTATCATGAACTTCTTTTCATATCATCGCACCTGCTAAGTACAAATGTATAAAATATTTGGTTTTGCTAGCCCACTAAGTGCTTGCCAACACCCTGCTTATGTAACAAGATCCCACTTCCCATCCCAAAGCGTAATGCAGAAGTTGGATTCACCACTCCAACACGCCTCCAGAGCTCCTCCGTCAAATATTATCGTACTCAACAGGGCGTGATGCCGTGTCAGTCGCCTGTGTTTGTAGAGCCTGGTCTAGGGAGGCTCTCCACATCATCTGGCATGCCGTACGGTTACATGACCTGCTACAGCTGTTGACACCGCTGGATGCAACGGGTAAGGTGAGGTGCTCGACATTATATGGCTGGGTCTGTGTCCTAACCTGCTTGCGATTAACACTTTTCTTGTGCCATCCACCCGAGTGACTGGGGCGCGTTTCGACACATACGCTTCCATGGTCCGCTCCCTGCGTATCGGGGTGGATTATACCTATAAGAGAGAAATATTTGCTGACATCCCCCTCAGCGGGCTATCCCTACCCCGCACGATTGAATTGAGGCTCTTTCACCCTCTCACACCACGTATTGTGCCTTTACTTCGTCATTCGTCCATCCAGACCTGGTTTATTAGCGACAAAGCTCTAAAAACCTTTTTGGAGGAGGGGGTGCCGTAACACTTCATGATATTGGTCTGTGCGTGATCACCATTAGAACGAACCACGATGTTTCGTCTATGGCAGAACACGTTGGACCAGTGACCACGTCGTTTCTTCACTCGTATCGCTTCCTTGACTCAAATCGCGCTCAAAACAACGTGGCCGGGGAACCTTGCTTACCGACCCAGCGGCCCTCCGCTGCCACAGAGTGCCCGCTTCACAGATCGCGGTCCAGTCTAGATTTCTCCGTACTCGCCGATATATTCTCCCCTCTGCCAAGATACGAGCATCGACCATCACATCCACTGAGCGCGTAGCGAGCTTTTTAAGCCGCGTCCTACCTGAGTGGTGCACCATCATGTGCGGTTCTAATGGAGCTGCCCGGGACATGGTCGAAGAGCTCAATGTTCGCTGAAGCTCGATGGGAGGAGCCCGCAGCGGTCATGGCGTCGATGAATGTAATGCGCAAGATCACTTGATGGTCCAACCTAGTCGGCGTAGATGTCGGAAGCTTCTGGTTGATGTTTTTCTTTCAAGAATTTGCTCGATGTTGTCCGTAGATATGTTGTTGCTCAAGGATGTCGTGGAGACTGTGTGTTGGTGTCGCCCACCGCTGTAACCTGTAGGATGATATATTCGCCTATGCGTCAATGATGATGATATGGCTACTTTTTGAACGAAGTGTGTTGCGACCCGTGCGGTAGGCAGATCCCACAGCCGCGAACCATCTGTAAGCTGCCAACGCCAACTTCACGCATGTCAAACTTCTCGAAAGCTCTCTAGGCATTATCGGGGAAACCCTCTGGCAGCTATGCCCTTTCCTGAGTTTCCTCGGAAAGAGGGATAACATTTCGGGTGTTCGTGTACGCAAAACCCAGACCAACGAAGCCCTCAATACCATCTGGCGTAAAATCGAGGTCTACGGCCTGGTATCCTTGTAATTCTGGCCGGGTACGCCAATACTCCGAGTTCCCCAAGTTGATGCTACTGCTCGCGTACGACCGAGGAAAAAATGTGGAACTGCCGCTAGAAATCTCTGACAGTATAATTATGCCCTTTGTAGTTGTAAACACGAAAGTTGAACGGTGTGAACAGGTTCCCGCGAACATGGAGTGGTGTTACTCTTTCGACGGTTCCCCTTAGTACACCCTATTTATTCTCAACCCTGTTTATTTTCACATTTTGCTCCAGATTGGGACTCTTTCTATGCCCAGTTGCATGCTATAATCCTCCTACGTGGTGATTCTGATGCGAGCACTGCAGACTTGACGTGGTGAAATTGAGGCCCCCTGATTACACTGACTCCCACGACGCGCGCATTGATCGGTACCGAGTCGGAGTCTCTCCAGCTTCCTGAATCCTGGCATCTCAACCTGTACGTTTTCAATGTTTGCGTAATTGTCTGCTCTTGTTGATTCTTGAAGTTGAAGCTTAAGGACGGCCGCCGCGACGATCTGTTCTCTCTTTCGCATACTATGTATGTGAGTTCTGTCCTCAGCGTATCCCCCTTCGTTCGTTTGAAGTGATGGCCTGCTCGTACTACTTCGCAGGTGAATAACATATCTGGGCGAGTATCGGGAAGATCCGAGCCCATTTAAGCACCTTCCAAGCTACTGTAGCCCTCACAGCTGACCGTAACCCTGCGGTATCCGGGCTATTTCAGGAAATTGACCTCAAAAGCAATCGGCGCTAGGCTCGATGCTACATGGTGCCTTTAGAGAGACAAAGGGTTTAGAGATCGGTACGACGGAGGTGAATGTCCCCCGACGTCCGCCAAGGGTGCGCAATATGCAGATTCCCTGCTGGAGTCTAAACTGGCGGCTGATGGCGGTTCCCCGCTTGGTGCCACGGCATCCCGACGCCTTGTCAGAAGAGGCAGTCAAAATGCATCGCTCTCACATATATCGTTCGTCGACGCGATTCAGGCATACCTTGGGCGCGGAAAAGTACAGAGCGTTGTTCAAGGTGAGCATGACGGCTACAGCGCCCGTTTAAGCGCCCGCTTAGCCTCTTTTTCGACCTCACTGTGGTCGCAAGTCTCTTCAATGTTTCGGTTATGCTCGGTTATCGAGAAAAGCGGTTGCCGCCGGGGCGATCGACTTGGGGCCACCTGCTCCATTGTCGTGAAATTGAAACCTGTATTTCCAGTCACAAGAGACCTTCAGGGGACCAAGACAACTGCTAGGAATGCTTATGTCCGTGCCTGGCTTCATCATGCGCCAACCATTTCAATTCCCCCAGGACCCTTTTGTGGCGCTTCCCCACATCCTGGTCACCGTATTTAACTTCCCCACATCTGTGCTAAATTAATCCGTGCTCCCCGCATTGCTTTTCCTTTACCCCACCACACCTCGGATTCGCCATGTCTGTCTCGGAAAAAGGCTCGGACAACGTCGTTGAGCACTACGACAAGGGGGAGCATGTCGATCCTGAAACCCACGTCGACCCAGCGTTTGCGAAGAGGACAATCCGACGCGTCGATGTTAACCTCCTGCCCATCCTAGCCATCCTTTACTCCATCTCGCTCATCGATCGTGTCAATATCTCGTGAGTTACGCGTCGTCCTGATTACATTTCCTGCTTCTGACACAGCGTGCTCAATAGGAACGCGTATGTCGCGGGTATGGCTCAAGATCTCCAGCTGCAGATCGGGGCGCGTTATTCTATTGCCACTTTGATCTTCTTCGTCCCGTACGCTTGCATACCTGCTCTGTATCAAGCTCGTTGCTGACATTTCACGTTCAGCTACATCCTCTTCGAACTTCCGTCGAACATTCTTGTTCGCAAGGCCGGCGCCGCTCGCTGGATTGGTAGCATTACCACCTTGTGGGGGATAGTCATGGTTGGCATGGGTGCGTCTCCCACTGAATTGCTTGCTAAGTCGTTTACTGATCTCAGTGGTATAGCATTCGTCACTACATGGTGGGAGCTCGTTATCTGCCGCGCCCTGCTCGGTGTCCTCGAAGCCGGGTTCTTCCCTGCCTGTACATATATCATCAGTACTTGGTATGTCCGAGGAGAGATCCAAAAGCGCATGACAGGTTTCTACGTCCTGTCCATTATGGTCGCCGGCTTCTCTTCCGCGATGGCTGGAGGTATATCTGAGATGGCTGGTATTGCAGATCTTGGTGGATGGCAATGGATTTTCGTGAGTACTGTAATTCTCACCCTCGTCTACAGAGCACTCATACACTGTCCTCAAGCTTCTCCTTGGTCTAATCACAGTCGTTGCTGGTGCAAGTGCCTTCTATTTCGTTCAGGACTTCCCCGACAAGAACAAGTTCTTGGACCAGGAGCAAACCAAATTCATTCTTGCCCGTATCAACAAGGATCGTTCCGATGCCGAATTCGATCACTGGACGAAGGCCAAGTTCTGGTCCTATCTCATCGATATTCACTTGTGGTCTTACGCCCTCATGTTCGGAGCCGTTTGCACTACTACCTACGTGAGTCTTTCTATGATACTTCCTTCACGACGTTCTCTCATAGTAGAATATCATAAAGGCCTTCGCCTACTTCCTGCCTATCATTCTCGTCCAAGGGATGGGATACACCACTCTCAACGCACAATTGTTGACTGCTCCGCCATACGTCTTCGCTGCCCTCTATTCATTCACGTTGGCTTGGTTGAGCGACAAGTACCTGCTCCGCGGCCCGTTCCTGATCTTCCAGGCGATCTTTGCCATCATTGGCCTGACCTTGGTACGTGTTCCGTCATGTTCTTTCCTCGAGAGATCTGACTTAAATTATGGCAGACTGCTTTCCATACCGTCAATGGCGTGCGGTACCTTGGTGTCTTCTTTGGCATCGCTGGGGGCTCTGCTAACGTCCCGGCTATCCTTGGTATGTCGCTAACACTATGTATTGACGTATTGGTTGTTTACTTGGTAACGATTACTCAGGCTACATGCAAAACAACGTCACTGGACACACGAAGCGTGCTTTTGCTTCTGCTATTACCATCGGTGGTGGCGGCATCGGTGGAATCATCGCATCGACGGTCTTCCGCTCAAAAGATGCTCCTGGATATAGACCTGGACGTACGTGATCTTCCTCGCAACCTTTTTATGTCACGACTCATTGTATTTATGAAATCAGTCTGGGTCACCATCGGCTCGCAGCTCATCATAATCGGCACAACTTGTGCACTCATGGTGTACTACAAGTTCAAGAACGCGGCTGTGCGTGAAGGTCGCTCTCCCCCTATCGACGGTCGCCCCGGGTTCCTCCACACATTCTAAACGCGTGCACGTCGATTTTTCGTTCCTGTTTACGCCCATATTTTTGTTGTGGCGTTCGTAACGCGCAGTACTAGAGGTGAATTACTGTCAACTGGCTACATGGTGGTATGTAGATGCACACGATTTTTCCATTACTTACGATTGCCATTTACTCAATGACTACCCTATTATTTACTCAATGTACGATACTTGGATATATGTAACCACAATGTCATGTCACGAAAATACCTTGGAATGATAACTCAACTTATCATCACTTTCTCAGTTAATTGTCAGTAATATTCTTCCTGGCAAAGCTGCTTTTCTAAGACATATTCATGCGTGTGCTTCGAGGAAAAACAGATGTCGCATCCTTCACTAGCGACGGAATTCCACAACACGCGTTAAACACAAGAAATGCATGATGGCAAGCGGATCCTAGGTTTGCGATGTCTTACGAAACCGCCGTACCAACGCTCTTCTCACTCACCACACCTTTTTTTAGCGTTGACACGTTCAGCGCGGTATATTGGCAAATTTCCGTGCGCCCACTGTCAAGTGTTGTGGTGAAAGATCGGCGAGAACCCGAACTTCGTCCTTGCTTCGTCCTCATGCATCAAAAGCATCATATGGAGCACGCATTACATAATTTATGTACGCGTTATTTACTGTTATTTATGACAAGTTCATTCACCTAAGTTCGAACTTGGCTTTGGTTGAAGTTCATTCGAACCACCATCGTCGATTCGCAATGGCCTCGTACTCCGCATTCTTCTCGTCGGGCCTGCTCGCGCCGTATCAGGCCTACACGTCGGCGACCGCCTCATCGTTCGACATGTCCCCAATCCGACCTGCGAGCCCCCTACCAGGAGCCGATATCGAGCGCAGTAGCACACCGACCCCATCGAGCCATCGCAACAGCTCTGAACTTCCGCTCATAGATGAGGACGCTGCCATGCCCAGAACCACCCATTCTCCCCAGTCGTCGGGTGCGCCGCGCCTACGCAGGCGGCGGTCCAGCCTAACCGTCGGCTTGTCGCCCATGAACACCATCAAGTCGCCCCAGCGCAATGCCGGCGCGGCCATGCGATTTGCACACCACTCTATCTCCATCTCCTCGCCTTCGAGGAGTCGCAGCGGTAGTATCGGTGCTGGGAATGGGAGTAGCATGGGAGGGATCGCGGCGGATTTGTTTGGCGTTGCGAGCCAAGGCACGAGTCTTGTTGGGAGGATGAGGAGTGGAAGTGTTGGTGGAGCCTTACGGTAAGCTATTCTCTCCTGTCAGACTAGCTTTCCTGATGCTGATGAACTGTACTTAGACCACGTCGAGCGCTTCGCCGGGGTTTATCCAGCTTTGTGCCAGCAGCAGCCCCACCGCCGAGTGCACCTTTACCGCCATTACCGTTGCTGCCTTTCAACGCGAACTTCAACTCACGCCCACAGCAAGCGACTCCTTCATCTTGTCTCCTCGATGCCCCTGTTATCCGTTCCAGAGATCGCGCATACTCTATTGATGCCAATACTATCGACGAAGAAATGAAAGAAAACTAGCGGCCCTCTCGGCTCCTAGAGAGTCACAATGAAGATGATAATCGCAGTTCCTGGTGAACACGGTTATACATGTACTACATATTTATTATATGTGCTCTCGTATGCTCTCCATCTCTGTATCGCCTTGCTGGGCGTTCTATTTGCTTCAGTTCCATTGCATTCCTCTCACACGTGTATAAATAAAGTCAACCAGTTATATATATGTATGTCTCCTCATGTATTTAATGCCGTCACGTTCATATGCCTATGGAATTAACTGTGTTCGTATTTGAGATCTTGCAGACGGAGAAGTCAAACTTCGGGCTTCGGTGACGCGAATTGGGTGAAACGAAGGCTTAAATTTTACTTTCCGATCAATTTCAATCTTCGGATGGATCTAGCTTCGAATTCGGCAGAAGAGGGCAAAAGAGTCGTTCTGACCTCGCAGCCTTTGATACGAACGGAGAGGTCGTGGGTACGGCAAGGATTGTTGCTATTGTTTCTCGTCGGTTGATTGTTTCTTTCTGGTGTTTTAGGCTCACACACGTTTGCACCGCCTGTCTACGGAGATAAGATCGCGAGGTGTGTTTCTGCCCTGAAATTCCGCCCGTTGCCAAAGTGATCGACAGCATTGAAGCGGCGGACAACATACAAAGCGCACAATAGCTTGCCGATTGACTGACCGACATGATGAACTGTTGACAGATCACTTGGGATGTGGGGCAGAGAGGGGCGGACCTCAATGGAATGAAGACCTAGGGACCAGGGGGATGTGGACTTGGATCATACTCGAAGGACTGTCGTTCCTCGTGCATCGCGAAGGGCAGAGTCGGTCTGAAATCTACGTGCAGTGCACGCTGCGTGCTACTACGTGTACACCCAAGGGGTTTCAGCGCTGAGCATAGACCACTGCCAGCCAGACGAAGCTATTTACAAAGCACACCACCAGCACCGACGTCCATCGGACGGTTTAGCCTATTTTACTAGCGCAATCTTGCTTCTTGGGCGCGATGTTGGCGATGCCGGTAAAAGTTCGGATACAGGTTGCCTGTACGTTTACCGCTGCTCACTTGTCCGAGTCCACAGGAGACCGGCGCCAAGAAGGGTCGTAATCACAACAAACGCGGAAAATTCACCGCACATGAGGCCGCCGTGCCACATGTCACAGCAAATTGGCGGTAACCGAGAAACAAATTTGTCTTACGTAAAGTTGCTATGACAGTCCATTCACCAGACATTCAAATAGTTCAGCTCTGCTGGTCTTCCATTCCTGACTCTGATCCAGCATCACTCCCGCCACTCGCCTTCACTGTTTCTTTTGTAATTTCATAGTCGTTGACGACAATGACCACCGCCTACTCAGCATTTTTCGCCTCAGGCCTCCTCGCCCCCTCCTGCCACACCACCGGCAGTGAATTCTCAGACGCAGTGAAATCGAACCAGATATGCATTGACGAGACACGCCTTATGTCGACCGCGCCTGGCACAGGCTCCTTCACATCCTATACTCGGCTCGACATGGTCACACATCCAATGTCCTCTTCATCAAGCTCGGGTAGCGAGGGATCCTCCGCTCCCTCGCCATCGACTCGCCACAGACGTCGCCGTTCCAGCCTTAGCGCTGCGATGTCCTTGTCGTTCTCAGGAGTGAAGCCATCTGCTCGTGATGCTACATCAGCAGCTGTCCGTTGTTTCGCTACAGCGTTTGCGGCCAGTTCATCGTCTTCTCGTCGTACGAACGGCGGCAGCATTAGCTCGATTAAATGCGAGTCTGAACACGGTGTTCGTATTCCTGATGCATCGATGCCAGGCGATCTACCCAAGCACAACAAGATGCCCCGTAGAAGCACAGTCAGTGCAGCTCACTCGCCCGTGAGGTATGTTTCCAACATTTGATATCATGTTAGTATCCAGTGAGTAACATTTCCAACAGAATCAAGCGAAGTGATCGTCGTGGACCGTCTCCTGCCCCACCGCCATCATCGCCGCTTCCACCGCTCCCTTCTCTGCCTGGTGTGGCTCAGTGAACACTGACCTACGCAGTCACCTATGCTCTTAGCGGCCCCATAAAATTGACATCATACTATGCCCACTCAATTGCCTCCCCTGCATTGACTGCAGCATCGCCATACCATATACCGCCTTTTAATCTTGCACCATCATATCACAAGATATCATTACCGCCCTCATGCCATGATCTCGTCACCAACAAGAATTGTCGCCATGTTTCTATAGTACCATGTATCACGAACGCGATGAACTTCCCATTTGTATCTAGCCTAGTCCGATCTTGCAATCCCGTACATACTTAGATTCCTCGTATATATTTCGACGCGTACATATAATTTCTTATAATCATAGACGTATGGTATCCTTCCCCCATTAATTCCCGTTCCTCCGTATAACCGACAACCCCATGCCCTCATACATAGCTACCTTGTGCATGTAGTATCTTTCATAGGCCCAATGCTAAACTTGAAGATCAGCCCCTAAACGATCATGACTTACGAGTTCGTGTCCTTGTGGCGGCTTCTAGCAGCAACATGATCCCAGTGAGGCACAAAGCAAAACAAGGTAAAGGGCGGACTTTCATTCGCCTTGTTCTGTCGTTGCTGGTTTACGGGCCTACTATCGTGATTAATTGATTGCTAACCAAATGAGATAGGAACGCAGGAGATTTCGTGGTCGCGATTTCGAAGATTCGTCGTAGCGAAGTTGGAAGAACCTGTACTCCAATTATGATCACAAGGACTCTGGACCAAATCAGGTAGGCTTGCGCAGTACGACAAGGAGCGTCGTCTAGGAGAAGAATCGGCAAATCCGCCGTGACTACTGGTGTCCATGGCATCTTTTGTGAAGCGAAAGCAGTCACGAGCAACATAGGACATTTGGTCTAACAGCACCCGAGTGAAGGTTGAAACCACTACGGAGGTTGATGGAAAGGGTATCTGGAGGTGGTGGAACGAGTAGGCGCGACGACTTGGGGGCAGGATGTGGGGGCTATTCGACGACAGAGGAATCTGAATACCTGGATCACGAACGGCGCAGAGAACGGCCAAAGGAAAAAGGGGGACTCAGAGCGAGGTGTGAGTTTTATTACATTGCCTGTTGCTCAATGATCACCCGGGCTTGCATGATGTTGCGCAGGCCTTGGCTACTGATGGACGGTAACTACAAGTTTATATAGCTACGACAGCCTGCAAGCGGCTCGACTGCTCCCGCCGCGCTGTAGCTCAGAGAAAGGTATCAACATTTGTACATGCTACGCGTGGATCCCTGCCGTACCTTGCCGCAAATACTCGACGTATGCGGACCAAACATTTCCTCCTGAACTCGCGAGGCTTGAAGAGCGGCACAAGATCCCGCGAAGCTAGAGCAGTAGTTATAGGCCGATCACTTGTCGGGATCGTGAGTGAGAGGCCTGAGCTCCAGAACATAATCATCTAGTGTGGCTTGTGTGTACGACTCCCCTGCTTCTCGGTCCCTAGCATATGCCTGCTGGTGGCGCAAAGAGACCCTAGTGTCCGAGGCCACTTTTTGGTATAACGTAGCCAGGGTGGTTCAACCACCATAACCCATGGACTTCGGCAAATCGCAGGGAACGCTAGAACACTCTTCTCTTTCCCGAGGCGTGGGTGCGAGGACTAATCATTTTCAAGAATGTGCAACTTATCCACATCCCGTATGTACGATACACCGGCGAAATTCAATCACCTAGGTGCGTGCTATTTGTTACGGTGTGCTATTAATATTGAGCACTTGATATCGGGCTACAGTGATTGCCGCCGATACAAGTACGGCAGTAGAACTTCGTTGATGCTTCTTCGAAGCACGCTCAAGCCCAAGGACTCAAGCCCATGTCTCTGCAGACGCCCACGCTAGTAAGTGAATGCGACAGCCGTTTCTGCTCCAGGAATAGCCAAAAGAAACGATGTCAGCTATTTCCTTGATCTTCCTGGCGCCTAGTGCTGGTGTTTGTGGCTTACCTCTGAAAACAGATATTCTTCTACACTTGTGCTCTCAGACCGTGTAAAGAAGGAAGAACCTGTCACTATATGTGGGAACAAACGCTCTAGTCATTCGATGGGGGCGTCGAGCTAAGCGCTAATACAGCGGCGCAACCACCTTCCCTTCGTTCCCTCACAATATGAATGTTGCTAGAGTACGACATACTGCCTGACTGAGTGTCAAGTTTCCGGACATAGGCATTCCAGGAAATTTGTTCTCAGTGTGTCGAAGCATATATAAGCTGTCAATATTCTCCGTGAACTCTCAGCTTACGGTCACCGTCTTAGCTTCACGGTAAGCATCCGCACCTACCCCTCGAATCATCAGAGCTGACCGCTTTATTCAGACTACCTAGCCTGATCATTCAAATCGTTCGTGTTGTTGTCTTTGGACGCGAGATTATCTGCAAATTCTGATTGTTTTGTGCTCCGTGTAGATCCTGGTAAAATGCGTCCATCTTTCATCTTCCTCGCATTGGCTGCTACCTTGGTGGTCGCTCGACCTGTCGAAGACACATCCAAGGATCTGTCCCTTCGGGGGATCGACACCGTCGATAGCATCGATATCGCCGATGACTTTAATGACCTATTTTCTCGGGACATCGACGGCACTGACGATATCGATGCTGAAGACCGGCGCAGGTTGAGGCACGCTGTCAGAAGGCTCATCCACGCATTGAAGCACCTGTTGCATGGTCACAGGGGCCACCATGGACATGGACATGGCGGCCCAGCTGAGCCCAGTGCTCCTGCTACACCCCCCGATGCTCCAGCGCCAGATGCGCCAGCCGCTCCTGACGCTCCTGCCGCACCCGCTGACCCCGCTGCCCCAGCTGATCCTGCCGCTCCTGATCCTGCCGCTGGGGCTACCGACCCAGCCGCCGCTCCGGCTTCCTAGGAGGTCAAACCACGAACGTTGGGCTTGAGGGTGCGGGATTTTTGGGATGTGAAATCAAGACGTAACACTTTGTCCTCATGTACCGTCTCTCCGATCCTCAATGAATTGCTTTTGCCCGCCTCTGATGCTTCAGTGTATTGTGCACACACGAATGATCTTTGAATCTGGTGGCATGGAGGGATGAGCGTCACTGTGTAGATGCCTGAACACATTGACACTCCTACATTCTTGAATGGTCAGGTTCCTTGTCCTCCTTGGTTCACGTAAATTATCAGTATCAGAGGTTCAGACCCGCCGTAAGAGCACCTACTAATATATGAATTATTGAAATGCACTCCATCTACGACAAATGTCCGTTATTATATCAGTCTTACGTGCTCCAAGAGTTTACTGAATAAATTTCTACTTTCAGTGTTGTATGTTCTCATAAAGATGTCTCATTATGGGAGGGCGGCCGCCTCCATTTCCATATTTGGGCAAGGATGGCGCGCCGACACGCACGTGCCGGGTGCGGCCATTACCGAGGTCACGTTTTCCTCTTCCTCCATTGAGCGGCGGTCGGTCGCTTGAATCCGCGCAACGAATTCCCCTCTATGCAGAATGGCGCGAGGGATACGACACTCCCCAGCAGAAAACACTACACTGCCCAAGGTCCAGTTCGAGAAAGTCGATGATTTGGATTCTACGCGACCGGGCGGGGTCCACGACCAACAAGCACGGTCTTACGGTTGTCAGTGCTTTCTGCACCAGATGCTCGGCGGGACGCTCATTTCAATCTAGATAACGATTTTTCGGAGTTCTCGAGGCCAGAGTACTACATTCGATACATTGGTAAGCCCCCCTTGTGGATACCGCAGGCACGGGAGTTTGAACCATCCAGATATCTAGAGCCGTTGGAGAGTGAACTAGCTACTCAGGTCGAATATGATATGGATGAACAAGGTGCGTAGTTGTGTTCCCCCCTTCGATCCATCCACAACGGTTTGTAGATCAGGAGTGGCTGGACCATGTCAACCAAGAGCGCAAGAAAGAACAGCTCGACAAAGCTACGTACGAGCTCTTCGAGATTGTCATGGATCGCCTGGAAAAGGAATGGTTCGACTTGGTATGGATCCCCTCGGTGCAGCAGTGATCGGCTTCTCACTTTCACAACTAGACCAAGAACATCCCGAAACCCGACCTAGCAATGCCCTCGGAAGACTCTACCTGTGCAATATGTGATGATTCAGAAGGGGAGAATAGCAACGCGATAGTTTTTTGTGATGGGTGTAACTTGGCTGTACATCAAGGTGAATCACTTCGGCGTTGTTGGTATATTTATGTATTCAAAGCTAGCAGATTGCTACGGCGTACCGTATATCCCGGAGGGGCAGTGGTTATGCAGGAAGTGCACTGTCTCGCCTGAGAATCCAGTGGTGCGTTCCGACAACAGTTTCCATATGTGTATCTGAATGCTCATCACCCCGGCTCTAGTCGTGTATATTATGCCCAAACGAAGGGGGCGCGTTCAAACAAACTGTCCACGGCGAATGGGTGCACCTGCTTTGTGCGATATGGGTGCCCGAAACGCGTGTTGCCAACGATGTCTTCATGGAGCCGATAACTGGGATCGAGCGGATATCGAAGCAACGATGGAGATTGGTGCGTTTCCCGTACACACAGCGTTTATCGTGCTAAACGTTGATAGCGATGTTCCATTTGTGATATCAAACAAGGAGCGTGCATCCAATGCGCAAAAACGTCGTGCTTTCTTGCCTTCCATGCAACGTGTGCCCGCAAAGAGAAGCTCCTGCTTCCGATGAAGAGCCAGCCAGGTGCTGAGCCGATATCACTGACAAGTTACTGCGAACGTCATCTTCCAGTAGGTGGCGCGTACACTGTCCTGATTTAACAGGACTAACGTATTGACCAGAAAGAACAACAAGACGCCAGAATCGCCGCCCTGGCCGCTGAAGAATCCAATGAATCAGACGACGACCTGATTAACAAAGACAAGCATACCAAATCCGCCCGCGCCTACGCTAAGACGTTCAAAACAGGACCACCACTCGTCCCCTCTATCATCGTGGAGCGTATCTTGCAATATGTCGCGAAGATCCATCTGAGGAAGAAGCCGGAGTTCGTGTACATGATGTGCAGATATTGGAGTTTGAAACGAGAGGCGAGGAGGGGTGCTCCGCTGCTGAAGAGGTTGCATCTCGAGCCGTGGACGGCCAACGCTGGATTGAAACCACAAAGCGACGAGGAGAAGTTAATGAAATTGCAGGTGCGCTGCTTTCATTTGAAGCCCCTTTCACGACGGTGAACGTCCATTTGCTTAGTTGCTCCAACGACTGCGCGACGACTTGGAGAACGTCAGGGCGTTAGCTGAGCTGACGCGGAAGCGCGAGGCGAGGAAACGCAAACAGGTCGAACTTATACATAACGTCATCTCCCAATTCTTGCTATCACACGAACCTACGCTGCGTATGGCTTTTGAGAGGATAATGAGGTGAGTCGATGTGCCCCTACATCTGCTGCGACCGTGTTGACTTGCCTTCTTCCGTAGCTCGGATCGCAATAACTACTTCAAGAATCCAGTCTCCAAGAATGATGTCCCCGATTACTTTGATGTTGTGAAGGAGCCTATGTGCTGGAGCATGATTGACGCCAAACTGGATCGGCACGAATACTTGGACGTCCAAAGATTCAAGGCACGTTTTGTTGCGGCCACGTATTCATGCCCAACATTAACTTGTGTTACAGGACGATATCGATCTTGTCTTGTCCAACGCCATATTGTACAATAAGCCCGGAACAGCATTTTACAAGACTGCCACCCGAATACGAGCGTCCGCACGTCCGATACTCGACGAGCTTGACAAACTTTGCGTCTCACATACCGAACTAGCTACTGGCGCACCAGATCTTTCAGCCATGACTGTTGACGAGTCTTCATCACCCTTGCCCCCGCTTCCATTGGGTGATCTTGAACCTCCCCTGACCGTTTTAGAAATGCTTGTAACCGACAGCGGCGGACTTCAAGAAGGTTTACCTTTTCTATTGGAAGAGCCCGCGATCACGTCTTTGTTCAGATACGAGTTTGGAAAGGATAAACCTCCCCCACCACCTCCTCCCCCGAAACCCAAGAAGACGAAAGTCAAACCTCCCAAAAAAGACCGCGCCGAGGAGTACGAGAAGCGTAGGCTCATACGACAACAACAGAAGGAGGCCGCCGCGGTGTCGTCGCCACAGGATGCGCTTCTTGACCAAAGCCCGGGGTTCAGAATCCCAAGGACCAGGAAACAGGCTGCCAACGCTGCTGCGTTTGAGGCCGAAGCAACTGCTGAGGTATCTGTTGAAACAGAAGGTACCGAACTCCAAGCTAATCTATATGAAACCCCTGGTCCGTCGTCAAAGAAGAGGGCACCACGAGCACAGGTGGGACAGCTTGGCCAGCCTCAGTGGGTCGAGGATGTGGACAGTCGAAGTTCTTTTGCGTTATTCGAAAATGGATGGATCCTTCCTGAAGGCTCTCGACGTGGCGGGAGGGACAGACCCGCCGCCGCTCCTGTTGTGGCGCCCACACCTCCGACTAAGCGAAATCGTGCAGGTAGGTCGACAGTCTTCCACACATCGCAGGCATCCCTGAGTCTGAACCCAGGCCATGAAGTTTCTAGACTATCGGTATATAGCACATCAGCACACGAAAACCAGACACTCCTGGACAATGCCTCCGAATCGCAAGGATCCCGCCGGGTATCCGAGATTGTCAGCACGATCTCAGAATCCCCCACCGCTCAACCGAGTTCAATGGATTATGATGTCAGCTTAGCGTTGAAGGATCGGATCATGTTGCCAAGTACGATCGTCAGGGAACCCGATGGGACTGTTGTCATTGAAGAGTTGGACACCCCCGCTACGCGAAGCGAGAAGAACAAAAGACTCAGAGCGGAGAGAATGCGACTCGCCGGTCCTGGCGTTCCTCCACCTACACCCTTCCACGCCCCGCCACCTGATATTAGCCTCCTCGCTGGGGCTATCTCTCGAGCGAATCAACGTTCTCAGGCAGCCGAAAAGCCCGAATCAGACGATGAGTCTTCGTCTCTGAGCGAACTTAGCAGCGATGGCGATGGGCGAGATCAGCTATTGGACATTCCTCCTATGCGCGTCGTACCTAATCTTCCTCCTTTACCCCCTCCGGTCCAGGTTTCCCCGGCTGATTTCACCGAAGGACTCCGTCCCGGAACTATCGGTAAGTCGGCCAGGCTGTATAACTTCAAATCGTTTCTGACGTACGAATTCGCAGTGTGGGCCAAAATTCGTGAGACATCGGCGTTAATTCTGGTTACACCACTAAACTAGTCTCTAGCATCATATCCTTGGTGGCCCGCTACAATTCGAGATAAATCAGATGTCGATGTTCCAAAGCAACTACTCAAAGACTCGGGTGCAAAGCGGAAAGATGAATTCTACATCGTCCAGTTCTTCGATCCACAGTATAGTTGGTGAGCCCGAGGTTGTAAATTATGCCAGCGTCACGCTTAACGACCATTCGTAGGCAATCCGTCGTACCTGAGAACGTCAAGTTATTCAATGTCGATAAGAGTATGTGTTATATATCTTCTCATCTTTTGGTCCATCATACTAATAATATGTAGGTCTTGATGAGAAGTACCTGCACTTCAAAGGCAAACTGTCTGCCAAACTTCGGGCGGCATTCCGGTATGTTCTACTGGGGAAGTATGTTCGTAAGGTGTACTAACTCCTCAATAGCGAGGCCTCTAACGTTATAGAATATGCCGATGCAGGTTCCGACGATGTTTTAGAAGGTGACGATGTGGTGGCTCCTGTTGAAAGTTGATGCTACGTTCAAGTGATTACTTCTCTGTCATATGGTGTTACTCCGGATTATGGTTTACTTGTATTGTAGATTCTATGCTTGTAATAAACTATGCCAAGATGGAAGTAGAGGATGTTACGCTGGGAAATGAATGTTAATCATGAATTGTCCCCCTCATTTGCATTGGAGATGGCCAATTAAAACGACCCCAAAGAGTTTGCACCCAGCGAGGACGACGCCTTACCCTTGAATCGGCCGAACGACATTCTTACCGCGTAAGTAGCACTCATCATCCCTATGTGCTCTAAATATTGAATCCCAACAGGGTTAACTATCTCGGATCCATTCAGGTCTGGCACAGAAGCAGTACGTCTCCAGCAGTAGTCAATGTACCCCCTCTCTCGAAAGACACAGTACTCGAACTCTGTAACGGACATGGCGATGACCGAAGAGTCCAAGTGATCTCGGCAATGTGCCTCAAACATCTGACATCGATATCCAGTCGTAAATGGCATATATTTCTCTACTTGTGCGTTTATACATCGGTACTCGGAACATCTTCCTAGGTATGATTGGTATGCGTGGCCAGCACGCGGGTATCGCCTTTGAGAGAGAACACACCCGTTCCATAGTCTATTGCGGCGGGGTGGACGTCAGATTGGGACGTGCGATCAACGCCTCTGCAAAGGCCGCAAAGTCGCTCTTCGAAGAGCGACCGGGCTGGCGGGGAGGGCGTTGAGCATCGCAACAGAATAAACAGATCGAATGACACTATACCTTTAAAGCGTACACGACAATTTCTCTAGGCCACTGCTCGGCGGGGATTTCGGGCGACTCGACCGTCTCTGCTAGAACAATCCGGAGGACGTGCTCCTCGGCATCGAATGTGCACCGCACGCTGGTGTTCACGCGGACATTCATGGACACTTTCCACAAGGGCTCGCGACGGAAAACTACGCACAGCACGTCAGTTCGGGTGCCATTCCAGTCGGAAACATGCATGCACAACTCACGCAAGCGTTCGCTATTAGTCGATTTATTCGAGAGTAGCTTGATGCTGCCGATCATTCCGTTCGAGAAGTTCTTCTTCCCTCGTTTTACGAAGAGCTTGATGTTCTTCAGCTCGAGCTGGGCCTCTTCGTCCTCTTCGCCAGTAATATCTATGTGATGTGGTAAGGGTCAACGAAGAATTCCTGGCTGCTGGCAGTCGATCCTCACGAGTCTGGGGCGAGTCGGACCGCACTTCTGCAGGAGCAATTGCGACCTCTTCAACACCCAAGGCGTTCGACGAAGGCTCGTTGGGAGCGTCGAAAATCGACTTTGAACCAGATGGAATGCACCATGCGGGTTTAATTCCCCTTTCCGGAGAGGGGGAGCTGAAGCTCTGAGAACTGAACGGTGAACTGCTGCCTGCGAAGGCAGCAAAGCCGCCGTTAGAAAAAGTGCCACCGAAAGTCTGGATATATCCTTCAGTGTATGGTCATTTGGCTGTTTGTTTCAAATACGTACGGCAGAGCGTTTCGGTGGAGGTGGGGTAGCGGGTGGTGTGGGTGAGGCTAGGTCCAAGGGCGACTTCTGATAAGCCGAGGGTTCATGTTGGTCAGTGCGGAATATGTGAAGTACGATCGGTGAAGCTGACCTTCGGGGAAAGGGGCAGAACGAGGGGTACGTCAGGGGGCGTGCTTGGTCCTTCTGACCCTTCGTCTGATAATTCAGACTGAGGCGACGCGGTCAGACTCGGTAACTCATCGACTGGAGGCAGCTTCAAGGCGTGTAAGATAGCGTTCTCATAAAGACATCCAGGAAGACCAACAGCTTCAACCTTGGGTCCCTCTTCGACATCGGTCCGAGCTGGCGTCTCCGGGGCTGCGGCTGCGGAGATGATGGTCTATGTTCGAGGGTTAGCCTCGGAATGATCGCAATCCTGCAACATTGCAACAGCGAGGCATCCAAACACTTACGTCACTGTCATCGATGTCAGACGGCGGAGTCCTGCTCCGCTTTGCTGGGGGGTAAATGGACAGCAGATTCTGCAAGTTGCTATCAGGATGCAGCAAGGTGTAAGTGAGCATACGAAACTCACCAAAGGGTACCCTGCATTCTAATATACCGAACACTGTCTTCAGCAACTATTTGTAGATGTCGCGAGGAAAACATACTGAATAGTCATCGTCGTCGTCGTCGTTTGGTCGTTTTCGCTTCAAGGACGAACGCCTGGATAACGCGGTTGATGGGACAATGGCCTCTGGTTCATGGAGCAGCGTTTCGTTCTGATCGATAACTTTCTCGTTCGATGGTGAGGCAATCTGGGTTTTATCGTCCGGGCGATCACCCAACTGCTCCGGTAGAGCCCCCAGCGTCGGTGAAGTTCTGAGAAGTTGTCAAACTTGAGGTTAATGGAGTCCCCCGTAGCGCTACTAACGAATTGTGTGCGTAGCGGCGCGAACAAGCGTATCCCATTGTCGCTGCGACTGTCGCGAATCCGCAAACCACAAAATTGATGTCGTTCACCGGGAACATACTAGTGTAACTGAAGCATTCTTAGCCAAGGAAATGAAGTAAGAAGTAAACGATTTGCTTACTACGAGTTATGCGAGTTGAGGAGTCCAATACCTCAGACGATAGGCGAAATTTTCACGGACGGGGGAAAATATGGGGTAGTCGATTTGAATAGCCAACGTTTAAGTAATTTTGGGGGACATGCCTGCACACACCATCATGTTAGACTGCCTCGCCTTCACCACGCGCCCTATTCTGACAAGGACCTCGGAGCAACACGTGGAGAAGGTTCCGAAATCGTCTATCGTTGACATTAGGTTTGAGGGTTGTGATTTGTTACCAGAAATTCTAGGAAGTTCTCCACCCCCGCAAAGGCGCTTCGCGTGCACTCATGCATGATCAGGCCTGGTCCCTCGTTGCAGAAGAGAAGTTGGGATTGAGGGTAAGTTCAGGGGATAGGAGATAAGGAGTAGGGGATAGGAGACTAATCCCACTGGGGAAATCACATCATAACCGCGTCGCATATTGTAAGTTCACGTTTGATTATAAACGATATATATATTCCTAGCAAGAAGGGGACCGGTGGGCGTTGAGCCTGATATTATACAAGTAGATGATAAATATGCATCGAAAGCTATCAATGGTTTGATGAGGTCTCTCGAAAGGAAGCTATCATTGCATACGGCGGCGCTTGTCTCTGAAGATGTACTCTTCACGTATTACGCCTGGCGGAAACACATCGAGGTCCCCGGCTATGATTGTGCGGGGGATATCTGGGAAACGAGAGTGTGCTGGGAGAGGGGAGGATTGGCTGTCATAAGAATTTGCTTCGATGCTGTCCCTCCGCTTTCCTACAATCGAGTGAATCAGCAGGGATGCCTGAGAAAGCCGGAGTCTACTCACTTTTGTCTACGATAATACTGTCTGAACCTTGAGATACTGAAAAGTGCGAGCGATGTCCTGCTCGCTGGAAGTGCTGGCCATCCAGAGAAATGTTGGTAGATGCCCTTTGCTCCGGGGGGTCCTTCTTCTCAAGAACGATACGTCCTTTTTCAGTATTCAGAAAGATGTCAGAAGCCTCAGAAAATTTGACGGCATATCTAAGGAGAATACGCTGCATTGCCTCATGGAGGTGGAACTCATCTGGAGGAGGCTCCGCGAGATGGCTATATTCTGGCCTGACTTGCATCACGAGCTCCTTCATCATCGGAACCAGGCCGCCCAGTTTTTCATGTAGATTTGTCTCCCAGTGTTTTGGGGACAAGAGCATCGTTCGAAAGTCTATAGGCAAGCCGGCAGGGGAGGACATGATTTCGTGTGATGCGATGCATTTCCAGGATGATATCAAGGACTTCGTGTTCTTGTCCTTTTCCGGAAGCTGACCAAGAGGTAGAGCACGAAGGAGAAATACCACAATCACCCAAAAGACCGACTCGGCATCATGTCGAGGGAGGTGCCGAAATATCTGGATTTGTTCGTCAGACCTCCCTTGAGTAGGTTTGTTGTCGTCCGATTCAGATTTGAGAGAGGCAATTGCAAGATGGTCAGACTCGTCGTGGTCACTTTCGTCCTCGCTAAGTTTGTCCTCGCTAGGTTGGTTCGTAATAGCTTGGTTCATGGTGGATTGGTCCATAGGAGGTCGGTCCACAGCAGATTGGCCCGCGGTAAATTGGCCGGTGGTGGGTTCGCCTTCGTCTGGGTTGTTAATTGTATCGTTATCTGCTCTCTTTCTTCCGCTCCGACCGCCATGGATCGTGCCATTGCAATCCTCGAATTGTCGTAGAGGGTTCTCGCCGGAAGAATGAGCATTTTGGTACCGCACAAGGATCTTTGGTGGTAACGAAGGCATGGGCTCGAACACATTCGAATCCGGTTCAAGGATATGCCCGGCGGCAACTGCGCGAGCCATGAATCGAGGGGTGCCCTTATCAATAGAAAAGGACTTTCAGCATCGTCGTAAACAAAGTATCAGTGGTCTACTCACCGTCCTATGACGAAGGTGCTCGTGGTCGGGGCTTCGTTCAAGAGACTCTTTGAATGCTTGGGTCTTCGCCTTCAACCGATCATTTTCAGCGGAGTTGTCGAAATCATATAGACGTGCCACGGGTAGGGCATATTTCTTCCTATGTTTTGTAAATCCTAAAATGAGTGGCGAGTGAAGTAGGGTACCGACTTGAGAAGAATTTCTTTGATAAAGATAGGTCGAGTGGGCTCTCTGAGCAGCTCCTTTGCTTTGTCCTTAGGGTTAATCATGATATTAGCTGGGCTTATATCCCGGTGAATGATGTTCCTTTCTTTGACAGCCCATCGATGACCTGGGGGGAACTTTTCAGTCAAACAAACGCAAAAGTGACTTGGGCACTCACATTCGAGAACGTCGTACATAGCCATGAGAAAATGCTGGATACTCGGAGTCTTGGCCAATGGGTCGCCCGACGTCCCCATGATGAGCCTAGTCTTTACTCGATACACATGGGGTTCGATATTGCTAGACGTAATGGGGCCCTCCTCATTGAAGACGTCTCCGTGTGTTATCATCCTCACGAATCCCGGAGCCGGTTTGCCGTCAGCCTGTAGGAGATCGTATAATTCCCCTTCCTTGAAGGTCCGGCCATATGCCCAGTAGGAATCCTTGATGACGGTGGGATATTTACCCGCTGTTTGGGCGACCCACGTCATTCGCTTCCACGGTTGGCCGACAAATTTGACTTGGCACGCAGGATATGTTTCGCCTTTGAACGTGACATCCCAGGTCGGTTTATCTTCTATGCGAGTGGATGAGCGAGTGATGGTCGGGTCGCAGCGCGGGCGTCCTGGAAGAGGAAAATAGAGCGTATATACATAGGACGCCAAGGGAACGAGGTGTTCCCAATCGGAGAACGGCGATGTAGTCAGACCGCCAGCATCGCTATATTGTATCTGGTACCCACTCGGCGATGTGATCAAGCCGTATATCCCAACTTTGTCTGGTCGAGCTTGATTCGCTAGTCCAAGGTATGCGGCCAGTTGCGTTATGCCATCCAAGTATTCGTGCTCGTTCTTGACTTCGACTACGGTCTCCAAATCGGACCACTCGGCGCATTTGCAAGGGGAAGTGGACGGGTAGGTCAAGAATCTAGACTTCAACATGGCAGGAATATCCGGAGAGCAGTCAAAGTATCCGTTGGGATGATGTTTGAGATATGCTGTGTGATGGTCCACGAAGACGATGGGCTCGTTATCCCCTGGGCATTTCAAATTAATGGAAGGTTGTGTGGATACGTCAGGGAAAGGATTTACCACAGAATTTCTCGCTGAGATGATTCAGGACGTTGCAAAGTGCCGAGTATTGGGGTTTTCCTACAGCGGAAACGTATGACTCGGTTAGGGCTACTAGCGTTTTATCGGCTTCCAGGAGGATCTCAAAATCCGAGCCGGGAGGCGCGTTCAAATGGTCTCGGGAGAAGTTGCTGTACGGCTTTGTGTACTCTTCTCTAACCTCGAGCGCCGACATCTCCTTGCGACTGCCTGCGGCTTTCTTGGTATCCTTGAGAGGGCTAGTGGTGAACGCAAAGTGATCAGCCATAATAGTGAGGATGAGTGAAGGACGGCAAGGACAGGGATCCTATTTATACTCACCTCAAGGTTGTGGCCACTGGTGAATAATGGGATAAACACAAACACAAATTGCCACTGCAACGAAGTGGTAGAGTACTGTTTAGGAAAGTAAATCGAACTTGCCACAGCGTTTCGCACGCCACCCATCATGTGATCACTTTAAACCCAGCGAGCGCTGAGCATCAGTGAGCATCGACTTGTAGAATGAGCGTAACACACGAATTTGACAGTGGTGAGTCCGACGGTAGCGAATCCGACGGTGATGAACCAGACGAATCGGACGACTCGGACGACACGACGAAGAATCTGACAGAAAATCTGAAGACGAATCTGACGACAACAAATCTGATTTTACTATCGACTGTGACAGCGACGAACTTGCTCACGATGAAGGAGGGCGAAACCTAAAAGGTATTCTGGGTGATCGTAGTACATATTCCTACTGCGTGCTCTGTCCCTTGGGAACGCCCGAAAAAGACAGGGACAGCAAGTTCCGAATCTCCGTCTGCGACTACCATATTGCATCACACGAAATCATGCCCAGCCCCGGCAAATTTCCATTGGACATTCGGGGGACGCTTTTGTATTCCGCAGGCTGGGTGCAAATTAAGCCCCGGATACAGCCACCCTCCAACCCCTCCGGATGACCTACACTTGCACGAGGCTATGCAGCGCATTCTCCTCAAATATTCTAATCAAATCGCTGGAGCCTCTGACACCGGGCCCCCTAGCTTCCGGTGGAGGCCTGGTCCCTCTTTGCGGAGAAGTTGTGATTGAGGGTAAGTTCAGGGGATAGGAGATAAGGAGTAGGGGAACAGGGGACTAAATCTGGGGAAACCACACTATAACCGCGTCGAATATATTTGATTATAAACGATATACGAATGTGTACAGAGTCAATTTGGCATACATATATTTTTGACAGTAAGGGGACTGGTGGGCGTTGAGCCTGATGTCATACAAGTGGATGATAAATATGCATCGAAAACTATCAATGGTTTGATGAGGTCACCATTACATGCGCCGGCGCTTGTCTCTGAAGATGTACTCTTCACGTGTTATATTTGGTCCAATACGCCCATCATTGTCCGCAACTGGGATTGCGCGGGGGATATCTGGGAGGCGGAAGCGTGAGGGGGATTGGCCGTCAGAAGAATTGGCCTCAACGCTGTCTCTCCGCTTTCCTACAGTAGTGGGGATCAGCAGGGATGTCGAAGGAAGTCGACGTTCTCCTACTTTTATCTTTGACAATACCATCTGAACCTCGAGATACCGAAATGTGCGAGCGGTGTCCAGCTCGCTGCAAATGCTGGCCGTCCAGAGAAATCTCAGTAGACGCCCTATGCGCCGGAGGTTCCTTCCGTTCAAAAACGATGCGACCTTGTTTAGTATTCAGAAGGATGTCGGAGTCCCCTGAAAATTTAATGGCATAGTTGAGTAGGATGCGTTGCATTGCTTCATGAAGATGGAAGTCGTCTGGAGGAGGTGCTGGGAGGTGACTATATTCAGGTTTAACTTGCTCGACGAGCTCCTCCATCATAGGAGCCAGGCTGCCAAGTTGCTTATGGAGATTTTGCTCCCAACCGGAGGACAAGAGCATCGCTCGGAGGTCGAAGGGGAAGCTCCCGGGGTCGGACTTGATTTCGTGGGATGCGATGCACTTCCACACTGGTATCAAGTGTTTCATGTTCTTGTCTTTTTTCGGACGCTGGCCAAGGGGTAGTGCACGAAGCAGGAATACTACAATCACCCAAAATACTGACTCGGCGTCATGTCGAGGGAGGTGCTGGAATATCGGGGCTTTAACTGCGGATTTGGCTTCGCCAGATTCGCCGTCTGATTCGTTGTCGCTAGATTCTTCGTCGCCAGATTCGCCTGTGTCTGACTCGACACTGTCAGATTCGAAACTGGGAAATTCTACCTTGTTCACTACAAACTCATCGCGGTCAGATTCGTCGTTGTTGGATTCGTCGTCGTCGGATTTGTCGCTGTCATCTTCGTCGTTGCCGGTGTCTCCGTTGAGACCATGAAGACGGACGCCGTGCACCATCCCATGGCGATCTTCGAAATGTCGAAAAGGATCCGCGCCAGCCGCCCGGTGTACCTTCTTGTAACGGACAAGCACCTTTGATGACAATGAGGGCATACTATTGAAGGGAGCCAAGCCTCGTTCAAGAGTGCGCCCAGCGGCAACCGCACGCGCCATGTAACGAGGGGTGCCCTGTGTGAGAGACAATCAGTGCTCAGCTATAAGTAATAGCAAGCGTCCTCTTACCGTTCTATGGCGAAGGTGTTCGTGGTCGGGACTACGCTCTAGAGACTCCTTGAATGACGGTGTCTGTGCAAGCTTTCGGTCGTATTCAGCCCCGTTGTCGAAATCGTACAGACGCGCCACTGGCGGCGCGTGTTTTGCTCTACCTCAACCATCCCTCGTCAGCTTTGAACAAAAATCTATGGCTTGAGTGGCTAACTTTGTAAGGACCTCGTTGATAAATATGGGTCGGCCACTCTCATCCAATTCGGCTTTCGACTTGTCCTTGGGGTTGATGATGATATTGCCTATGCTTATGTCTCGATGAATGACGTTTCTCCTTTTGACTGCCCATCGGTGAGCTACGGAGAGCTCTCAGTGAAATATTTGAAGTAACTACACTGAGGCACCCACCTTCCAGAATGTCGTACATAGTCATGAGAAAATGCTGGATACTCGGAGTCTTGGCCAATGGGTCGCCCGACGTTCCCATGATGAGTCTAGTCTTTACTCGATACACATGGGGTTCGATATTGATAGACGTAATGGGGCCCTCCTCATTGAAGACGTCTCCGTGTGTTATCACCCTCACGAATCCCGGAGCCGGTTTGCCGTCAGCCTGTAGGAGATCGTATAATTCCCCTTCCTTGAATGTCCGGCCATACGCCCAGTAGGAATCCTTGATGACGGTGGGATATTTACCCGCTGTTTGGGCGACCCACGTCATTCGCTTCCACGGTTGGCCGACAAATTTGACTTGGCACGCAGGATATGTTTCGCCTTTGAACGTGACATCCCAGGTCGGTTTATCTTCTATGCGAGTGGATGAGCGAGTGATGGTCGGGTCGCAGCGCGGGCGTCCTGGAAGAGGAAAATAGAGCGTATATGCATAGGACGCCAAGGGAACGAGGTGTTCCCAATCGGAGAACGGCGATGTAGTCAGACCGCCAGCATCGCTATATTGTATCTGGTACCCACTCGGCGATGTGATCAAGCCGTATATTCCAACTTTGTCTGGTCGAGCTTGATTCGCTAGTCCAAGGTATGCGGCCAGTTGCGTTATGCCATCCAAGTATTCGTGCTCGTTCTTGACTTCGACTACGGTCTCCAAATCGGACCACTCGGCGCATTTGCAAGGGGAAGTGGACGGGTAGGTCAAGAATCTAGACTTCAACATGGCAGGAATATCCGGAGAGCAGTCGAAGTATCCGTTGGGATGATGTTTGAGATATGCTGTGTGATGGTCCACGAAGACGATGGGTTCGTTATCCCCTGTGCATTTTGGACGTGAATAGTTAGTGAGAGTTTGTATACGTCGGGAAAAGGATTTACCACAGAATTTCTCGCTGAGATGATTCAGGACTTTGCAAAGTGCCGAATATTGGGGCTTTCCTACAGCGGAAACGTATGATTCGGTTAGGGCTACTAGCGTTGTGTCGGCTTCCAGGAGTTCCTCCAAATTCGAGCCCGGAGGCGAGTTCAGGTGGTCTTGGGAGAAGTTCGCGTACGGTGTTATGTACTCTTCTTTTACCTCAAGCGCCGACATCTCCTTGCGACTGCCTGCGGCTTTCTTGGTATTCTTGAGAGGGCTATTGGTGAACGCGAAGTGGTCAGCCATGGTAGTAAGGATGGGTACAGGAAGGTAAGGACAGAGATCATATGTATACTTACCACAGTGTGTGGCCAGGGAGTGAACAATGGAATAAACACAAACACAAATTGCCACTGCAACGAAGTGGTAGAGTACTGTTTAGGAAAGTGAATCACAACCACAACTTGCCACAAATGTGTCGCACGCCACCCAACATGTGATCGTGCCACTTAGACTTGAAACCCAGCGAGCACTTTTGCCTCCGATTCTTGAGGAACGTACAGTCGAGGACAATCAAACACATCAAATAAATATTGACCATTAATTTTACCCCCGGAATTGTTTTAGAATGATAATAGGCATCTATTAGAATATATCCCGCGTGGTCCGAGTGAATTCTATCGAGCCGTTCATTGGCCGAAAAACAGTGAACCCTCAAAATTTTGGCCACACACAAAAAAAAAGATGGGTAAAATTTGAATAAGCCATTTTATAGTACTCCTCAAGCTAGACATTTTACAATATGAATAACTGATATCTAATGAGCGGGTGAGGCAGAAAACAATTAACAAACTTGCTCACATGAGATAAGGACCCCTGGGCGTCTCCTCTTGGCGCTATCACGTTATCGGCGCAGCTGTGTCATCCCCACCGTTGGATATCAATGAAACGATGTGGAAGGCCTCCAAGGCCTCGAAGAATGATATAACCGGCCTCTACATTACACCGCAACTCACAAAGTTTTAAATATGACATATAGTATGTAAATACTGGGTCCCAGTCATCGCGGTTGGCGTGACTAGCAATAGAATCTTTAGTTCATCATTAAATTGACTCAAAAGTTGCTCAAAAGGGTAGTATATGTTTCAAAAAATTCCCAAAAAAAATTGGCCACATTAAATACTCGTGGGAAAAACTTCGGACATCGTTTTTTGAGCTCTTTCAGGTTGTCTGGTCCTGAATCTGAACTCGGTTTGGTCCCAAAATTTCTCAATCTGTCTCGATCATATTTGATGTGTTTGATTGTCCTCGACTGTATGACTTTGGGATAACTTAGACTTTTCCAGAACCGACAAAAGTCCTCCAAGCGATACTCTAAGGTTCCGGTCTTACGGTCAGTTCGACCAGTTATCTTCTCGCTTTCAGCTGATGAACCCTTTACGCTTGCCACTCCGCCCTCGGAGAGTTGCCCAGTGCTGAGACAGCCGAAAGGAGATGGCATATCATCAAGTCAAAGAAGGTAAACTCGCGAGGAAAGCGACACGCAAATCAAGTGTTCGACTCTTTGAAGGTCAGTGTCAGTGTTCAGACTCTCCTACTCCGCTAACGACACTTACCAGCTCACCGCTGGGCAGTTACAGAGAGAAATCTCATTCACAGCGAAATAAGCCAAGAAAACATTATCATCGCCCCCAAAGACAACCCAGTCAAGCGCGTCTCAAATTAGACCAGTCACTCGTATTTATCAGCGAGATTCTTACACGGTCAGAAGTCTGATCTATTTATCTCTGTCATCTACGGCTCACGTAGTCTGCTTGACTTAGGGAAAAACGTGCCCCCCGTTGGCGATTTTGTTGGACTTGGAGAAAGCAATCCAAGGACTCTGCCATTCAATCTCGAACGTGGCGCTGAACGCGAAGACCTTCGTCGCAGGACGGTGAGTAGCAATCACCACTGCGTATACTACTGGAATGGGGAATATCCTCTCTTGCATCAGGGCACCCCTCGCTTTGTGGCTCGTGCGGTGGACGCTGGGCATGCTCTTGAACGATCTTGGACATACTTCCGAATCCATGCCTTAATTGCCCTTAAAAATCTTTGTCCGGTACAAGAAGGTACATTCTGCTGGATCGGACCCTCTGCGACATATAGAGGATCGCAACGGCACAATACATGGTGTGCCCTATGGCCGCAAAAAGCCCAATATAGACGGGCCCATCGTCGACAAATCTGAAGACAACGAATTTGGTTTTGTCGGTTTTGACCGCGACGAATTTCATGACAATGAAGCAATGGAAGACGACTCGGAATCCGAGGATGAAGCTCAAAAGTTCCAGCACCTCCCTCGACACAACGCCGAGTCAGTATTCTGGGTGATCGTAGTATTCCTGCTTCGCGCTCTCCCCCGAGGCGAACACCCCAAAAAAGACAAGAACAACAAGTGGTTAATCTTTATCTGGGACTATATCGCATCACACGAAATCATGCCCTACCCCGGTAAATTTCCTACGGACGATAGGACGACATTTTTGAATCTCGGGGGCTGGGAGCATTTTCTCCATGCAAAGCTTGGCCGCCTGGTTCCCATGATGGAGGAGCTTGTCATGCAAGTAAAGCCCGAATATAGCCACCTTCCAACCCCCCCGGATGACCTACACTTGCATGAGGCTATGCAGCGCATCCTCCTCAAGTACTCTGTTAAGTTCGCTGGAGCCTCCGACATCCCCCTAGATGCCAAACGAGGCCGTGTCGTGTACACCACATCTGAGACTAAGGAGTTCTGAAGATGGTTAGCCTTTTCAGAGAGTTGTTCCCCTCACAAACACCGTGTTTGGATTTTCATTCAGTACACAAAGTTATTATGCAATTGATTACGCACCACTGCCAGCCTGTATTACCTCGACGCCTTTCCCAATATCATCGCAAGGCGGTCCACATGACCAGCTCGTTACCGCTGCACTCGAGCAATATGCCACCCTGGAAAATTGGGCTGGGCATACGAGCGATGATTGCTGCGCCTGGTTGCCGCGTCCGACGTCGGTCCCTCGCGTGTAACAATACCACGTCCACTGCTATGATATATCGCCGGGTCTGCATTCTTACCTGCCCACGATAAGCGGGAGCGGACTGTGCAAGGTCGAGCATCGAAACACGGCGTTCAGTCCCTCAGCGGATTGTGCGAGAGAAGTGCTTATCGCGAGCAGGTAAGAATGCAGACCCAGCGATATTTCATGCACCTTACCTTGTACCCGCTGCATCCAGCGGTGCTAGCAGCTGTGGCAGATCATGTAGTAACCACTAGCCACACCAGATGAGATCGAGAGTGGCTCTAGACCGGACCCCCACAAGCACAGGGGTTTGAGACGGAATCATGCCCCCCGACTCGGAGCACAGTAGTATAAGCGGTGGCGACGTCGCCTTGTCCCTTGGCCCACGCAAGCCAAAGACACTATACCCTTGTTTTCTGCGAGTGGATAATCACATCCTGACGATATCAACCTGACATTTCGCCAACACCATAACTATAATCACGCCGTACTATTGTGCCTAGATACAAACGACACTTGGGCTCTATACCGTACGTCCTTGAAAGCCGTTCACTGAGATGTGCGTGTAAAGGCTAGTGAACCGAAGCCTACCTACAACGGCGGGCGTTTTACTCGGAAATCGCGACGCGGTACCACTTTGGTTCCTCTTTATCCAAACCCAGGGCATCCTTCAGAACCTGCACCTGCTCCTTATTGACGAATATCTGGTTCACCACTTTCCCCGTTTTCGCACAACGGCCCCTCCTGCCCAGCATAAGCAAAGGCACCTCCTGAGAATGAGGCAGGACAGCAACGACAGGCTGGCGCCACCGAAGAGGAATGTCGGGGAACCTCTTCTGACAGTACGAGTTGAGGAACTTGCGCCCAATTCTCTCAGCAAACCTTCGGAACCAGGGGTTTTCGTTGTCTTTGTCCGATGGGGGGACATAGTGACACCCAATAGCGAAGGCAACGTCGTTCGTGATCGTTAAACCGTACACAACTGAGGGAACAGGAAGAGGTTTTGGCAATTTGTGGGCGATGGCGGGGGTGCGTTCGTGAGTCGGTTCTGTGGCTGGGGTTATGTCTTGGGCGCTGATAATGCCGCTGTCGTGCTGTTGATCGTGGTTGGGTCCCATGTTGTTTGCGTGATTGGTTGAAGTTTGAACTGTATAAGTCCCAGGGCTGAGCTTGAAAATCGCCTTGTCGGCCATCTTGTCGGCTTTTGTCCTTGTCAGTCATTGTCCTCGTCAGTCATTGTCCTCCAACAGTGAACAATAGCCTTGTTTACATATAAAAGGGATCTTGTGTTATACTGTTGTGTAATTAAATAATGCCGCCTCGCAAGTCCTTGCCCAAGTTTCACACCTCGGCCCAAATTCAAGACGTAGCAAAACAATATCGGAGCAATCGGAGCAATGCCGAATGGATGTGGTACTCGCCCTACGTACTCACCTTGGAATCCTTGTTGGATGTCGGGCATATCAACAATCTGATTGCTCCATCTCGAGAGTCCCTGGTGCCCCGTCCGCAAGGCGTTGTCATCCTCTCGAAAGAAAAACTCATTCAGCTCGACGATATTGACGACCTTTCAGAGGGTAAGAATGGATTCCTTTTTGGGAAATAAGTGCCTGGAGTCATATATCTTGTTTTAGATGTCCTCGATATCGACCCAAATTCGTCTTTCGAAACTACAGTATCCACGACAACGGAGCCAGCAGACCGAAAAGCTATTTATGGTATTCCTGATTGCTCAATAGCGCATACAGCGAGCAAGCCAGCTGTAGATGGGAAGTTCCAAGTCTACCATACTTGCCTTCCTGGGCTAGTCGAGAACAAGAAGGCCCCGTCTCGAAGGCCCAGTGGCGGTGGACTAACCCGAGAAAAACTCTTAGAATCGGCTCAAGCCCAACTGCTATACTATGATGCTATATACTTTGCAGAACATCCGACTTTCACAAAAATTGTCAACATACCGGCGGCAGGGCCTTACTGGACCTGGGCATTGATCCAGAAGGCACAAGTCCCATCTTTTGACTTTATGAAGCTTTTCATGACTGCAAGCAACGACTTGTATGAGGATGTCCATGAGAAGGATTGGGCATTGTACATGGCGGTTGCAGAAACTGTGGCAACAAACCCAATCCACATTTTGGGAACAGCAGAGTGTTAGGGCGACGCTAATACACAACAAGGCGTACGCGGACCCAACAAGAATACAAGTGAGAAGTAGTAAAGTCCGAGAGGTAAGAGGTGAGGAGTAAGGACGAAGACGCTGACTCAGGCACTAGTATTAGTGGTATTCCCAAGAGAACGAGTTAACGTCTCTGGGTATAATATTCAGTCTTATATACTATGGTACATGCATAATCCTCATGTCTATCTACACGCCGTAGCCTGTCGGCTTTCCATGGAATGCTTAGCACATCACCGTGAGGTGTGATGTCATGTACTGCACCCATGCGTCTACGGTGAGGTTCTGACTAAGGTGTTTAGTAATACGGGCCGAGGGTCGTAAGCAGTCTGTAGTAAGCTACTGCGTGTCCGTCATGTGATATATAGGGGAAAAGGAAGAGAGAAAAGTCGAACCATAACACAGAGTCGGACATTGCCTTGGCCGATCTACGGGATAAGGGGTTCGTGCCACTTATTCGGTCCTGTGGTCATGGTCACTTTGTTGTTCCTGTTCGCCCTGCTGGCAATGGTGGCGGCAGTGAGGATGTCGATGACAGCACCCTCCCAAATGGGGCAGTGACAGATGACGGGGCAGTGACGGAGGAAGATGAAGATGGGGATTTAGGAGGCTATGGCGAGGTAAATGGTTGAGTGTTATCATATACAGCCAGGTGAGTAGCATTTGATTGCTACTATACTTATTTGAAGATGCTAAATTCTAGCGGCTCGATGGCATTTACAGAAGTGCGGAAACATGGGCAAGGTGTGTCACCCTTGTCGAAGTGGGCGTCAATGCTGTGGACTTTGCAATGTCTCGTAGTGTGTTGTGGGTGCCGCTGTAATCTGAATGGAGTTCAGTGTAAATGATATGGGGCCGCATTCATGTCACAAGTCCTCGCCATCCTCCACACGTTATTGTTCACCCCTCAGTAAGTTTGTTGGAGCCTCCGACATCCCCCTAGATGCTGAACGATGCTGTGCCGTTTACACCGTATTTGAGAATAAGGAGTTCTGAAGATGGTCAGCCTTTTCAGAGAGTTGTTCCCCCTACAAACACCGCGCCATGTGCTGGTTGTGACACATGTTGCAGCCTCTTAACCGGATGCGTTTGTTCTACTGACTTAAACTAAATGTTGTGATACCTACTTTGTAACACTTTCTTCTTGCTCGTATTTGTCAGGCAGTACTGGCAGTGCAATGGCAAGGAATATCCTCGACTCAAGGGAGGGGATACAATCGATGGGCATAAACCAATGTCTGACAGAGAGAGCATGCCTCGAACACACGAATAGAACACTCATACCACGCAAACAGAATGCAAAGGGCCACGCGACATTATCACTCTTTCTACATTATCATTGAACAATATTATAGTTCATACAGCGTAGACGTCCTCACGCCAGCAAGAAACGCGATTCCGGGCAGCGGGAAGCCTGATCAAAGCGGGCACGCATCTCCTCCAAACGATATGTTATCGATATACGGGCCTGGTCAGCGGTCACACAGTGGATCAGCCAACCTTACGCCAAAGAACACGATCACGCGTACCTGCATGATTGGCGACACTGTGGTCGAACAGTATGTTGTTGCCCTCCGAGCAATTCTGCATTCCAAGGTGAGATGAGGTGACCATCCAGAGAACTAAAGCTTTCCTCACTTCATTCTCCTGTCCGGGACACGCAACTATATCTGTAGCATCGCCATTGCCGTCTACGGCGTTGATATGGATCTCGCCTTGCGGATGCTGATACCCGATGAGCCGGGGTGGGAGGATGGGCACAGGATCATCTTGGTTGGTTACGTGAGTCAGACTCGAGCCAAGCTGCATATGTACGAGGAGCAAGCCCATCAGTTCTGCGTTCTCATCGCAAGATAGATTGGTGGGATGATGGATCTTGACGCACAGTTTGATCAACAAAGTTAGCCCATTCCTCATTGCCACCTCGGGGTAGACCGAACACTGTTGTGGTGATCTCTACTGATGAACCGAGGATTTCTTTGAGCATCATCGCGTCCATGACAGCAATAGCAGCACCTATTTCAGGAAATCAGTCCCGGCCAAAGGTATTGCATGAGGTCAGCATACCGAGAGAGTGGCCTGTAACGACGACCTTATTGACGTTGTTAGCCGCAAGACCCCTCTGAACGCCAGAAAGCACGCCATCGGCGGTACGCTCGAACGTCTTCTGGAAGCCGTCGTGCACCTTAACAGAATCTTTAGCCCTGGGTTAGTCGCGAATAAAGTACAAATGAGCCTCAGGAAATGCTCACCACCTGCCGACGGGAAACGAGTCGAATTTAGATCCTTTAGCAGGATCTGGGCATCGTTGATGATCGAAAGACTGGTGAAATCAATAACCACGTCCTTCCCGACGAAGATCAATATTTACATGTTGTCCGGATCAGTTCCCTGATGTGCAACGACAATCGACTCGGCGATAGGATCGTGCGCAACAAAATCTATGATGCACATCGTTATTCTTGCACACATGTCGCAAGGCAATGAATACTCACACATGGGCACCAACCCGTCGTCTGTTGCAGGTGAGAGTTTAGATTTCAATTCAGTCGCGAAGTCGTTATGCAACCTGATTACGCACCTCCGCCAGCCTGTATTACCTCCACGCCTTTCCCGATATCATCGCAAGGCGGCCCACACGACCAGCTCGTTACCGCTGCGCTCGAGCAATACGCCACCCGGGAGAATTGGGCGGGACGTACGAGCGAAGATTGCTGTGCCGCCGAGAGTTGACTGGTTGCCGCGTCCGATGTTGGTCCGTCGCGTGGAACTATACCACGTCCACTCGGTGAGGTGCCCGTTACTGGTGCTGCGCGTGCTGAATAGGAAACCAGACCGCATAGCAGGATTAAGGAAAAGTATTGCATGGTACGCAAAGTAAGATAAGGATTCCAGTTAAGCTACACAGTAGCAAGAAAGAAGGCGAAAAGAAAAGAAAGTAAGGAAAGTGAGCCGTTCGACGACCTAGCGAGTCGGGGTGTTGATCCTGGCGAAGAAAAGCAGGCCCTCCGACGGTCACTTTAAGTACAAATCGCCCAACTGCGAATATCCCACGGAACCATGGACGTCGATCAGTGATCACAACCGACATCAGACATTCGTGCTTCAGTTGCCACGTCTAGCAGCCCTGGCATACCCGAGAGCAACATTGAGCAGTGCATGGAGACGATCATATCAGTCAACGACATGTCTTTGCGAATTCCAGGGTTCCACTAGCGCTGGTCAGTTCGTCGTTGACCAGGAACAGCGTACCAGTGTCGACGTCGACGGAGTGATAGAACAGAAACAAATTCCAAAGATTGTTCCTAAGCTGCTTTTTCAACGGTGATTGGCCAGACGAAAAAGCGAACGGCAGTTGTAGTTGGGTTTCAACGCCATTCCGTGAGCCGTCGCGCGTTCATTAAGATATTCCGAATTGAGTGGAGCTTTGTTAGTGTTGGCGAATTATCAATGCATCAAAAGGCTGAGTTGACATGACATGATGGAGAAGACAAACTTCAAACGAAGCGCTGAAGAAGCTATGAGCTGAATGGCGCCAGTTGCCATCAACCACCTACAAAACGAGAAGACCCCCTGAGGGTGACATTGACAATGAAGATAATTAATACACGATAGCTATGTGAAAGCAGGATAGCAATCTCATGAAGCCCATAAGGGGGGTATATAAGTTGTACACTAGGATGAACGGGATGACGGTGAGGAGTGTACAGATAGCCAAGAGGTGTTGAAGTCTAAAGACCGTTTAGTACGCACCAAATGGTACGACCAGAGACGTTTCAAGGTTGTTGCCAAATTGGTGGAAACGCAAGTGTTTATCTACGATTCGTACGCCGGAGTGAGACACGATGATGACCTCCCAAAGAATAGACGCTTACCGAACAAACCTCCCTCGGGGGAGATGATATCCATTTCCTTGCGGTAGCTTGACTTGAGCTGCAACTCATCGATATCTGCCTCCGAGATGTTCATTGCAACATTGTTTGGGGTGGAAGGGAAGGAAGAGAGGGGCGTCGAGCGACCAGATGAGGTCATGGACGCGTCGTCGCTGTCGTCCGCGTCGAAGTCGTCGTAATCCTCAGCTTGCGGATATACACGATGGAAACAGTTGACTATCTCTAGTTCGCCATCTAGAGGTCCCGCCTCGAATACTACGAGGTTATCTGCATAAGTATAGTCCACTTTCGTAATTCGAAGGGCATACCATCATTAGAGATATCGCACTCCATGCTGAAGTCGAGCTCAGTCGTATCGAGCTCCGAAGGCTCTCCCGCGAATGTGGGCTCGACAGAGAACAGCAGACTCTGGGTCGGGAACCCTGCGTTCAGACAATCTTCAGTCGCGTCGTTCTCGAATACGGTCGGGAACGAGAATCCCATCAACTGGGGCTCGGAGTCGAAGTCGAGTTCGTCGAGTGCGAAGAAAGCGTTCATGTTAATGAGTATGTGATTTGTACTGGGGATGATTTGGACGGTGGTGGGTTGATAGGCTGCTGGTTGGGGGGTAAAGGGCGATATTCACCAATTCTCCTGGCTCCTTTTATACTGCTGAAGCTCCGACAAACGACGAGGCAACAATTGGCCACATTTGGGGCGGTGGCCACTCGCCTGTCACAACTGCGCAAAAGTGGTTGCGCCTCATCAAACAAAGGAAAGACGATCACAGGGGCAAAGATTCCGGATTTGGTAAGTGAAATGGTAGCGAGGTGGGGCGCATCCCCCCCGTTGTTATCACATATCACATTTAGAGGAGCGACGATCATGGTCGAAACCTCGGCTGAACGCAGACACACCAAGACTCCGTTAATGTGATAAACCACGCTGATCTACTTAATTCAACGTCTACCCCAGCATTTTCTACGTAATCATTGGTCTGGGCTGCTAGGCCGGCTCAGGAGGTGCTTGACTTCAACCTCGACGCCCCGAAGTACAAACAAGATTGTATGGAACTGTCTGTCGAGACTCGGATAGGAATGCAATCAGGGAACTAATTTTGAGTGAACGGGAACACAAGATGGATGACACGAAAGAGGACCGAGGGCCTTCTGATGGAAATAATTAATGGATAATGGGTGCGTCCGCAATGCTTAGAGATATCCAAACATTATCCTATCTCAATGAGATTACTGACCTTTTGCCTTACATTTTGGGCATGTCGACGGTCGTCAATATGGGCGTATTAGATGAGCTGCTTTCCGTAATCCCGTCGGTCGAGTCGAAGTGACGGAGGGAGCGTCGATAGATGGGTACGTGTCATTTCACAAGCCCGAGTGATAGTATTTTCTCATTGAAACGAATGTGCGTCGTTGGTGAAGTCATAACCGTCCCTCGTTGTGGATATTTTTCTTGTTTGCACGCGAACACAAGTGTCTGCTTATTGTTATCTCTATCTTTGTTGACCTAGATTGACGGATGGCCCACAGATTGACGGATGGTGAGCCTCAGGCTACGCGTCAAGCCTCGCTCGGAAGGAAATGATGATCTCGCAGAGCTCGAGTAGAAAGAGCATTAGATGATACATGAATCTGCCCGGGATAATAACGTACCAACAACAACAACAATTTGCAAAGGAAAGAGCATTACTCACCGGAGAGTCACGTTTCCCTCCCTACTCAAGCAACAAGTACGCGTGTCGTTTTCGATGGTGCGCGTTCGTGTGCTCCACTCTACGTGCCTAGTGAAATGCGACTATGGCGGCGGTGTGTGTCCCTTCTTTTGCTATTAGTCCTTCGAAGCGCGGGCTTGCAGTCGGAATAAAACACAATATTACGGTTCTCTGGGTGGGCGATCAAGGACCTGTCATAAGGTGCACCCTCCCCACATCTATCCGCAGTTTCAAGACATGCCATGAATGGTTCGAAGTCGATACACCCCCGCATCTGGCTTGCCATTGGCCTACTGCTGCTAGTTCTAGATCCGTATCGAACCATTGCTGTTGTTGTCGTTGCATAGCAGGCAGCATGAGGTGATGATACTTTTGCTATGAAACTAGGGATTCACTAATAGGCCTTCATTTGACGGCCGTTCTCATTTCTCCGCTGGTGTCGTCTCCCCATCCATCTCATCATAGGGCGCTATCGCTTCAAAATCGGGACGCGAAACTCTGGCACCCTCCACAGCCGCTATGGACGCAGTTTGCTTCAACTTGGTTAGCGGCGGGCCCGGGCCGTTGGCATTTAATGCTGGGCGAGGTAGGACATTAATCATTGCCTATTTTGGTCACATTATTGCCAAACCCAGACACCCGCATATCTGGACAACATCAATGATGTCAGCGTACCTATCGTACTCACCAACGACGCCGTTCGACGCACAGACCTCGTCAGCCCCGTATAAATACGCGTGCTCATCGCGTCCAACTCTTTCTTCCCTCGTCCATCCCCCCGTCTCGTCCCCTTCTTCTGTCGAGCCCCCACGCATCGCCGCATCGCCGAACGGTAAAAGTCAGGACATACGACGGCGATACTCTGGGAGAGAATAATGGCGAGTGGGAGATGATCGAGGATGACCGGAGCCCAGAATAGCGGGGAGATCAAATGGAATACAGGTGAGACACCGTTGCCGCCATCCTCTAGGCACGCGCCACGGTCGACGCCGATCATCTAGTCTGCGGATTAGTGAGATCATCCATGAGAGTGACAATGAGGGTGCTTGCGAGTGACCACCCACCCGACACGTGCCGTATCCTGCATCACCCCTTCAATGGATGCGTCCTGGAAACGAATTGGAAAGCAATGCAGTCATACGGGTACAAAGCAGATGACGGCGCCTCGCACCAGCAAAATACGGCGAACGGTTATGCGATTATGCTGAGAGCAAACTGTGCCACATTCGCAGACGTACAATCAAGTGTCCTGCCAACGGGTTTCTTCGCAGCGTAGGCGGCGCAGAAAAGGGGGTCGACTGTTCAAACGTTCGTAGCCCGATTCATGCCCGAGCCCGCCTCGAGTATTCTCACACGACCTGTACGCGACGCGCTCGGAGTGTCGGCTCCTCAGAAGCCGCTCGGGGGTAAATCGCTGTGAACCAATCAAACGACCGGAAACCACGTGATCATTCTAATACCTTCCCGCCACGTCAGTGTGAGATGGCACCCAAGATCGTATAAATACATTCACCGTAGTTTCAGAACCAACTCTCTCACTCCCGTTTTCGTCTCCAGTCTACGATGCTATTGTCAGCGCAATTGGTGTCTTTGACTCTCGCCTTGTCGGCGTCGGCGGCCATATTCCCCAAGGACACGACGGTAAAGATGTTGGATGCGAAAGGATTTAAGAAGGCTATGAAGGCGAATGTACGTGGTATCGCTCAGTTGGCGAATCTGTTACTCATCGAAACACAGCAAACTAGTGTTGTCGCGTTCGTCGCGCCGTGGTGTGGAGTGAGTTTGTGGAGTCCTCAGTACAGTAACAGACGATTTGCTGACGGTATAGTAGCACTGTCAACGCATGGCGCCGGAGTATAGCAGAGCTGCACTTGGACTATATCCTCTAGTGCCGATGTACGCCGTAGACTGCGACGAGCAGCAAAACAAACGTCTATGTGCTGAGCAGGGTGTGCAAGGCTTCCCCACAGTCAAGGTACATATATTCGCGGTATTCATAGACGCCGACTCATTAATCCTTCCTTTCGAGTAGCTATTCCCTAGAGGCACTCAAATGAGCCCGATTACATATGACGCAGGGGAGCGCACCGCCAGCGCATTCTTCTATTGGGCTTCCAGAAGAATACCGAACACCGTCACGAAACTGTATCACGTTGAAGATATCCCGGGGTGGGTAGAGAAGGTACGCGTTCTTGTCAGCTTCGGTTGATAGCATAGTAGTAGCTCACTATTTCATGTTTACGTTTAGACTAGCGACAAAAACCGTGTATTACTACTCACGAAGGAGAAGAAAGTCCCCCTCCTTTGGAAGGTATTGGGCAACAAATATCAGGGCCAGCTCGAGCTAGCGAGTCATCGTGACCGCCGAGGTAAAAGCTCTGTCAAACTGGGATACGAAGCTGGGGAAAAGAACCAAGCCAAAGTGCTCGTCTACGCCGCCGGCTCAACCAAACCCGTGCGATTCGAAGGCATTCTCAAACACGACTCTCTTTCGAAATTCTTCGACTCGGTCATTGACGGAACTGCTGATCTGACAGTCGCCAACGAGGAGGCCAAGTCGGAAGAATTCGTACCAGACGAGGAAGAGTTGGAGATCCAACGAAAGCAAGAGGCCCAGCGAATTGCTTTGGCTCACGGCGGGTTCTCTGATTTGATTGACTTTGAGAAGGCGATCAAGGAGGGGCATGGTGCTGATTTCCATGATACACACGGATTCCCTGGTATGATGGGAGATGTGCCGTATGCGAAGAAAAAGGAGCCGACGGAGGAGGAGAAGAAGCAGAGTGCGGAAGCTATCAAGGAGGAGTCGACGACATCGACTGGCATGCCTGAGACCAGAAAAGCTGAGGCAACGAGCACGGCAGATAAACCTGTCGCTACACCTGAGGTCGTTGATCCTGTCCAGGTCGTATTTAGCTCGGAGGAGACTCCAAATCCCGTTGATGCCGAACGCCCTAAGGACGAGCTGTAGTACTCCCTTTCGCCTCCATTCGTCCGTGTTCTTAGCCATATTGGTATTTATCGCACATTGCTTTGTAGGACTACAAATTCAACCAAGAGATTCGATCAACACACCTATTTTGCTGTGATCAAGCTACTTCAATCAATCCAGTCATTCCGACAACGCCCTCATCATCGATACACCAAACTTTAGCTTGCTTATCTTGCAGCCAAGAGCCATGGAACGTTAGCTCACGGTTGACGATAAGTGGGTTGGTCGCGCGATACTCAAACGATTTGATTTGGGACCCTTGGTTGCAGAACGTGGTCGCGTCAAGGAGCATCAGAGCCGTCAAAGGCCCATGAACAAGGCGTTCTGGTATTGAACCCTCTATTTAATTACGCGTAGAATCAATTTCGAAAGAACAACTCGCCTGGATAACCTTCAACCTGCTGGGAGAATTCCTTATCTAGATGATTGAAGTGCGCGTTGAAGATGAGAGCTGAGAAACGAAATAGGGTAGTTGGGGTAGGTGTGAATGAAAATGAAAAATCGGAGGATTTGGGGATATCTTTCACTGGATTGCATATTCATCAACTCTGCAAAGGATCCGACGCGCGAAATAGCAGACTCACCTTCACGAGGCGCCTTTGTGCCCTTTGCTGCATGGGCGAGATAGACGTGGGATCGCTCCTCATCCACACATACATCGCTATCCGACATGCCCTCCATCCTGTATCTGATTCTCTGATTCACAAACACCATCGGGCTTTCTTTCTCGAACCCTTTCTTCGCGACATTCTCGATTTCCCACGTCGCGGTTGCTTTCCCTCCCACCACGAGCGGCTTATCGTGGTTCCACCTTATCTTTCCCCCCACCCACATCCTCCTCGTGAACGGCTCGGGCGGGCAGAAATCGGGCTCGGTGCCATCAGGTCTCAAGGCGTGTTCGGGGTGCCGGGGGTGGAAAAAGACGAGGTGATGCCCGGGACTCAATGGAGAACCAGAACGAGGGCGCCGAAATGCTGCACGCGTCCCATCACGGGTGGGAATTGTGACGAAGAGGTCTGAGATGTGGCCTTCTGACAAGGTATCGTGTATCTGCGTGCGTTGCGGCGTGGCGATCCATTTATCGAGGGCTTGGATGTCTGCGGAAGAGGTTGTGATGCGTCGAAAACGAAGATGTGCGGTCTTGAAATGGGGTGCTAGTGAAGTACGCAACATGATGGTCGTTCAGAAAAAGGGTGTTCGGCGCCCGGGGTCGCATGAGAGCGGATGGTGTGAATTCTGAGGTTCAACATACCCGGAGTATATATCTACCCTAGCTATTCACCCACCTATTCAGTTTCTTGAGTCGAAGTCGAACTGTTCCAAGTACTCGCAAGGATCAAAGGAAGATTCTTTACCAAGGCGATGAAATTTTGAAACCCTAGGTGCGGTGCTGGGGGAACTCAGGGGTCTCCTATCTTGCTCTGCGAAAGTCAATTTCTTGGGTTGGGGAAGACATGAATATGTCTTCATCGTGTAACATGGACAAGGGCTGTATCTTGTCAAGCACATACTGAGGGACTGCCTCGCATGTGATCGATTAGGCTCGTGTGAGTAGTGGATTTGTTGAAGCTCATAACACGGATGGCTCATGGGCGGAGAGGCCTCGCCCCGGGGAGGTTACAAGGGGGCTCTCAAGACCGATGTACTTCATGAATGGGCCTGCCAGAGGTGATCAGGAGTAGGGGTGAACTGTGTAGAACTGTTGTAAACCCGTTCCGACGACGAGCGAAAAGGGTAGTGCCAGTAAATTCAGCAAAGCTACCATTCTTCCTATCTACGACGACGTCAAAGAGGGTAGATCAGCCCGCTGCGTTTGCCATTAATCATTATAATCATCGGGCGCCGGTCGCCGGTCATATAAGCAGCAAGGGCAAGGTTCTGGAAAGCGAGAAGAGAGGGGCACGTTTATCAAAGCTTCATGAGACGCTGAAAAGTCGACGGAAGGTTACGCCGAATCTTGGTACTTTCAAGCGCGTAGAGTAGACCGTTGGGAGGCCCTGCCTTCGACAATTTCTCGAGGAAGACAACCGTAGCGTCGGCAAGGTGTGTATAGTCTCAAATGTGCGCAACTATCAATTTACAGCTTTTCGTCCTTCCCTACCTCTACCTCCGTGACATCCAAATCAGAGTCGTCGCGCTCAACATTCGGTACAGGCCCCGTAAACCATTTACGCGCAGAGAGCACCCATGAAGCGGACGCAAAGAGAAGGACGGCAGCAACAAGTACAATAGCGTAGTCTGAGATCACCATCAGATTACTACACTTGCAAGTGAAAGTATGGGGGCTTACTCATATCTATTGGCGCAGGAGCTTCGGTGTATGGGAACAGGAGGAGCACTTCAACGAAAGCGATCCACGCGACTGAGATGATTCCAATTGGCATGTAGTATTTTCCAAGAGAGAAAGGTCCCGGTTTGAGCTTCCCTCTCCCAGAGGTGATACGTAAGAATATGGGAATCCCATAGGAGGTGTATATCCCGACCACAGTCGCTCTGTTCATTCGGACGTATTGTATTACCGTAAGTCATCAACGGACACCATACTTATATTCCCATGCTCACCCAGCAAGCGAAGACAATGCCGCGTCGGAGAATCCAAAAAGACCCAGGACGATGGTACATGCCATGACAAGCCAGACGGCGTTGACCGGCGTCTGCGTGTACGGATTGATTTGCTTCCACCATCGCGAGCCAGGTAATGCATTGTCCCTGGCGAAAGCGAAGATAACGCGTGACGCATCGACGCCTTGCGAAATACCATTTACCCACTACATGGTATGAATATCATCTCGCTTAGCCAGGGAACCATAATTCGGAGCGGAGGCGTACAGCGGCGTACCTGGATGGATATGAGAAGGCACCAGATCGCCAGCATTCCTTTCTTGCCAAGGGCGTTCAGGAATAATTGGCCCATAGGCAGTGGTAGCTCCGATGCAAGTAGATCGTCCACTGACGTAGTGGCGTAGGAGGCTGAGATGAGGAATAGCCAGCCAAAGACTTCGGTGAATATAACCGCTGTCATTATAGCAATCGGCGCTGAACGCGCTGCGCCAGCTGTCTCCTCGGAAATATGAGCAGCGGCATCGTCTGAAGATAGAGGTTCACTGGGGGTCCGAGACCGAGAGAGACGTAGACGGACGCACATCCAGTCAGGCACCACATTGGTGCAGTGAAAGCAAGCAAGAACGCCCAGCCATCTGCAAGAGGAATCAGAGTCACACTATGGGACTTGAAAGATAAGAAGGTACCGTTTTTCCAGCCTGTATTATTTTCGAGTAATGTGAACGCATCCGCCGTAGAGACTCCATTACTGCGTGAGGCGACAAGGAGCGCCGCTATTGCCGCTATGGTGGCTCCGACTGGAACGACAGTATCTGGTAAACATTCAAAGTGCAGGACCCGGAAGGAACTCACTGTATACGGTGGCGTAATAGAACGTCAAACGAGCGACTATCTTTGTCGCAGCCGAGCAGCATATGCCATGAGAAATAATAATAGCGATCATCAAGCCGAAGGTTTGCCCGGAACTGAATATGACATTGCCGTCCGTACCTACATTAATTGCTGTGGTTATCATCTGCGCACTGAAGAATGAAACGTGTCTGTCATTGTGTGGCACCGAAGTGATCATCTCGGAAATTTACCAAGTGAAATCTGGTGAGACAGAGTTAATTAATGGATCGTAATGACTCCGCGACCCGTATGCAACGTACGTACCTATAGAGCAGACAAGGGCGACTTGTCCAGTGATGTTCGCCCACCCTGTGATCCAAGATGCAAGCGCAGAATATTTCTCTGGTGCCAATTTCGCGGAGAAATAGTACAGGCCAGCGCTGGTGCTAACTTCGAGTTAGTGCTGGTGCGGAGCCCGGAGACGGTGTAAATTTACGGCATCGAAGAAGTTAGCTCAGCAAGGCAACAAGCGATACACAGCACAAAGAAGCAGGGTATGAGCCATCCGAAAATCATGCCCGCATGTCCTCCTATGCATTATTGATCGATAGCTCAACAGAGAAGCTAGAGGTAGGGCGAACCTGCAACAAGAGGAAAGTAGAAGGATGTGGAAACGGCAGAGCTAATTCCCATAATAGAAAATGCAAACGCAATAGTTTCGAGCAACTGTGCGAGGGTCATTTTTGGCATGGGACCCCAGCCCATCGAAGCATGGGCACTTACCGAGAACTCGCGCCTGAATTGGCTCTTGTAACCCAGGCGAGCCAGTAAAGCATCGTCTTTCCAGTGTTTCTTCCTCCGCCTGGCTACAGGGTTGTCAGCGAAAACTGCAGGCGTCGAGGCACTCATGACGGAAAGCGAGTAGAGGGAGGCAACCTGAAGATACGCCACCTTCTAATCGTCTCGCTGCTCCACGAATACGCTTAGCCCGTGTCCATTAGACGGCAAAATCCGCCTATATGGGGAGAGGAAGTAAGACCGTGAGTCTGCTAAGCCATGGCCAACATGGCACTCAGTGATAAGACTTGATCTTTTTTCCGCCTTACTACCTACTGAAGTCTGAGAAACAAGTTTGTTCTGTCGAAACCAATAACAGCATACGTAACTTCGCAAGCTTGCTTGTTCATGTTAGACTATGTTTGATGAGTACTCCCCCAGACGTCGGCGTTGTGGGAGACTATTGCAAAGTTTGAGTAGTCACCAGACTGAATCATAAATAACTCAATCAGTGGCAGCACCTGACATAACCTAATGAAAGAATCATCGATTTGTCACCACGGGAATATCGTTGGGCGGAACGATGGATGGCTTTAATGACCGTAGGTTGCTTCTGCGCGCCTTACACATAGCTTGTCGTACGCCTGTGAGTCGGATTCTGCCGTCCATTGGTGTGGGATGCCCGTGAAATTTCCAAGAATCGGTTCGCGGGAACCATATATTATCAGAACATCATATCGGCCTGAGATAGAGTCACTAATGAATATGTTCCAGGGCGAGGATCCAGGTAGTAAAGCAAGTGGCGTTATGTCCGACCAAACTCCTGGGTGGCGCAACGTTCCGTTAGCGTGAATCGAGGCTGAGTCCGCCGTCTGATACATTATAAAAGTCTCACCGAAAACCTTGGGCGCTGCATGTGCTTTAAGACAGCACTACGTTGTGATCTCCTGGGGCGAGCAGATACTTCCCACTGTGAGCAGGGTCAGCACCTCGAGGCTATCGGGCTGTTGAACTATAAGTGAATAGCCCTTGACGAAAAGGGTACAATGCGGTTAGCATCTTCGCGATGCTGCTCGTGAGATGCTATAAGAACTGGAGAACAACGCGCGGGCGATGATCTGTCGCATGACTTATGGTGTCGGGTACTATTGACAACGCTCTCAAAATATACTGTCAGCCGATTCGTGCATGGTACGTAGCCAACTACAACTTACCTACCATGAGACCTAAAATGGGGGACGTGTTGAAAGCAAAACAAACATCGGTCCGATCTGAAGGAACGAGGCTCCGGCCTCAGAATTGAAAAGCATCCAAAGTCTACGTATGCATTATCAAAGTACAGTGTTCAAACAATGGCTCGCCTCCTTGCGGTGGGTTTGCTACGCTTTCGTTTCTTACCCTGAGAGAACGCATTGGCACTTTTGAGATCACGTCCTAGTAGATCCTCCTTCTTCACTTGGAATATCCGGACCTAAAGTCGCATTATGGTTAAACCTCGTATAAACAGGTCAAGGGACTTACGATCCAATTTTCCGATGTAAATGCTTCATCTGGAACAACCAAGGCGATTGGGATGAGATGGATCTATAGCCATTACCCAGGACAGTACCCACCTAGATAGTCGAGAGTAGGACCCTGCTTTGGCATCGCTTGATTGCGCACCCTGTCCATAGCCTGCCCACCCCCAAATAGCTCCGCGAAGCTACATGCACCCCGAATCAGATAACAGCGGAGCCCATGGGTGCAACAGACGTACCGATAGTATGACATTTTGTACATGAGGCTGTTCTTCATTGTGGTAGAAGCTTGGTCGTCCACTCTGTATTCCCCATGGGGCGTGAAGTAGTTTGGTTCCTGGATTTCGTCAGGCCAAACGCCTTGTGCAATCCGGACCATCCAAAGGAACTTGTTGATATCATCGCCAGAATATCCGATCAGGCCGCCGAAGATGACTAGCACATAATCAACATCGTGCTTGCGGAGGATCGGGTAGGCCACTTCTTCGGTGCTTGACATTGCTTTCCCAACGGTAGCAATATGGGCTGGAATGCCAAAGCTGTTAGGAAACACGTTGTGGTCTGATATATCAATACGCACTGTTGTTCCACGTATTGTTGTCCACTAAAGTTGGGCGATCGGCCATACCAGCAATCTGGTACCCGTAATCCCACCAGCTCATTACGACGGAGGTCTCGGGCGTGTTCTGACGAAGCCAGTAGTAAGCCTCCCGGAAATCGTCGATGATGTGTTGGCTTCCATCAGGATTTGCAGAGGCCAAGACGACGGAAGGCGACGAGTACGCGTTCGAGGTAACCCATGTACAATGGAATACAAAGAAAGATAGCATTCCGAAAGCATTGAAGATCACAACGAGGCGCGTATCAAGACCGAATATACCAGGTCTGGAGCGCGGCTTGGGCGTAGATTGTGCGGTTGTTGATTCAGTTGGTCCAGCTGGCTTTTTGGCTTTTTTAGAACCTGAGGCACTAGTCGTTGTTGAGTCGTCTCCACTGGCAGAAGGGGTTGCTTCCTCAGGAACGAGGGGCTCCACCGGATCGATGTATGTATCCAAAAGGGTCGACAATGCAACGGCAGCAGATACGCAAACAACGGGTGTTAGCGTGAGCATTAGGCGCACCATGACTCCAGCAAAGTAACTGCCGACAACAGCGTAGATGATAACGAACACGTGTTCATCACGCAACTGCTTGAAGCAGAGGAAGACGCCAGCAGGGAACAAAAACATGAGAAGCTGGAGGTCCATAAAGAATGAAGGCCAGGCCGTGGGCTGATGCTCAGAGACTGATGCGATGATGGGGATGTATCTAGTGCATGTAAGTTAAAATTGGAACGGTCAAAAGGCGAGACTCGTACTTCTTGGCGTAGCCGGTATCCCATAGCGAGTAGAAACGGCCAGTCCATGGAGCGATCCAACCTTTGTAGGTAAGGCCGACGATTGCTAGCGAGCCAAGTATGCCCGTTCCAATGACAGCAACAAAGAGTAGATTTTGGAATTGTTTTGAGGACAGGTGGGAACGGACAAGCTGGGCAAAGGCGATAATTTGGAGGAGGCCAAATACGCCTACGTGTTTGCGTCAGTAGATAGCGATACACATGAGAAGGAGAGCACTTACCCAAGGCCGCCATATGTTCACTAGTCTTGACAGGCTGGAAGCCGACGAATGGGACCTGCATACTTGCGAGGGTGCCAATTGCGTACCAAGAAGAGTACCCGACGTAGAGGCGGCTTGTGAAGCGACCCATAAGGATCAAAATCAGAGCATGTAAAGGGATCATGTTCGTGATAAATGCATAACCACCTAAATAAACTAGTTGATGCGCTGGAATTGTTACAAGGTGAAATACTCACCCCAGGCGGCCACCATATAAAAGTAGAATACGCCAGCGAGCATTCCGAAGAAAGCGCTCCCTTGTTTGAGAGCTTTGATCCAGCAGTAGAATGTGAACATAAGAAGGAAAATGGCGATGGCTTCATTGTCGTAGGAGCCAGCTACCGACCGTGATATGTACCCCGGGGCGATACCGATGAATGCTGCAGCAAGGAGACCGGCACTTTCGTCCTTCAATTCCTTTGTGAACCTGTACCTAGATGTTAGTCGAAAGAATTTCCAGTCTCACTATTCAGATTTACATATATGTTGCCCAAGCCGTAAGCGCGCTGAAACCGGGAGCAAGGAGCACACAAATGTTCCTGATATCGACAGGGAGGTTAAGTGCATGGAGTATGTTGTAGATGACGCCGCTGGTAGCCATGAGACCAGGGTATATGGTTCCTCCAACTACACGGCTGCAGCAAGTTAGTTTAACAACATCACGCTACCTTTGCCCATCTCAGCTTACCCTAATGGATACCACGCCGTGGGGTCGAACCAGTTCCAGAACTCCTGCAATTGAACGTCTAGCACCGTGTCGCGCTAAAATCGAAGCTTCACGTACATAGAATCCTTGTGACGCGAGAACTTTCGTTGCCCGGCTTTATAGCACGAATCTTCAGTCCGTGAAACTGCCGCTATGTCAGAATGGAACTCACAAGTTAAACCACGGGTCACTGAGCGTAACTTAGCCTTCAGCAGCAAATCACTGTGTTGAGTTCATTTTACTCACAATTCATGAATGATACTCTCAAAGTTGATCACAGCGAATAGTCGCGAAGCAATGGCAGCCCCGGAGATTAAGGCGAGTGTCACGATCCGTATAAGAGACGCAGTGTTAGTAACCGTGGCTTGTGAGAGGCCTGAAGGGAGTGGATAGGCCGTCGACATGGCCGTCAAGGTAAGGCCTTGTTGTCAAGTCCTAGATGATTTGAACGTTGTGGAAGCTGAAGAGTGTCGTCGACGTGTCGCAGTCACGGTGGGAAAAGGTAAATAGACGCGCGCGACCGACGCGAATGACTTTCAGGAGGCATAGGGGGACCTATTAGGAGTCTACGGAATGTGATGTGGGGGATTATTGAAATAGCCTAGTGACCCTAATAGAGTTCCATTGCGCTAAGCCACAGCCCAATCCACGGGTCTGTTTACCAGGCAAAGCGTAACCCTTGGACTTCGACAATCTCAGAGCGTCGATAACACGCAGGGGAATGCATAATATCTATTAGGCGACTAAAATTATGTTAGCTCTCGTCGCCGAGTACCTTTCGCCTCCTCTTATTCTCTTCCTCGTTTCTCTCTATGCCACGGACCACCTCTTTTTCCCAATCTGTCCAAAGCCAGACAGCACAATATTCGCTCACTCCCACAATAAACAACGCCACCACTTGACCTGAGTAGCATAGCACTAAGTTTGCCATTTTGAGATAGGGAAATCGCACCGACCTATCCAGAGCCCTTCAAGACCTAGACGCGTTGCGCCATGAAAAGCGAGGGTGATCCCTAGTGGAAGGGCTAGAACGTAATACGCCACAGCATTGAATATCGCTCCCAAGTGCTGCCGCCCTGAAGAACAATGTATTAATATAACGCAGAGTCAATAGAGATCTCGTTGACCTTGACCACGTAAGACGCCTCCGCAAGCGCCTGCGAGTCCGTCCGCGATTTGGAAGGAGGCTACGAGGGGCATAACTCTAGCAACTAGTGTGACTACGTGTTCATCGTCGCTAAACATATAGCCAAAAACCTGTCAACGGGTGAGCAAGCAGCAAGCATGTAAAACAGAAGCATACATCTTTTGTTAGGAGCATCGCAGTCATCACTAACGCCCCAACCACGACGCTGACGAAGGCTGACGCGTGGGCTGCACGTTTCGCATCGATTGCCGACCTATTTCCAATCAAATTTCCGACTCGTGTTGATGTAGCCACACCTGAATGAAATCAGAGATGAATGAAATGAAAGGCAGCCGGGATAAAACAAGATTCACCAATTCCAAACGGGATTGTATTCAAAACTGGGATCCGAACGGCGATTGAGTGTGTGAGATTAGGATTTATGGTGACCATGCGTACTTTGATCGGTCGTCATTATGACAGATTGAGCAGCTAATGATGTTGGACCCAGCCTGCCCGCAGCTAACGCCACGATCTCGAATGCAGCCCTAACTCAAAGTTTAATCAACCGATGACAAGTTAAGGGGGACACTTCATACCATTCAGTGCCTACCATCAGAATACCGGGTATCGCCAGTTTTAGAAAGGTGTAACAACTTCGCAATTCGAGGACTAGCCGTGGGCGAATACCACCCCAAGTTCCGTTTCGTTTGTGGATCTTGGACCGGGCGGTCACAAGAAGGAGCAGAATAAACGCGAACCAGTATGTGATCGACAAGGCCGTCGCTGAGCCCCAGAGGCCAAGCGATGTATAATGAGTAAGATAAATGTTCAATATGAGGTTGACAGGTGACGATACGACCAGAACCACAGTCGAGGCCCCCATGATACCTACAGACAATTACAGTTAGTAACGATGAATCCCCAGTGAGTTACAGCGTTACCTTGGCATTGCAAATACTTTTTTGTGGTTTCAAACCCGATGTAAGCCGGAGCACCGATTATGAGAATGCGTAGATATTGTTGTACGCCTTTGCTGAGTGCCTCAGTTTGTCCAAGTCGGAGTAGCAGAGGCTCCATGAAGGCCCACGCAACGCAAACCGGGATGAGTAGGGTCCACAGGAGGACCAAGCATCGCTGGAAGTGGATAGATAGATCTGTTCGACGGCTGCCGCCTGTGAAAGCCTGTGAACCAAGTGTGTCCAAGGCCGTGGTGCCGCCCAAAGCCACACACCATCCTGTCAACGGACCGTGGGATCATCTCCTTTTATGGGAGGAAGAGTTGGAGGAATATACTCGCCCGTTACAAACGCCAACATCAACGAGAAGGCAGCAATGGACAGTTCTTCAGGACCAAGTCGACCCACAATTAGGATGGAAGTTGATTGGATCGAATTTTGCAAGATGTAGGAAAGAATCACTAAAGGTTGACGCAACGTTCAGCGCGGTAAGATCAACCGCACAAATCCAATGGGTCAAGGACGTCGACTAACCAGGCACAGCGTCTACGAACAGCGACCAGGAAAGGTTAAGGTCCAAGGCATTTGCCCCGGCATGCTGGAGCTGCCCTGGACCCAGTACCGTCGACGACGACGACGACGAGGGGGCCACGTCGCTCGGAGGGCTTGTGCTAGCAGCATGGGTTTCTCGGAGTAAGGGCTCGCGCTCATTGGACTGAGAAGGGGGGTGAGACATTGGGACAATCTTTCGTTAACGTTCAGAGGAGAGCTGACGAAATTAATAGATGACCCAATGAAGGCCCCTGGCCTTTAACCAGTTCGAAGGCTCCTGATTATGAGCTCCTCGTGGTAGCAAGTTCCGACTATGTATGTACGGGTTTGCATTTCGTTAATGACTATCCTTTTGCGCTTAGATCCTTCGTATCGGGTGCTGATGAAAGAATACTGACATAGCTTATCAGGTTTGACCCGCATCCTTGTTTCCGGTCTCAAAAGGTTGTCTACTTGTGACAATCGATCACCTCAAGGCAAACATGACTCCACCGTTGCCATATTTCGCCTTCCTTTTCCCTGAAGAGCCCTGCTAATGCCGTTACCAAAAGTCATGCGGTTGAACAGATGGTATCTCCCATTTTGGTCATTCACTGGAACGCCACGCTGGTTTTTTCGCCATAAATTGCGGCCACTTTCCCTGAAATCAATAGTTAACCATTCACCCCAAGAATGAACTTTGCTCTCCTCGCTTCTCTCCTGTCTGTCGTCTTGGCCCACGATGGCCATGACCACCAAACACAAATCCCCCTCGACTATGTCAAGTTCCCTCTCGAGGGTGCTTACCACACCAGGACCGGAGAAGGTAAAGGGCCTTCTATGACCATGTGCAACGTCACTGAACCTATGGTCGGACAGTGACCGCCGATGCCATTTTTGCTGGAATCACCACCTTCGCCAAACTCCCTTATGTACAATGCCTGACAAGGGACAGAGATGTGCCTTTCGATATTGCTTTTATAGGTGCACCATTTGTAGGTATAATATCCTCTAGGCTATATCGCTTCTACTCACCCTGGCCGCAGGATACAGGAACTTCGTACCGTCCAGGCGCTCGATTTGGGCCTGCAGGAATACGTGCAGGCTCCCGTAGACTTACTCTATATGGTGGATACAATGTCCCCCTCGAGGTAAACCCCTTTCGAGCAGGTCTGGGAATCGTGGATTGTGGCGACATCCCAGTATCGTGAGAGTTCAGCCTTCCTTCATGAATCAGGGTTTAATCATTCTCGTGTAGTCCTTACGACAACAAGTACGCTATCCAGCAAATCGAAAACGGCCACAAATCGCTTCTGCAAAGAGAGGCCCTCTCCCCCTTAGAGCATGACTCAGCTACGGGCAAGAAGCTAATTCCCATCTCTTTGGATGGGAAGTCGCATCCTCGTATCATAACGCTCGGTGGAGATCACACTATTGTCCTCCCCTTGTTGCGATCGATCAACTCGGTGTACGGCCCTATTTCCGTTATTCACTTCGACTCCCACCTCGGTACATACTCCTCCTTCAGTTAACCTCCAGCGAACATTTACGTCTAATACTACGCAGATACGTGGAAGCCCGCTGTCTTTGGTGGCGCACCATCAGATCAAGCCGCCATTAACCACGGCACATATTTCTACTGGGCAAGCCAAGAAGGACTTATTAAGAACGGTTCCTCAATTGCAAGTGTCATCTCTACCTTCCTGCACGTTCCTTGAGAACTTTGATCCTAGTTTATCCTTTGAACAGCACGGGGCCATAAGAACCACACTTTCTAGCCTCGAGGACTATCATAACGATGACGCTGCGGGCTTCCAACGAATTGAAGCTCGTGAGATTGACACCATCGGTTGGTTCTTCGAAAACATGTTTAGAACTTCGCTTATATAGTTGCCTACAGGGACCGAAGGTATTATCAAGAAAATTCGTGAGACTGTTGGCGACAGACCTGTATACTTATCCATTGACGTATGTTTATCATTTCTATATTTTACCCCAGTCTAATTGTTATGACCTTCAGATTGATTCAATTGACCCTGCATTTGCCCCTGCTACGGGCACACCTGAAACTGGGGGGTGGTCCACGAGAGAGCTTCGGACCATCTTGAGGGGTTTAGATGGACTCAGAATTGTATCGGCAGATATCGTTGAAGTAGCACCTGCCTACGACACAAATGCCGAACTAACCACAATGGCTGCGGCCGACGTGAGTACCATTCCCACTCACTGGACCCTCACTCTCATAACACTGCCTTAGGTTCTACTTGAGGTCCTGAGCGTCATGGTCAAGACGCCCCTGGGCAAAGTGGCAGAGTAAGCGATGCCGTGAGCGCTGTTCCGAGAACCGGAGGGGGTGCCGTCTTTGTTTTTCCGAAACCCTCTGGGAATTTTGCATTACATGCCGAAGACGACCATACTTGTTTCCATAAATTCCTCTCTCAAATATATCGTGCATTCTTCGTCTAAACGGGTGAAGATTATAGGCGAGACTGCTGCTAAAGGGCGATAAGAATAAGAGGAACTTAAAAACCTTGTTCCCATCAGGACAGAAGAATGGCAAAAGGTACCCTCGATCAAATACAATTGGTTCCAAAACCAGCGAAAACTGTGCGAGCCATTGATACTTTTGAAGTCGGTTCGCGATACCAAGATGTAACGGGCGACCCTACCAAGAGAACACTTCCACGTTCAAAGACTGCGTAATGCGTCAATTGTCACAAATCAGGTTATGAAATGGCTTATTAAGAGTCGAGGCGATCGCCACGTTCTTGATCAGCTGTCTATGCATGCTCCTTCGGTACTACGTTGTAGGTGCTATCGGGATCATCTACATTCTTGATTGGCCCATGGAACCATTTCCGAGCGGAAACAATCCACCAAAAGCTGGAAAAAATGAAAACGGCCATGATAATAACAATGGCATAATCTGGCGTGTTGGATTAATTAGTAACAGCTAATTGGGGAGTATTTCTCTGCACATACTCATATCCGCAGCCTCTGGCGATCGTCCAGAAGGAAAGAATAGCATGATAACCATGAACATCACCCATGAGACCGCAATGGTTCCTATTGGAATTGCCCATCGCCCGAGACTGAATGGCCCTGGGACTAGCTTGGTCCGACCAGATGTTATCCTCAAAAAGATGGGCGCGGCGTAGGACGTATACAATCCAATCACAGAGGACCTATGAGACAGCGGATCGATCAGATATTTGCATTGATGCAAGAATCGGCATACCCAGCAAGTGATTCCAATGCGGTTTCCGAGAAGCCAAGGACGCCGCAAACAGCAGACACAACAATTACAAACCACACGGCATTCACGGGAGTCTGAGTGTAAACATTTATCTTTTTCCACAGTCTGGAGCCCGGCAGTGCGTTGTCTCGCGCGAAGGCAAATACAACACGTGAAGCATCGACCCCTTGTGCGGCGCCGGTGACATACTTGACGGAATGAAATGAATTAGCTTCCGTAAGGGAAGCGGGCGATCGCGCACCTGGACCACGATAATCAGAGACCAGATCGCCAGCATGCCGCGTTTACCAAGTACATCAAGGAATAGCTGTGCCATCGGCAACGGCAAAGGTGACTCGAGTAGCGCTGTCACCGAAGTGGTGGCAAACGAAGCGGCTATCAATAACAACCATCCCAGGCTAGCTGTGGCGCCAACCCCAACGATGATTGCAATCGGTGCTGCCCGCGCCGCCCCCGAAACTTCTTCAGCTATGTGAGCAGCAGAATCATCTTATTACGTTGGATGGATAAGTCAGTTGCATGGTGAGGAGTATTCATGGACATACATCCAGTCAATGTCCACATAGGTGCCGTAAAGGCCAAGATGAAGGCCCATCCATCTGGAAACTTTTTACAGCGCCGCGATGGTCCACAAGCACGATGACTCACTGCTTGTCCAACCTGTATTATTCTCGAACAACGTAAACGCATCTTTGGTGGAGACTTTGTCGTCGCCTGATACAACCAGAAGCAAGATAATCGCTGCAATTGTAGTTCCCACTTGAATTATCCGGACTGTATCAGATAGTGCGAATGACGAGAATGAACATCCTTACCGGTGATCAGCACGTAAAATAGGTTTAACCGGGCTAGTATGTGTGTAGCAGCAGAGCACACGACGCCATGGGAAAATAGAATGGCAAGAAGGATGCCGTACGTTGCCCCAGCCGAAAGGATGATGGCGCCGTCAGATCCAACTGCAATTGCCGAAGCAATCATCTGGGCGCTGAAAGTCAACGGACATCAGTCCCAAACCAATGGGAATGCCGTATTTAAATACCATGTGTAATCAATGCCACAGACTAAAGTCACCTGTAGTCGAAAGCCCGTAAGCTTGTAAATCCGGAAGCAGAGCATGCGATAATACCTACTTGCCCAGTGATGTTTGCCCATCCGGTAATCCAACTGGCTAGGGCAGAATACTTTGGGGGAGCGAGCTTCGCAGAGAAGTAGTACAAGCCAGCACTTGTACTGAAGCGTATTTCTGCCGAATGAGGCGACATACGCAGGGATATCAAGTTCACACTCACGGCATGGAAGAAGCTAGCTCGGCCATGGAAAGGGCTATCGTCGCCACAAACAGGCTCGGAATCAACCAACCGAACACCTACAAACCAATTAGCTAAATCATTTGGGATGCTCAAGGCATACCATGCCGACATGACCCCCTGGTAGAGTTGCACTCATTTAGTTGCCAGGTCATCTAAATACTGACATGGCGTACCGCTGGCCAATCCAAACGATAAGGTGGATGAGACAGAGGCCACAACGCCCATAATAGAGAAGGCAAAGGCTACTGTCTCTGTCATCTGAATACCAAAAGAGTTCAGCCATTATAGTTGCGAGATTCTAACAAGAAGATTACCGAGAATTCGCGTTTGAACTCGCTTTTATAACCAAGTTTCGCTAAGAGAATGTTATCTGCATTACTAACTGAATGTCCTACATCCCGAACGATTTCCTGGCTAACAGTCACTGCGTCCAGTTTCTCTGATTTCGCCATGTTGGTTGTGTATGTCGAAGAAGGCGGGGGAAACGATAAGAGAGTATGTCGTTCCCCATTTTCTAGACAGCAGCTGGCCCACCGCGCGGAGACATCTTATTTTTGAATGGGCAAATAGATAACACTCGGTAAGATTAATGATTAATGATCGTTGGCGAAATGGGTCTCAGGAAGGAAGTCGGAGTTAAAGGTGTGAAAATGGCGATAGGAACCTCGCCCCAGTGGCATGCTGCAAGCATTCAAATTTGAGCGTACTGCGTACATACGCAGTAACGAAGCAGCAGTCCATTTCTTTACACAAAAGCTAGATGGATTCGATAAACTTCCTTCATAACATATACTTCCTTATCAATATCCCCGGATCCTTGGACCCACGATGCCATCCACTGCAACGATATCATCAAACATTATCATCAAGTGCCTCCACGAGCCGTATCACATCTTCCCACTTCCCGTCGTGGCCCCAGTTCAAGGACCCGTCCTTGCCTAGAATTAGGATTTTGTCCACACTACCCGAAAGATTCCCATGTTCCACGTCTCGAATTTCCTTCGCAATTGTGTCCAACCAACGCCGTGCAATGTCTGCTTGCCTCGGGTCCAATACTGGTAATCTCAACGCCCATAGCAATCTATCGGTACCATGGGTAACATACCCTAGATTGAGAATTGTCTAGTTACTGGTATCAGGTTGCAAGGGAGTCGGGCACGCACCTTCTGGCCGGTTCTGTTCCGGGGTCCATTGTATTTCGTACCTCAAGATAGGGAAGCCAGCTTTCATGAAATCCCTTGCAAAGAGCCGCACAGGCAGGTGGACTTGGAGGTTGCTCAGGATCTCGCCGAAAAGCTTCTGCACTTCGCTTGGACTCGAGTTGCTTGGTATAGTTCTGTGTAACTGAATCATCCGGGAGACGAGATCCTTAGAGAAATATCGCTCGAGATTGGGTACGATATCTTCGACCTGGGGCACTGGGTGAGCAATTGAATAGAGATACCATTCCTCGGTAAGATCGCCGATGATGATGCTCTTCACACCCTTCTCCCCCAAACCTTGCGCCAATCCCCCACTGCGCTGCCAAGACATGGGGTCAGGAGACTCAGCAATCCATTTGCCATCGAGACAACCACGGAAGGTGCCAAATTCAGTTCCAACAGCACCCGTTTCAATAACACGGGTTATTGAGGACCACGGCGTTTGTCCAGGATCCCGGAGCGTGGCGAGAGTGCTAGGATCGTCCGGGTCTAACCCAAGAGCCTTACAGAGGGCACGATACTGGGGGCGTAACTCCGAGGGAGTCCTTGGATTGGTGCTGAGGGTTAAAACGTCAATGGAAACGTTACGTTACGAGAGGGGTCGCGGACACCCATGCCGGAGCTCAACTTACAGAATTGCATTGGATTGTAGGACCGCCGAATTGAAAGGTGCATTGTGGCCCGGGGGTAGGCGAGAAGCGTGGTGTAGTATCTGGTGGACAGAATGCGCACCTACAACGTATATGTTTGAAGTTAGCGTATTCACAGTCCGCGATGAATCAACAACGGACCCGCAGAAAGACCAGTTATCTGAATATCGCTCGGATCACCTAGTAGATGTGAGTGCAGAAGGAGCGTCTCAGTGTATTTAAGCTACCTTCCCAGGCACTGATGTTATCCTTAATGAACTCCAGCGCCAACCATTGGTCTTTGAAACCGAAATTACCATCCACCTTGGGGTTGTCGCACGCAAGAAAGCCGAAAGCAGACAACCGGTAACCGATATTCACCCAAACTTCGGACCTCTCTGCCGCAACGTATTGTGCCTGCGAGCTCAAGGAATGAGGGGACCCGAATTGAAGGAAGCTGGGTAATTGTATTAGGCAGGGCTAGGTTGATCACAAGAAACTGTAGCAGCGACTTACCCCCCATGAATGTACACCCTGACTGGGTATTTCTTACCTGACGGGAAAGCTGGGGGTGCGACGATGTTCAAGAACAGGCTTGTTTAACGCATATAGTATGACCTTGCGTCGTGTCTCACAGATTTTATTTGCTTACGGGTTTTCGGTGGGCTTTCCGAACCCGACCTTATCCTCGAACGGAGTGCCTGCGGATGAGGAGGGAGACCATGGGAAGACTAAATCATTGTATCCGTTGTGGCAACAAACCTTTCGCTTGACCGTCGTTTCTTGGCTGTACCGCGTCTGTCAACAGAAGTCACCCTGAAATGACCGAGACTAGATATTGTGATAACCTTACACGAGGCTTCCTCGATATGTTCCTTGTTGTCATACCGGAAATGAGTGGGTAGGGGCTCAGGATCTTGAAAGCGCTTGGGCGGTAAAGCGTATGCGACCTCTGCATCTACGTGGTAAGCACACGGGAAGGATCGAGGAGTACTACAAGTAAGTACCTAGGAATACCGCAGCACCATTCACAGATCGAGCCCCTATGACGGGCCCATATAGCGTTTCGGCCACCACTCTGGCTGAGCTCTTCAGTTCGTCGTGGAGATGAAGGTTAGCCATGACAGTGTAGTCCAACTTAGAGGCAGGGTCCAATATCTCTAGCCGTAACCGGTGATTACCACGACCGGTCGATGACAATGGTAAGCCAACTAGTATTTTGGTTCTCATGATCACAAATATGATAGCATCCTGTGTGCGCATCTGGCAGAGCATACACTCTACATCTCTTGAGAAAACCCTTTAGGCATCTTAGCCCCGACGGATGGCTGCGCCCTTGCCCGAAAGTCCCTCGACATTTCGATCAGAGGGACCCAGTGAACGTTCTCGTGAGTGTTGACCCACTCGATGAAGCGCTCCTGTCCCAGGAGTTAGTACAGGAATAGGCATTGAGCGCCCAATGATAGGGTATCTGAGCGCTCACCAGCATGAGAAGCACATGAGGACGCCTGGTATTAATAAATGTCATTCATGTATGTGATATGTAGGAGCCTGGAGAGAAGTCTTACCCGCTGACATCGGGATGAATGGTGATCGGGAAGACAAACTCTTCTTCCTCCCTGGGTGGAGTATCAGCAATTTCACCAACGAATATCTGGGAATACCTGACCGGTAATAATAAGTGAACATATCTTTCCACAGCTGTTCAACATCTCTGGCGTTTACCTAAACTTGAAGTGAGAAGAAAAGGATAAGTGGAGATAGAAATTTACCCAGCCGTGCGAGTTTGGGCTTGACTTGATGAACCTTTGGGACTGTCAGAGTAGTGCCATAGCGCACCGATTTGCAAGCCTACTAACATCATTGGTGGCAAATCATCAAGAGACCTAGGATTTAGGTCGGAAAAGATGCTATATCGAATGATAGCGAATGTCGGAGTCTCACCAATTCGCTGGGATGCAGACTAGCCCCGTCTCGTTCCCCTTCTGAAGTGGCTTCATCCATGTGCTAGCTTCCTTGGAGTAATCGATTTTTGTCCAGGTATCTTGATCCCTCATGTAATAGGCCTGGCAACTGACGTGTATAAGTCATGGATCAATGAATTATGAGGTTAAACCCATCTTGGACGTACTCATGTGCCATTCCCGAATGGTCTTCGCGGGCTCGGTGAGTGTGGTATACCCCGGAGAACGCAACCCAGCTCACCGTATTCGATACCCCTCTCTAAGAGCAGGTCATTCCCTTCCTTGCTAATCTCCCACCAAGGGGCAACGCTTCCCTGTGCTCATGATGTCAGATAAATGATACGATGAGTCAATTCACGACGTGACACTGACTTTCGGAGGAACCCCATGGTTAAAATCAGTTAATAACTTAAAGGTATGCTCCAAAATATCCCGCTGCTGCTCGTAGGTCATGGCAATAGGGTTCTACAGGCAATGAGGAATAGCAATTAGTAGAGAGAAAGATCAACTTACTTCGTGAGAGTACCCATGAAGGCCTCTGGACAAATTTCAGAGTGTGTAGCAATGATATGCCGTTACTTACATCTCATGGCCTGCATCTCGAACGGCGGCCATCTGCGTGGGGAATGTTTCGAGACTGTGCCCTAATGGTATCAGAAGTCAAGATGCGGATTTGGGACCGGGAGTAACAAGGGGGTACCAGGGATGAACCAAGTCGTCTGAATGGAATATTTTTCGAACAGTTTCAATAATCGGGGTGTGCCGACTTCGCCTGCAAACATTCCCTACAGTGAATCATCAGACACATTCGTACCGGTGACAAGAATCCACATACACGCGAGATATCTAATGGGGAGTCTTCACCTCCATAGGAACCTAGCCTGTCAAGCGTCAATCGTGAACAAGACAAGGTAGAAAGCCACTCACCAGCCGGCCACGGCGTCGACGTCAACGCCAAAACCGATAAGCACTTTCTTTGCAGGCATTGAGAGAAACTTGCAGACAACTAGGCTGCGCTTATCGTCCTTACATTCACGCCGCTATTCGAAATTCCTGTGGTTGGAACCCCTGTCCCATGTGCAACAATCTGTGCGAACGATTTGAGTTCCTGGGAGGTGGCTCGATGGGCGATTAGTTCCTCCGCACGCCGAATGTCGTTTTTTGAAATCTCGACCATAATCCACGAGGTTTTGGCTATCTCTTCTGATACGGTGGAATTAGTCTATCCCGGTTTAATAAATCAAACATACAATGAGCTAGAAGATGTTCTCGGAGGATCGACATCATCCTCTCGACATAGACGTTGGTCTACAGACTACAAAACCTCCGAATATGAAATCGAGACTCATACATAGATACACGTTACGGTGCCTTTGGTAAAGCGAAGCTGCCGCCCATTCGTCGCCATAGATAAATCCTATTCCTCACGATGGAGCTGAGAAGGGGGCAGTCATTACGGTGTTTCCTGTCAAGAAGAATGGAACGCACCACACTAGCCAGTTGTGTCCACTCTTTCAGGGTTCGGTAATACTCGTCCCTCCCTTCGTCGACCGGAATATCTGGGTGCCATATGACGAATGACGAAAATGACGAAGTAGGAACCAGAATCCGCTTCGCATTCTCGTCGAGATCCGGGGGTATACCATGTTCCTCCTGTTCCTCTTCCACTGGTTTCTTCGACTTCTTCCCTCCCTGCGCCTTCGACGAACCCCGTGTCACCCGACCCGTAGATGATTCCCCACCCTCAGCTCGTTCATCCCTCACATTCTTCCTTTCGCCTTCAGAGGATTCTTTCGGTTTCAGCACTACGCCCACGTATCCCGTAGGTAGCTCCACGTTCAAGCCTTGTATCGTTCTACCTCTGAATGTAGATATAAACCGGGTCTTCGATGACGATGACGATGCCGTTTTATCTTCCAGCACAGTGGAGGAGAGGTGACCATCGACGTTCATTCTTGAGTCACTTGGTGCATTCGTCTTCGACCCAGTGGTGTCATCTTGTGTGTCCGAAACGGTGCTATCAGTTTTGTTTGTGCCCGATGGTGCTCCTATCGCTTCTTTTGCCGCGTCAACCATAAAATATGTAGAGATTGGTGCGGGACCATCATGATTGAGGTGAAACGGCATGAGGTTTACTTTGCATTCGGGCAGCTGGACTGAAGTATGTTTTATCTGGATGGATGCGGACATTGAGGAATGCGACTAACTTCGAAGTTCAGAAACTGCCGCGCGACGCGTTTGTCACACCACGTGCATGTGACGCCCAAGACTTGTTCCCACAGTCAGTACTTATATTCGCACGGTCACTTCCAGGTAATTACTTTGCGCAGTCGTCATTGTACCCTTTAACCTGGACCTCTTTTGTTTGCAGCCCAGCAGTTCCCCGTAGCGCGATTGAGAGATGTCCCTACAGCTCAATCTCTCCAGCCCGGAGATTGACGAAACTTACAGGAAGATCGTGACAGGACAAGAGATCAATTGGGTTATCTACACATACGAGAAGGGCACCAATGATCTCAAAGTCCAATCGATGGGTGTTGGAGGTTTAGAAGAATTGGAAGATGAATTCTCGGATGGGAAGTAAGTCCTGACGTCTAGTAGCTTCGTGTTATGTTACTGAACGGCGTCGTAGGATTCAGTACGCGTTTGCGCGGGTAAAGGACCCAAATGTAAGCCCTGATGCGCAGCGTTTGTCAACGAGACTGATCACCATTCATACAGAGTCAACTCAACAAATTTGTGCAAATCAATTGGTGCGGAGAGGGCGTGCCAGAATCGAAGAAGGGTCTCTTCCATACCCATGCTGCGACCGTCGCCAACTTCCTTCGTGGATCGCACGTCGTCATCAGTGCTCGCAGTGAAGTCAGTATCTGCAATCATATAACGTACCATATGGATGCCCTAACTTCCTATACAGTCAGATGTTTCTCCAAGCGTAATCATGACCCGCGTTGAAGCAGCTTCGGGAGCCAAATACTCTTCGCACAAAGAAACGGCTAGGAAATTCGAGCCCATTACACCCGTCGGTACAAGTTATACGCCGGTCGGTAAGGTGGATATCGCAGCACTGAGGAAGACGCCTTCTGCTCCAAATCCAAGTGCTGCCGCAAAACCCCCAGCGCCGACTGCACCCCGACCAGCGTTCGGTGCTCCCAGGCCCGCTGTTGGCACCCCTTCGGCTGCATCGCTGTACGGTAGATCAGCAGCCGCCCAGAATGCTCCAGAAGACGCGTGGCCTGAGGACAAGCCAGCCGCAGCTACGCCACCACCACCACCACCGCCCGCCGCTTCGCGCCCACCCGTCCTTCCAAGTGCCCCGAGGCCCGCTTTCAGTGCTATGGTAGTTATCAAAGCTTTTGTATGAGCACCTTTCGACTGATTCCATTGTCTAGGCGCCTAAACCTACCACTGCTTCTCCTATTGTCGCTGCACCTGCCGTTTCCTCACCTGCTGTTACTTCCTCGACTGTGCCCACTAAACCAGCCGAGGAAGATCGCATCGGACCTGTGGGCACTGCCTATACCCCCGTTTCCCTCCCAGCGCCCAAGAAACTGAGAAATCCCTTCGCTAAATTTGAACAGACCCAACAAGATACTCCGCCGCCACCAGTACATTCGTCAGGTGGATCAAAGAAGCTGACATGGAGTGAGAGACAAGCCTTAGCAAAGAAACAAGCTGAGGAGGAAGAGGCTAAGAGTCGCAGTTCGAGCTTTAATCCTGCCACAGCAGCTCCCGTGCCTGCTCCAACATTTAAACATGCGGCGCCATCGTTTGGTAGAGCGGCCGTTCCCCATGCACCTCCAAGGAATTATGGTGCGGTCGCCGGCGCAGCTGCTGTAGGAGCTGCAGTTGGTGCTCTGGGCACGGCAGCGTACGCTGCTGCCTCAGAGCCTGAGGAACCTGTTCCTGAAGAAGCCGCTCCGGTGAGTTGGATTCTGCAGACGAGACTCTGATGTTGAATACCGTCATATTTAGCCTCCGCCTCCCCCGCCTCCTCCCCCGCCTCGCCCTCTTGAACCAGAGCCAGAACCTGAATATGAACCTGAGCCAGTCGCGGCGCCCCCTCCGCCCCCTCCGCCACCACCACCACCACCGCCGCCGCCTCCCCCTCCTGTCCTAGAGGCGGCACCTCCTCCACCGCCGCCTCCGCCTCCACCGCCTCCTCCTCCAGTTGCCCAGGTACGTGTTCCTCGTTCTTCGTTAGCTATTAGACTCATATTACATAGATGGCTGAAATGACTATTGACCCGGAGCCGGAGCCAGAACCTGGACACCCCCAAGTGTATCACGGCGAAGGAATTTGTGCCGTCGCCACTTACGAGTATCAGGTTTGTACCGGACTCAACCTTCTATCCTTGTGTAACATCGACCCTGACGATGATACAATCTGCAGGCGGAAGATACTGGTGAGATGAGCCTGGTCGAAGGCGAGCTCATTGAGCAGATTGAAGAAATCGATGAGGGGTGGTGGAAAGGTGTTGGGCCTGGCGGAAAGACAGGGATGTTCCCAGGTGCGATTTTATGAACTTCTTAGACGTCAATATGAGGTTACTGACTTTTCCTGATCACACACAGCGAACTATGTCGAACTCGTTGAGACGGTTCCGTTGCCAGATGCAACAGAAGCTGTTGCTCCTCCGCCCCCACCCCCGCCCCCACCTCCACCTCCACCACCTCCTGTATGTTCTCCAATGTTTCTGCATCTCTAAATATCTCTAAAATTGATCTATGTTGTTTCAGCCACCAGCTCCTGAACCTGTAGCTGCAGTGCCTCCTCCCCCTCCCCCTCCGCCGCCACCTCCCCCTGGTCGCCCAGCCATAGACGAAGGCATCGTTGCAGTTGCATTATACGAGTGCGTTTCTCCATTCTCATCTAAGACGCTCTCATCATAATTCGCTTGGGACTTCAGGTATGATGCTGCAGAGGACAACGAAATATCGTTCCGCGAGGGCGAGCGCATCACCGAGATCGAAGCAGCCTCGGATGATTGGTGGCAAGGAAAGAACACCGCAGGCCAGGTTGGATATTTCCCTGGTGAGTGTTGGGATTCATCCGAGCACGGTGAAATTTAGCTAATTGGTGGCTGATTCGTCGCACGTAGCTAATTATGTCGAAGTTCAAGAGTGAACCTGCGAGACTGGGGAAAGAGACTTGAGAACGGGCAAAGGAGTGTGTCGTAATGGCAGCACAATGGATTCTTCGGACTGTTTATGTAGATTGGACTCGAATAATTCACCACAGATAGCGAGCCTCCTTTACTTAAGTACGACGAAGGTAGAACCTCAATGCCTCTCTGTGTTTATCTGTGGTTGGGCCTATTCTGCTTACGGCTACAAACAGTAACATATAACATACAAGTTTCAGGCCCGTGACTTCGTCACGCATGGGACTCAGGCTTCCATGATAGATACTATGCTTCATCAATGCTTCGTACCCCATCACTACTTCGTACCCCTTGAACTACTCACCCATTGTCTCCTCCCCTGCTAAGATATTCTCGGAATATGATGTAGCAATGCCTACGCACGCATTCGTACCACTTTGAAGCAATACACGACCATATTTCAAACAGTAGAATCTTGGCTGGTGTCACGCTCTGCCGCAGAAGCCGCTGCGGACAATGAATCTGGGATTGATTTATCCTGCGTGAGTTCCAATACCTTTTCCGCTCGTCCCTGTGATCGCCAAGTCGGAGTGCAACACTGTGACGTGACGTTTGTGACGCTACGAAGTAGTGATGGGGTACGAAGCATTGATGAAACATAGTATAATGAAACTCAAATCAGAGACTGTGGCTTTGGGATACATATATGAATCCCATTCATTGAATACATCTTAAAATCTTGTTGATGTCCCATGCCTTTGGTGCATGACAATCCCTTCCACCCTCCCCTGTTTTCCTGTTCTAGTGCTCCCATTGAATCAGGGGTGGTGTTATAGGTGCATCCAGGAGGCCCCTTAGGGGCTACTGACGGGCGTTCCTGGCTACGAACTCGGGCTGCGCATATACACGGCTACCCGGAGACTTGTCACGGACTTGTACATATTCGAGCACGCTGTACGTATTCCTACCGGACTCATTGCTGTTTCATGAACGCGCAGACGCCACATGTTCCCCAGTATATATTCCTGTACCATACATACAGTTACCTTATGTAGTTCAAATATTAGTTCCTTTCCGCACTCGCATCCTCGCCTCTCTATTGAAGTCTCCCCGTCGCATCCCCTCACCTCCGCCCGTACCCTCGGTACCTGTGTAGGACTCCCTCCAGAAAGACAGGGCACGCAAGAGTGTGGGAGGCGCAGCCAGTAGCTGAAGCCAAGCCTGTACGTCCTTGCTCCCCTCGTTTCCCTCCGTGCCTCTACGTGGAACCACGCACCCGCGGGTCCATGTATCCCAAGCCCCCGCAAGTGTGACTCTTAACACAATTGTACTACCACAAAATCATAGTCAAGTTGTAAGTCACTCTGAGAGGTTTACTGTGTAGATGTGTAAATGGGTACTGAATATTCTCATCTAACTTCCTCTCCTCTCCTCCATACTCCCTTTCTCTCCTCTATCTCTCCTCCTCTCCTCTTCTACTCATACTCCCTGATCTTCTCCTATACTTGAATACTATACTCCTATCTCACCCCACTACTGTCAAAATCCAAGTTATTTGATCATGATCATCTTTTGCTCTCACCACCCCCCCTGTTTTGTGACTATCTTAAAGATGTTCTGCTACATAAGCAGCTTACTTATCATGAGTCTTGAGAGATTCAATGGGAAGAGTTAATTCTGATCCCTCAACTTAACTGATAATTGAAATATTCTACACAAAAGCTCTGAAGTACTAATGTCTTTATTGCATACTTACAATAAGTTGTGGTCATTTACAGTTGAGTAGTTCCTCCTCTATTTCCTATTTCCTGTTCATCCACAGCCTCCTGGTGTACCCTTACTAATCCTGGCCACTGTTCTGATCTCAATAACATATGTCTATCTAAAAGATTCATATTGTAGACTTTTCACCCTGATTTACATTGAGAGTGTAAGGGCAACCTCAAGATGGCCGACAGCGCAGGCCTAGCAGAGGGAGAATCCAAAGAGAACAGGATGGGGATTCTCCATGCTAGGAAGCGAAGTATATACTGTAGTAGCGTGGGAGGAATGAAGGGTAACTGTACAGTACACCAGCCACAGGTACGAACGAATATCACAAGGTACGAGGGGGCATGTGATAATGAAGTGGAAGGGGAATGTACAGGAGCCGTGCCAGCAACCTGGGGGAGTGGGGACAAGGAATAACAAAGTGGGAAAGGAAGATGGAGGTAGCCCGGACGAGCCCCGAAGTGTATCTATGAGTCCGAGCGAGTCCGAGCGAGTCCGAGGCGTCCGAAGCGCGGGAAGACTTTGGGGTCACCGGACGAGGCTCGGATGCGAAGGGAGTGAACAGAAGGGAAGCGGAAAGGAAAGGGGACGAATGGAAAGGAAAGGGAATGAAAGAAAGAGGGAAGGGACGAGGAGGAAGGGGACAGGACAGGGGAAAAGGGGAAAATAGGAGTGTCCCCTTACATCACCCCCCCTTCAAGGTTGCGGCGACCCGACGCAAAGATTCCTGCCTGCCGCGCCATGAATTCACCAACCCCGAAACTCCGGATTGCTGCGAGAAGATGTCGAAGTACGATTGCGCAGAGCCCGGAGCCTTCCGACTACGCCAACGCTCCCAGGACTGGTCCAGTGCTGCAGGAGTCATCCGGAGAGGTAGAGCAGTCGTCGGATTCATCGGACTCGTCCGGAGTACGCGTACTGCATCTGGATGACGATCATGGAAGTCCTTGACCTTCCGGGCAGCATGCTGGAGGTTGCTCGCGGGCTCCCAGGAGTCGTGCTCAATGCCATAGCCTCGCCAACGCACCAGATACTTCAGGACCCGACCGAACCGTCTGCTATTTCGGACCTCTTCTACCTCATGCTCCTCTTCTCCGTCAACGAGCTGCGGAGGTGGCGGAGCGACAGGGCGTCTACCCGGGATGGGGTCCGGAACGAAGGGAGAGAGTTTGACCACCGGGAAGACGGGATGGAGACGGGATAAGCCCGGAGGGAGCTGGAGTCGGTACGCTGCCTTGCCAACCTTCCGGACGACCTTGTAAGGACCGAGTCGTGCGTGTCCGAGTTTCCGGGAGGGTCGGGCAAGGTTGATGTCCGACGAGTCCAGCCAGACCTTGTCACCCGGTTGGTACTCCGGAGCAGGAGTCCGACGCTGATCGTAGTAGCGCTTCATGTCGTCCTGAGCCTTGACCAATGCGGAATGAGCCTCGTCGACTGCGGACTTCATCCGGTCTACGAACTCGTTTGCGGACTCCATCCGAGACGGTGGTTGGTGAGGTTCGAACCCGAGACGAGGATGACGGCCGGTATCCAGGAGGAAGGGTGACTGCTGAGTGGACGCATGGACCCGGTTGTTGTACGCGAACTCCGCCATAGGCAGGAGGCGAGCCCAGTCGTCCTGGCGCTCTCCAACGAAGATCCGGAGATAGGACTCGAGTTCCTGGTTAGTCTGTTCCGTCTGTCCGTCGGACTGAGGGTGGTACGCAGTGGAGGCAGCCAGCTTGATTCCGAGCATCCGGTAGACTTCTCGGGTGAACTCTGCGACGAATTGTGGACCCCGGTCGGACACAACAGACCGAGGGAGTCCGTGCAGCTTCCAGACGTTCTGCAGGTACAAGTTTGCGGATCCGAGGGCAGACACTGTGGTGTGAGTCGGAATGAAGTGGGCGCGTTTGCTTACGGAGTCGACCACATTCATGACAGCATCAAACCCATCGGACTCCGGAAGCTCGACGATGAAGTCAACACTCAGGCGATCCCAGCGTTCATCCGGAATGGGAAGCGGATGGAGTTCACCCATGGGCGGATGCCTTTGGGCCTTCGTCCGGAGACAGAGGTCGCAATGGCGGGTGTAGGATCCGACGTACCGGGACATGTTGGGCCACCAGTAGCTGCGCGAAACGAGCTCGAGGGTCTTCCACCTGCCGGCGTGTCCTGCGACCTTGGTGTCGTGGTGCTGAGCTACAATGGTCCGACGCAAGTCCGGTGAGTCCGGAACATAGATCTTACCCCGGAACATCAGGAGTCCGTCCGATTGAGACCATTCCGCGCTTCGGACTGTCTTGCGACTGCCCTGGGCCTTCTTCAACTCCTCTGCCGCCTTTGCCACTGCATCTTCAAACTTCGCATTCCGCACTCCAGTCCGGATAGCCGTGAGGATATCCTTCTCCTCCCCTTCAAGAGTGACACCCGTGGCACGGACGGCAAAGTAGGACGGCTTAAGTAAAACCACATCCTTGTTGTCATCCTTACCATCCGAGTGATCCGAGCGGCGCGAGAGAGCATCCGGCTTACCCATTGTCCGACCCGGACGATGCTGGAGAGTGAAGTCAAAGCGGGAGAGGTATAGCGACCAGCGGGCCTGACGACAATTGAGTTTCTGGGCCTTGATGAAGTACTCCAGGTTCTTGTGGTCCGTCCAGATCTCGAACGGAGCCTCTGCGCCTTCAAGGTAGTGCCGCCATTCTTCGAGCGCCCGGATGATTGAAAGCATCTCCTTGTCGTGTATTTCGTAGTTCCGCTCCGCAGCCTGTAGACTTTTAGAGTAGAATGCGACAGGATGCCATTTACCATCATCCGGATCCAGCTGCGACAAGACCGCACCCGTAGCGTAATCCGACGAGTCCGCTTCAACCCGGTATGGCCGATCCTCCTTCGGAAAGACCAGAACGGGCTCCGAAGTGATCAGCTCCTTGATCCGAAGAAATGCGGATTGAGCGGAGTCGTTCCACTGCCATTCCTTTGCGCAAGTGAGGTCGAAGAGAGGCCGAGCGATATGCGAGTAGTCCTTGATGAAGCGGCGGTAGAAATTGACGAACCCGAGGAAGGATTGGAGTTCAGTCCGAGTCCGGGGGGTCGGCCAGTCCGCGACTCCGGAAACCTTCACGGGATCCATCTCGATCTTACCCTCAGAGATGACAACTCCAAGATACTCCACCTTGGTCTGCTCGAATTCGCACTTGTCTGCTCGGAGGAAGAGCTTGTTCCGCTGGAGGATCTCCAGGACACGCCTGAGGACCCGGCGATGCTCTTC